TTCTGGATTCGACTGTAGTCACTGATTTCCTCGAATGCGGTTCGAGTGAAGCTCCCTTCAACTCGCTTTTTCAGTTCCCAGGCTCCCTCGCGCTTTCGAATCCATATTCCATTGTCAGAAAAGATGTTTCCACGATCAAAGTAAGCATCAGAGAAGCGTTGAGTTCCCCGACTTGTTAGACTTAAGAATGGAGGGCTGCCCTTGTTGCGTCGGAAAACATTGCGAAGTAGAGGGTTGAAGCTGAACTTCTGCTCAACCTCAAGAAGAACCATGGTGTCCTCCTGCTGTAGCTTTATGGCTTTTGTACCAAAACTTTTGGTCCAAAAGCATATAGATGGACAATTCGTCTAGGATATTTGTTTTGGCTAAGTAGTAAGGGCAGCACGCGTTAAGTCGGGACGGACTAACCCACAGAATCCCAAACCTTGGCACCTCTAAACCTATCAAGGTTAGAGGCATTGCGACGTGGATCTTCAGCTGCTGAAGTTACTACTGTGAGACACGCGGCAGTTGACCGCCACACCAATAACTTATAGAAATTTCATTGATCCATGAAAATTGTGTAATTTCGATACGGAAGTGTGCCCACAGAGTCATGAGCAGTACCTGGATCTTTTGGTAACCTTGGTAGTTTTGGTAGTTTTGGTAGTTTTGGCCGTATATGGTAAACAAACTACCATAAGTTAGTTAGCACGGCGTGAATTACGCAGCAATTAAAGTGGTCCGCAGGTCGGGTTCAGGTTCCAAAGTTAAAACCCGTCCCCGACCCACCACGGGATCGGGTTTTCGACGATCTGATCTCAATACGAGCTCCGGAGTACCTTACTACTAGTACCTTGACCCTGCACTCCGTATCAAAATCTGGATACTCGACCCGCCTAAACCCAGAACTAGATCACGATAACTAGTACTAGTTAGGTGTATAGTATTATTCAGTCAGCAGTTACCTTCTATACCTCAGCTTAGGGCCTAGGGCTTAGGTATTTCGGTTCAGCCCAGTGTGTTGTCATTTATTGAACCTATAGATTGTATGTCACATACTCCGTAACGGCGGATGGGATCCCAACTACGGAGTATGGAGTACGCCTTCAGTCTATTCCTTGTAGGCTGAGGCAGTCCTGTACTCTACGAGGTAGCCGATGATTAGTTGACCCACTCATTACTACTGAGTCGGAGAAACCATAGTTACCGCGTGTATACAAAGAATGTACTCCGTAAAGACCTCCGTCTATTTAGGAGGTCGGTAACTCTCTACTACTTGCAATCGCAAATTATATTATTAAGTAATTGTTGAAAATCGATATTATTTACTATAGAAGTGGAAAAGTCCCATACTATATAATCAAAAACGTAAAAGTCATTATACAAAACATTTCACTACGTATCAATCTAATCTATTGTATATACTTCAAAGAATCAGTGCCGCAGGCTCACGATATAGCTATACAGAGTACGATCAGGGCAAACCACGCATCAAACCCTAGGGTCTAATTTAGTATACTAACCTTTTAGCCCAGTTAGGAATACGCTTGCCCGGACACGTATTCTTACAGATAGTATATTTGGATTAACCCGATAATTGAACATAATGAGTGCTTGGCTATCCAAATAAAACCCGCGTCTATAAGTCAGATCATTCATTTTCCATATAGCAACAGTATTCAAGGCGAAGATGTGCATACACTGAGGGGAGCCAGAATGCTACATGCTCTTTGCTAGCCCTTTGCCCGTGTAATACTCGAAAACAGCAGACAGTAGTCTAGACTTAGAGATTCGAATCCTATAAAGTAGTTTGATATATAACTCTCTATTAGTGGCACATATAACACCGAGAGTCATCAACATACCACGTCCAAGTGTTGCCTTCAAGACAACACCGCACCCCCTTCGGTCAAGGGCAACGCGATTTGATGTTTCTCAGGAGGTTGTCAAGTTCTAGGAAACTTCTGATGAGAAGAATTTATTGTTTCTGTAAGTTACACATGTGCTACGGAGCGATTTTCAAAAACGATCCTCTGTTAACAATTGATCGTTGCAAGTAGATATAATTGCTCAATATAGGAATCTAAGTTATAGGGATGTTGTTCTTTGTAGCATTCATGTATCAACTACAACCATTTAAACTAATGGCAATTGTAGGCCGCACTATTTCTAACGGCGGGCGTGAGACGAGCGGGAAAGGCTTTCAGCCATCTGCCCAGCCAAGCATATAACAGAGCGTCCCCAGTAAAAGCTTTCCTTAGGCTTAGTCCTGATAGACCACCCTTGTAGGTTACTATTTTGGCGTTGAAGCTAGAGCTTCTGTTCTGGGAAGCCCTTATAAGTTAAATTGTCTGTTTATTCTATATCTGAACTCCTATGTCATCTATAACTATTCAATGAAGTTATGAGCTATTGCGTATGCCAATGCAACTAACATGTTTTTTTGGAAATCTATTTTGGAGATCTAAGGAGAAAACTGAACCCCAAACTCTAGTACTGTGTATCCAGCCGGCCATTGAAGATTATGTCGATCACTCCTTGATAAGTCCATGTTATGGATTCAAAGAACCTAAATTAAAGCTACATACACTGGAAAGCAGTATAAACAGACACAACAAAATAGCTCAACTGGACACGTAGCACAGTTGGGCAAAGTAACCGTGACTACGAATTCTAATGAAGAACCATCAAAGCTCTCGAGCGCTCTGTGCTTCTCATAGAATTGCGCCTTGGCATATCAGCTATATAAGGACGTCCATCTTCTAGCATGAAGACATCTCTTTATCAACCAAGACCGTTCATTTCATTTTCCTGTCAGTCAGTTTTCTTTATCATTTCACTTCTTCCAGTGCTGGTCACTTCTATACTTTTAAACATCGCAAAAATGAAGACTACTATTTTCTCTACCTTTGCTCTTGCAGTTCTTGCGTGCCCTGGAGGTGCGGTTCCAATCGGTGATGACACCAGTGTCAGCGTGGCTCCCGCCTATAACGGTTCGGCTCCTGGCTATATACTTAATAGCGAAGACAATGTTGGTGACGTTGGTGCCATTGCTGTTCCAACCAATGATGACGAAGCGTCACTTTGGGTCAAAAGAGCTCCCCCAGAAGACCCGGTTGTAACCCACAAGAGACCTCACGACGAAGTGTCCCCGAAGGGTGATCAGCCCCCTCAGGACAATCAGCCTCCAGGCGATGAGCCCCCTCGCAAAAAGATAATCCTAAAGGTCAAACCAGATGAGTGGGCGCAGGGTGTAAGTGAAACCACAAAACGATCACTTGTCATGGAGTTGACTATAAAAGACAGGTCATGGTCCAACTACTCTATACCCACACGGTAGATGCATTATCAGAAGGGACACACGCCTGGGATCTAAAAACCAACCTAATAAGGATGGCTCATACGACTGGAAGATCCCCTGTCATCCGGATGCCGCGGTAAGATCATTATTAATTATGCATCATTACTAGTGTGGTCTATGTACTGATTCTAGTAGTATGGGAGTTTAGGAATAGGATCCTGTATCATGAATATCAAGTTCAAGTCTGCAATCCCTATGACAGAATGTACCGGAATGGATCCATGGAAAGAGAAGTTCAAACGTGATTGTTGCGCAGATAGGCTATAGCTGCCTTTGGAGAATGGCGTAGGGGAATGTATAATGGTGTTTCTACTGGAGGCAGGGAGGGACACTGTGGTTCGGTATTATACAACTTCCTCCTGGCCTATCCGTCCGCTCTTTGATAGAATGCTACAATCAACTGTATTTTGGGAGGTGAACAGAGTCATATATCCAGTCAATCTTAGATGAGCTTCACCAAACTTTTATTCGCGCTGGAGTCCCCCTGTATCCCCTAGCCTGTAATTATCTTGTATATTGGAAGACAAGCGACAAACTCCCTGCCATTGAATGACTTACTACTCTTCATTCACCCCTTGTCAAAAATTCCGGAAATGGCTTCATAGTCTGTCCTCTAGTTGTTTTCCAAGCCCTAACGCCAAGATATGCCATTCTGAGGTACGCCTGTTCCGTAGTATTATGATGTAGAGATGTATGGTACGTGTAGGAAGCAAAACGTAACCGAAACCTGCCTACATTACAGTGCATGCCTCAGGTAAACAGTCGGAATCCGAATTCTTACTAAAGCATACGAGCGAAGCCCTAGAGACAACCCTATCTTATCAGCCATGCCTGCCAGTTCCACCCTCTTCAATAAATCGCAGCCAGAACAGTTGCAATGGCGTACTCCCCATCATAACTAATTGAAAGCTGCGCAGCGTGCTTTCTGACCGGCTGTCGATTCTTGCTATTCCCCTCGGTGGCATCTACATGCTGAAAATTGTGTATCACTAGCAGTGGCTTCATTTGTCCCGGAAGCACCAGTACCTCAGCATGATGCCATCCAAGGCGCTGCGGAGAGACAGCTTTCATTACAGCTTCTTTAGCGGCAAATCTAATCCTTGATTAGCGTACCCTCACTGTAGTTTTACTAATTTGCCTTACCGCCCACCAACCCAGCTTGACAGTCTCCATAGCTCTCGGTCATAATCGTCCTGTTGAAGACTCTTCTCATCGGTCCTGCATACTGCAGTATCTAGATCCCTTTTCAACCGTAAGACTTTATCATGCCGCTGTTGAAAAGCATCACGCTCCGATTCACTGAAGATCCGTTTGCTGAATCGCTCGACATATTTTGAGTTCTCGCGGGTCAGGATTCGTCTGATTCTGGGAATATGGCAAATTTCGGTACCAACACCGAGAGGGTATGGAAAGGGAATGATATCAGTTTTCGGCAGTTTGGTAGTGGCCCGATTTATGGTCGGACGGTGGTGCTACAACCTCATTTATCTAATTTATAGGGAGCAGCACAGAACAATTACCCGACTCTTGGCTGGGGTCGGCTTGTTGAATTGCGAAGCCCCTCTATAGACTGTTTTGTCAACTACATTTTCTAAGCTGCTTATTCGCCTACTACAATAACTAGATTGCACAACGAAGATCAAATATGGCAAGCCAATCATTCGTCCCGGTGCTTTATGACATAGTCAATGATGTCTTGGGCTGTCCACACGGGTCTGGGATTAGCATACGCAATAGAACATGACATTTGGAGACACTTACTAGTTTTGAGCTGTTCTGCAGCTTCATCCGAAATGTCCAGCTCGAACTCCTGGTCGCCTAGTCAGTAAATCTATAGAGCACGGAAATTATGAAGGAGGGGCGCTGTGGATCAATGGCCTTACCCCTTCTATGGCCAATACAAGTTCGACTGTGCTAAGAGAATCGGCACCCAGGTCATCCACAATGCTGGCATCATTCTTTATCTACAAAGGAGCTGTTAAGATTAAGTAACATAATAGATAGATGGAGGCCCCTACCTCCTCTGGCTTATAGTCAAGCTGCTCTGCGACTATTGCCTTTACTCTCTCCTCAACGGTGGGCATATTGTATTCAAAGATGATTGGGACGCCGAGAGGACTCTTGATTGAAGTGACGAGGTTAATCGAGCAGCGTGAGTCTTTAATATTTGCATTCTATCTTGAGAAAGCATCCCATATTTATATGGGGCAACCCCTCATCGGTTCTAAATCCAGCTAGTCTTCAACTTAAAAGTTCTTGATTGGTAATAGACCTCGGCGTCTGGATATATTTTCCGAACAAACCCTCAGGATCCCAAGGCAGACATGTACAATGAGAAAGACTTGTCGCTGGCTCTAGACACGTGGTAGAGAATCCCGTCTGTCGTGGAGTTGGCGTGCAATATCTTGGATTTGAACATGACTGTTTTCAGAAATTGCTCTTTGTGTTTATTATATAGCGTGGATTTTGCTTCGCAGCTATGCCGAAAAGATATACTTTGGCCCTCTTTATCTTAAGACACCTATGTACTAGGTCTGTTACATCACGATGCGAATGCGTCTCAGTTCATTAACCTATTTTCTGAGGGGCCCTTCCATTGCATGTTGTTTTCGGGGAACGTTGATGTTACCGGAATTGATGTGAGTATAAGCTCGTCCCCAGGCAATATTCAGATATACGCGATCTACTCAGCAGCACAGCTTTCTTTTTTTCTGGACTATTGAAAATAGGATTACCAATTTCTTATCGTATAAAGGCCGCGTCTTGATCATGACCACTAACGCTCCATACAATTTGGATCACGTAGTTATTCAACCAGGTCGAGTGTACATACATCTGATGAGGAACTGTGCAGAGCTTTCTTAAGCATGTTCGTTGAGAGGAGCGGAGGGGGCGTCTGAGACACTGAGATTTCCTTCAAACCCGCCAAAACGACAACTTGCCCTATGCCAGGTGCAGGGTGATCTGTTGTAGTAAAGAAAGCGACCAGCGGACATCTACGGCCAGGTCACTAAGTGGGTCGTGGAGATGATTGAGAGACTAAGATACCCGAGCTTTTATGCTACCGGACCGATGCCATCTATCTTTAATTAAATATAGAAACCTAAAGTTGAAGAAATAAGTATGGAATATCGGAGATCTCTTCAGATACTAAAGACGGAGTACCTACTGGGAAGTAGTCCTGCAATACAACTCACCTTATTGGAAATCTTCATATACTTCTACAAGCGAACGAATTGATCACACTGCTGCGTTCCTTCATGCAATTGCAACCACCTTCGGCCCCACGTGGCCCATCTTATCGTGTCAAACACAAGGTTAACGGGATGGAGTGTAATAATAATAATAATAATTAAAGTTGGCAATGCTGGGTATTGCTGACAACGGACCTTTTTAACCTAGCATAAACTTTATTACATCTATGTGGTATGCCTGATAGGCATCAGTTTAGCCTCCGAGCCTATCTAACCTGTACCATGGATCATGGGCTCAGACTGACGTTTCTGTGTCATAGATATGATACAGGAAATGTAATTTACAGGAAGATGGTTTTTCCGGCGTGTTGTCCTATCACAAAGTAACGCATCCTTGTCATTAGGATTAACACTGATAGTATAGGTATAGGTTATGATTGATGAATAGGTATGAATTAGCCTGAAATTCACGTTACTACAATGCGTAAAAGCCCTTAGAGACTTTTAGCACCGAAGCACTCATATCCAAAGCCATGTGGCGAACTGTCTGGATTGCTGAGTGTATCACATTAATCTGACATGAATGAAGTGGCGTCGTAATCGATGCAAAGAGTAAACCGGTTATGGATGGGAGCGAGGCTTGAAGGACACAAAATATAACAAAGGAACAATCAGAGCTCATGATCACCGTCGAAGGCTGTCCAGCCTGGCTTGTAGATCGTCATCGGCTGAGCTTCCCCCAGCACCAACTGGTTGGGCAACTCGAGTCTCACCGACTGCAGTCTTCTGTATGTCGGTTGGTGTCTCACCCAGCTGTTCAAGAATAAAAGTTAGTATATGCACAGCTCTATCGTGGGCGAAGAAGAGAACACGAACCGCCTGGCTGAGATCTACACCTATTTCATCCAAGACTTCCTTGACAATATCTTCGCTATCTTCGTCCTCGCCCTCCATTCCAGTTGCTTCGTCAATCGCGTCATCCATCATTTCTTGTCGCTGATCCATAATATCATTTTCTCGTTCAAATTCCATAGCGATTCGTTGCAGCGCGGGAAGGTTCATTTGTCGGTTCATACTACCCAATAGCATTGTGGCACCTTTCATCGATTGCATCATCTGCTCGTTGCTGCGAACGGTCTGCACAATATCAAGTGAGTAACAGGCACCGCTATTCGTACGCCTCGGGACCATCCTACCTGAATGCGAAGGGAAATCGCTTGAAGTTGCGTTCGCATTTGATAGAATTTCTGGATGTACCTAGACCCAGTAATCTCCATTAGCTCATGATCATGGCATGCAAACTGAGCTCCTTTGGTATTCATACCGTCTCGTCCTGACCAGGTCTTTGGCCTGGATCTTGCAGGCTCCAATCTGACCATTCTTGGCGCTCTTCTTGATGTCTTGCACCAGCTTCTTTTCCTGATTTTCCAGCTTGGTTCTCTCCCGATCCAATTCGCGCTGTGTCCGGTCAAGAGCCCTTTGATGTTTGCGAAGGCGCTCTGCTGGTGTCATGCGCTTTCCGAATGCCCATTCGATAACCTAGACAATGAACAGCGTAAGCGGGAAACTAGGTACGGCAAATAACAACGGACAACATACATTCATCTTGGCCAGTCACAAAAGATCTCCAGTGCAAAACGGTTCGAAATGAAACCAAAGAGGCTGCGTAGAATGTACAAATGAAGAGAGCGGGATTGGGGAGGGGAATATCTGATACGATCCGAAGCCGCGCGGTGACATCAAACCTAAGAACTAATACGCCGAACGGGCGGATCCAAACTAATAAAATTACGGGGGCAACAGTCACATGGCGGCGACCAACCCCTTTTGGGACATGGAATTCCCACGCCGTTTTTATGCTCATGTAAGCGGGTCTCCCGACTGACGAAAAAACAAGTTCCGTTTCATCGCATCTTGCCTGACCTTTCGACTTCCATGCACCGCACATCCTTTTCGTCATGAGTCAGGAGTATTTTCCCGGCAACGGCGGTTCCTCTGCCGGTGAGGGTTCGTCAAGACATCCTCCGCAGCAGGAAGCGTCCGAGTACCCTTTCTTCCCGAACGCCCCGCCCGCGTACATGACCGTTGGAAATGGTTCGACATCGGAGAGCGCGACGGCCTTGATGGCATCGTTGAACAGAGACTCGGGCTATGGTGATAGCATCACGAGTGGCAGTTTGAGGGATGGTGATGTGGGTAGCGATTGGCGATCAGATATGATGGTGGATAGACCGACCCCGGTGCATACTCCAACACTTCCAGGACAGTGGAATCCAGCAGGTTGGTTATTCCTAGCATCACCGGTATCTTCTGGGGATGTATAGTATATTAACTTGGGTTTTCTGCAGCGGAACATGAACGACAGGTAGTGGCGAGCCATGTTCACCAGCTACAATAGTACGTTTGCGACCACAAAACAGCCGAATGAAAGTTCTAACCGCTCTATAGCAACTCCAACAGGACGAAGCTCGGACGCGCTATTACACGGACTCTCGATACTTTGAAGGACCTCCAGGACATGAACCGTCAATGGCCTGCCCACTACCCGTCGGTACGAGATACTCCGGATTCTCCTTCAGACAGACCCGCGTTGCGCCAGGCGCAGTCATTCTTCGACGACAGCGACATTCAACAAGGGGAATTTAGACCTGGACCTATTAGACGAGCAGCTACGGTATCAAATAGCGACGACCTGGCTGCAGCGGAATCAAGTGCCGCTGCGGAACGTCGGCCAGCGCCAGAACCGAGGTTGATAACCCCGCAGATAGCGCAAGAATTCTCTATTCTGAAGCTTGACTTGAAGCTAGGTGCTCTGTCTCAAGTGGAGTTAGTACATTCGTTGGAAAAGGCCTCTATTGCGTCTCTTTTGGACGGAAAGATCAGCCAGAGTGTCAAGCACCTTCTCTCGCTACGTGACAGGATCGAGGATACTTCAAGCAAGGTTTTGATCACTGGTGACCTTAATGCGGGAAAATCGACTTTCTGTAATGCTCTGCTGCGCCGCAAGGTGCTGCCCGAAGACCAGCAACCTTGTACCAGCATTTTCTGTGAGGTTCTTGATGCGCGGGAGAACAGCGGAGTTGAGGAGGTGCATGCAGTCCACAAGGACGTAGATTACAATCGCAACGATGAGAGCACATACGACGTGTATCCCTTGACTGAGCTCGAGAATATCGTGATTGACAACTCCAAATACATGCAATGCAAGGTCTACGTTAAGGACGTGCGAACCATTGACGAGTCTCTACTGAACAATGGGGTCGTCGATATTGCTTTGATTGATGCCCCTGGCTTGAACTCCGATTCCTTGAAGACAACCGCTGTTTTTGCTCGGCAGGAAGAGATTGATGTTGTTGTGTTTGTCGTTTCCGCTGCCAATCATTTCACGCTTTCAGCCAAGGATTTTATTCACAACGCGGCAAAAGAAAAAGCATACATGTTTATCGTTGTCAACGGATTCGATCAGATTCGCGACAAGCAACGGTGTGAGCGAATGATTCTGGATCAAATCAACAAACTTAGCCCTCGTACGTACAAGGAAGCTGCGGAACTCGTTCATTTCGTATCAAGCAATGCCGTTCCTGTTGCGCCTCCTATGTCCGTGGAAAGTTCTGGCTCCGGTGGTGGCGGGGGCTTCGATTCCGACGGGGATGGTGATGATGACGACGACAGTAAGCCCAAAGGCAAAGGCAAAGACAAAGGGAAGGAGAAACAGAAGATCCAGGATTTCGAAAATCTCGAAAGCTCTTTGCGACGATTTGTTCTCGAAAAGCGTTCTCGCTCGAAGCTCGCCCCTGCCAGAACTTATCTTCTCAACTTGCTTGGAGATTTGAACTCCCTAGCCTCCGCCAATCGCGACATTGCCCAATCCGAACTCAAGCGTGTCACAGAAGAATTGGCAGAGCTCGAGCCAGCGTATGAAGGCGGCCAGAAGAAGAAAATAGAGCTCGACGTGCAGGTTGAGAAAAATATTGATGATTCATGCGAAGATGTCTACAACCATACGCGGTCGACCTTGTCGGACACTATTACTCGCGTCTCAGAGGCTGATTTGGGTGTTGAATACCCTGGTATCTTCTCTGCATTCCAGTATGCGGAAGATTTGAAGTTAGCCATGCTGGAGCAAATATCTGCCGCAGCTTCAGCTTGCGAGGACTATGCGCGCGTAAAGACAGTAGACGGTGTAGAAGCCATTCAAAAGATTGGTCTTCTTCACGTTGGAGACAAATTCGCACCCTTGAATTTCCGTGCCGATATGATGTTCCGCCGTAGTCGACGCCATACATTTGCCAAACAAGTCGATACCGAAGTTGAACTATTGGATTTCTTCGATATTGCTGGCATTTGGGAGCGGCAAGAGAAGGTGGCCGGAACAGGAATGGCCATGACGGCTGTCACTGTCCTCGGAGGCAGAGTCTTCGGCGGTATTAGCTGGGTTGACAGCGCGTTTAGTGCAGCTAAGTTCCTTGGACCCAACAACTTGCGACGCCTCCTAGTTCCGGGTATTGTCGCTGCTGGTAAGTGTTTAATTCGTACCGGATCCTTGAGGGCAAAACTAACCTGAACAGCTGCTTTGACCGCGGCATACGTACTTTCTACAATTCCCACTACACTGCCTCCCCGCCTCTCACGCAAGATCGCCGCTGCTCTTGAAGAGAAAGACTACGTACATTCGAACGCTACCCGGATCTCGACTGAAGTCCGGCGAGTTCTCCGTATCCCGGCCAATAATCTCCAGGCCAGTCTCGCCCAAGATATTGAAGACCTCGGAAGACGCAAGCAAGAAGTCAGCAAGACCAAGGTTGAAAGTGAGAATGCCAGCAAGTACTTCTCCAACCTCTTCCGGGAAAGTGGTGAGAACAAAAGGTCTGTAGAGAGTATAGACCTTGATGGCCCGCTGCCGGGTGCAATGGGTGCCCATGAGCCATGAGCTTTGAATCTCCCTTGCGTTATATGTACAAAAAGTAATGATTCTATATGAGTTATCCGGCCGGCTGTGTCTCGAGGGTGCTAATTTTGCTTCGGTTCCCAAATATCCCTATCGTGTACAACAATTACTGTTCATCCATTTACACCCTTTCACCTCATCTATTTTTATTCCCCCCCCTTTCTTGGAGGCCGTGATTCACGTTGATAGCCTTCCTGTTTACACCTGCATTGGCGTTCTTTGAAGAACTCAGCGTATTGGATTCCCACTCCAATTGATGCTTTTATTTAACACTGTAGGTAGCCACCTATCTACCCAGTTGATTGTTATTGCAAAGAACATGTCATCTTTCCTGATCCAAAGCATTCTAGAATAAATGATAATAGATGGTATCAATGATAAATTCCAAGATAGATTCATCCATAACTCCCAGCAATGACCAGAGACGCCATTTCGATGCTATCTATGCCACGCCAAAACCATCATTAGGAACGTGAGCATACACGCCAAACAAATGTTTCCGACAAGATCTAAAAAGTATTATCCTTTGCAACCTTGCCCGCATTTCTCGTCCTCCGACCAGACCCCCAGCCCACATTTTCCAGCTCCTTAATTTCACCCGCAATTAGGTCCTGATTAGCAGGTTTCTTATCGACGAGTTTGCCCGCCTGATGGAGAAACTTCTCGCGCATTGCGACGGCATCCGGATCTTCGTAGTTCAATTGCGTCATTGGAGGCGGTGTTTCAGACTCCTCTTCTTCATTGATGCGGTCTCCTTCGAGGAAATCGAATCTTCCGCTGTTCACAAGGGAGGGAATTCCATCTGTGTTGATGCTGTCTATCGCACTTCCGCACCCATCCTCGTTTAGTGTATCGATTGAGCTCGCGCGAGAGAAACCTTTATGTTCGATGGAACGGACAGAGGCATGAGAGGGCGCTCTTCCAAGAAGAGGTTTTCTGCGCCTTGAACGGGGGCGGTCACCGTTCTCTCCTATGTCTGATGCGGAGCGCGAGTTCGCTGCTCGTGCCTGCTGGAGGAATCCGCTCAGCGTTGTTTCGATTGCTGATAGGGAGGTTGGATGTATGGCTTGTTCTGAGGATGGGCGTTTTCTTGGTGATACGTATGTTGTGTGTTGTTGGCTCGGCTCTTTTGTGGGGGATTCCCTTATAGTGGGTTCTTTTTGTAGAATTCCGGAGTTTTCTTGTAGGGGTGTTGAATGGCGTGAAGGAACTTTGTCTGTTTCCTTTGATGTTTGTCTGGTGAGTTTGTTGGTCTGGGGGTGATCCATGTGGATCTGTGACTTGGTTGCGTTATTGCGTTTGTTGAGCTCCTGGGACTGTTCCCTCTGGTCCGGGAGAGAGCCAACTCGCTTTTCCGGGTCTCGGCTGCTCTGTGAGGTTGACTTGCGAATCAGAAAAGGTTCGAATGGCTGTTTCTGTGCTTTTTGGATGGAGGTCCATAACCAATCGACGGTGACTGCGGGAACGTTCCATTCTTGCGTATGCCGTAGCTTCTCTTGATTTGCAGAACCAGGATCATTACATAACAATACAGATGCAGTTGGTGTCAGGTATTCATTATAGGTTGCACCTGGAATTATCAGTTCACGAAGAAGCCCTAGCAATGCAGTTCGAACTTACCAATCAGACCTACAAGTTTTGATAGATGTAGAAGGTCGATACGAGAGACCCCTGTAGAGCAGATTTTCATATTGTCGAGCCCTACTCTGGTTAGTCTGCGCATTTATATGTGAACAAGGGATAGGGACTTACCAGGGATAGGGAAACAAGGAATTGGAGTGTTTGCGATGTGTGATTCTGGGGGCACTAGAGTCTTGGCATCAAGGCATCTTTCCAACCACATATCGGTTACAACTTCACATTCAAATGCTAGGTCATCGGTAGATGGAACCTGGTTTCGAGGCATCTTGTAGGGGACAATCGTGTAGAGACCATGGCCTCTCTTAGGAATGTCGGGCCGAGAGAATTCGCTCAATGAGCCGACCAACTGGGCTCCATTGAACGAAAGGTGTTGGCGGAGGACGTTCGTCTGCGACGTGGTTAGATATAAGAATAAAAACAATTGCGCACACAAACATACTTGTTTTGAAGAGAATCCATGAATGAAGAAATAACAACCGTCTAAAAAGCCATCGCGGTGGCTGGCCGCTTCTGAAAACTGCTGGCGAGGCCTCTGGAACTTATCAACATTGCTTTGTTCCTGGGGCTCCGCAAAGGTAGTTTCACTGGCGAATGACTTGGCCTCTTGGACCATAGATGCACGTTTGACGAGTAATTGGCTATCATCTTTCTGTTGACTTCCTCTGGACCCGGTGCCTACGATGTCACCCCAGATCCCTTCGTTCTGGTCTACCAATTTGGCACTTGCGATGCGGCGCAACTTTCTAGGGCGAGGATTCGACGAGCCTTCATTACCCGGATCTTTCTCCCGAACAGCAGGCAGTGCGCGGTTCCAGGCCCCCGCACCCTGCTGTTCTTCCGGCACAAGCGGGTGATACAATGTCTCCTCCAGGATCATTCCACGCTCTATACTGTCGGTGAACCATTTCACGGTGATGACCTTGATATTCCATTGAGTCGCAAATTTGTACTTCTGGCTCTCCGTATCTCGTGCGACAAGATGGGTGACTTGTTTCGTAAGATCTTTCCTGAATTCGGCACCCTGTGCAACGGCTGTGTCTTGAATATAGTTTCGGAATGCCACTAAGAAAGTCTTTAGTATGCGCCGATACGGCGTAAACATTGTCCACTTCCACTTACTATCCTCGAAGCCGGTTATACATATGCACAATCCGGCGAACGTCGGGAATTTGTATTGTTCTTCCAAACCTCGGACGTCTGTATCTTCTCCCTGCATCCATGATTGGCGGACCGCTTCTACCCACTCAGGCTTAAGAACAGTCACATCTGCTCGTTCTCGTGCGACAAATTTGTATTTCGCAGTATTGGTCTCGCCCACAATCAGATGGGTAACATCGGAGGTTAGGTCAAGTTTGAGAGTCGCTCCCATTTGGCGTGCGATTGTAGCCAATTCAGTCTAATTCCGAGGAACGTTGTCAGTTGTCACGACCATTTACTGATAAGAATATGGGAAACGAAGTGAGAGCATCATAGATCTTCGAGGAAAACACACTAACCCGCTGTTCTGGTAGAATGGACGTGAAGCACAGGACCACCCCCGCAAGAGGATGCTCCTTGTCTGCCGTATTATTAATATAATGTCATATCGCCATAACAGGAAGTGGATCATGTACATACTTGAGGCACCTTTCTCTGCCATCCTTCATGATTGGCAGCACATAAAAACAGCCTTAATCATTTATGGGTTGATTTGATACTTCCGATGCCGCATTGGCGCGTTTTCGTGATGCGTTATCACGTGATCCTAGTACTTTTTAGAAGGGCTAAACGTGCTGTGCATACTTAAGAAACGTAAAGGTGAGCATTCTAAGCCAGGAAATATTCTTATTAGCAATTCAGGCCATAGCAACTGTTCTTTGTTTCTTTGGTGTTGCCTTTGGCATCTTGGAATAACAGCTGGAGTAAGGTAATGAACTTGCCCTGTGTGGCAGCCCTTATCGGAATCACGTGTGATATGAAGCGCGTCAGTTATTCTAGAACGCGCGGGTCGCGAAAGTCCTCAATCAATGGTATTGATTTCATAAAGTGATGTACCACTGAATCATATTTCTCCAATTTGCGCTCTTTGTGTATGTCTAAAAGGGGTCTGGTTTTAATTCATCAAGTAATTTCACATGGTCCAAAATTGACATTGCAGGTTGCATGCAGATACTCGACTGCCTGACCAGCGCCGGAAGGGACCGTAATGTTCAAGAAAGCTGTACAAGACCATTCGGGAGGATCTGCTAAACCCCTTCAGTCCAGCCTTCTTCACAGCAATGGGATTCAACCATCGAAACCACCGCCGCAGTCAGTAGGAGTCAAACGGAAAATCGAAATGGCCAATGCTGGGGGATCTGCACTAGGGTCTTTGCACAGCGCTGTATACTTTGATGAGAATGATTTCGATGATGATCTTGATTTGGATAGCGAGCCAGAACCGTTTATACCACCACCAAAAATTGTGAGGCCGAACAATGGGCGACAGATACCATTTGAAAGTACAAACTCAACTACCTTGGCGACGCACACGATCAAGCCGGCTCAAGTGTCGACACCCACGAGAAAGAATGAGGACTTGGAGATAAAGTACCCCGAGCTGCCTCCAGTTCCTGATGATCCGGTACCATCCAGCAGCATACCAGTTCCTTGGTCATCCTCACCACCATCTCACTTTCAGAAACCTACCAGTTCACGAACTCTACCGTGGCTTAAGAAAGAGGAGTCGATGCCAGCACCAGCCGTGCAGTACAAGCCAGAGACACCTGTGCGTCCAAAGCCGACTGCCATATGGAACAAATCGGCAAGCGCAATCAAGGAGGAACAGAAAGAACTACGCCGACAGTATAAGAATCAGAAGACCGATTCTGTGCAACATCGCCCACGTCCTAAGATGGCGTCCTTATTCCTTAGTGATGAACAGAAACACGTACTTAATGCCGTTGTTGAGCAAGGGAAGAGTATATTCTTCACCGGTTCCGCCGGAACTGGAAAATCAGTTCTCATGAGAGAAATTATTAAGAAACTTCGCGACAAGTACAGGAGAGAGCCTGACAGAGTGGCAGTGACTGCTTCAACGGGTCTTGCCGCTTGTAACATCGAGGGTGTTACCCTCCACAGCTTCGCAGGGATAGGATTAGGCAAAGAGCCTGTCCCTGAGCTTGTTAAGAAGGTCACAATTTGCACCATGCCCTGTCGAAAGGTACTTATATTGACACATTACAGGTCAAGAAAAATCCCAAAGGCCGGAACCGTTGGCTACGTACAAAGGTTCTGATTATTGATGAAGTGTCTATGGTTGACGGAGACCTCTTCGATAAGCTCGAGGAGCTTGCTCGAAAGATTAGAAACAACGGCCGTCCTTTCGGCGGCATTCAACTTGTCGTTACGGGCGACTTCTTTCAATTGCCTCCGGTCCCTGATGGCAGCAATCGAGAGGCAAAATTTTCATTTTCTGCTGCTACCTGGAATACCTCTATACAACACACAATCCTCTTGACCACTGTTTTCCGTCAAGCAGATCCTGATTTTGCAAACATGCTCAATGAAATGAGGCTTGGAAAGCTCAGTCCGCGTACAATCGATACCTTTAAACACCTCTCACGGCCACTTGACTTTCATGATTCTCTTGAAGCTACGGAGCTGTAAGGTCATCCCATTAGAAGACTACACGGGAACTAACATAGATTCACTTAGGTTCCCAACACGTCAAGAGGTAGAGCATGCAAACAGTGCAAGAATGCAAAGACTGTCCGGCGAAGTGATGACTTTCAATGCCGCAGATTCGGGTACAATTCAAGACGCACAGTATCGTGAGAAACTGCTGGCCAACTGCATGGCTCCACAAGTAATCCACCTCAAAAAAGGAGCACAAGTCATGCTCATTAAAAATATGGAAGATACGCTCGTCAATGGATCAATTGGACGAGTGGTCGCATTTATGGATGAGGCAACATTCGATTTCTATCGCGAGAATGAAAGCGACTTCGCTGGTGACCAGGGAGCCCAAAGCGATGAGGAGATGATGAATCGCTCCCGCAAGAAGCTTAAGTCTCTTTCTCACAAAGAAGGGGGCGTCGTGGTGAGCAGAAAATGGCCTCTTGTCTGTTTTGTACAGCCGGATGGAACCGAAAGGCACCTGCTTTGCCAACCAGAAACATGGAAGATCGAACTTCCCAACGGAGAGGTTCAGGCTCAGCGTGCACAGGTCCCATTGATTCTGGCATGGGCTCTGTCTATCCACAAGGCTCAGGGTCAGACCTTGCAGCGAGTTAAAGTCGATCTTGGACGGGTTTTCGAAAAGGGTCAGGCTTACGTTGCTCTGAGTCGTGCAACCTCCAAGGAAGGCCTTCAAGTCACACGGTTCGATGCACGAAAGGTCATGGTACATCCCAAAGTCACCGAGTTTTACTCTAAACTCACCAGTATTACTGACGTGCTCAAGCCGAAAGGCGGGCAACGGACTATTCCTGGTCATTACCCTGAGGACGACTTCGAAGATGATTATTTAGACTATCTATAAGGGTAAGAGATTTCACTTGCCATGTGGCATATACATAACACTTCTATTATTACCTTTTTCATCGCTGTTTTGCATCTACATATTGTTTAAAAGCTCGTATCCTTTACGGGTAAGCATGTAAAATGATACCATTGTGGGTTTAAGTTTGATTACTGTTGATATCATGTGAGAGATGAAAGTCACATATACTACTACTACTAGTACTAGCGCATGCACAATGACAGTTGAATTGAGACCAATCATATTGTTCACTAACCCTCCCTAGTTAGTAGTACTGCAAATCCTATTGAAGTATCCATAGTAATCTGGAACATGAGATTAAATAACCAATTCAATTGGAGGATCAAAAGTTACCGACAGGAGGCCTCGCCTCGTGGTAAGATTTGAAATATACCGAACTAAAGTAGGAACCTTGTAGGCCACCCCACTTGGGCGCGCCTGCTTATCGATAAGATCTTTTAGCACTGCACGTGACGTCGGATAGAGCTGTAGCAACGAGCTGACAATTCACTTTTGCGACGCTGTACAACAGGACCAACATTTGCTCTACTTTTCCCCTGCTCCCTTTCGCCAGTCTTTGGCATGCTTGTCAGATAGGCGATAGTAGGGTGATTGTATACTGAGTGACTATTCACCATGGCTTCCGAATTCATTGGATACAACGTTCTTGTGACGCTGAGAACTCCGCCTAATGCAACTGCCCAAGGCGTCGTGGCCAATGTCATAGGACAACGTCTGATGCTGCGGGATGGTAAGTGAAGAAAATCCTATGACATTTTCCTGTATCGGTCTAATATGCGGCTGCTAGTCGCACTTTCGTGGAGCCCCCAGAAATTTCCCACATATTTCATTGAAGCTACCGACATTGCCGACCTCTCTCTTGGACCAAACCCCAATGCGCCCTCGCATAATCAGCAGCCAGGCAGAGAGAGCCATAATATAGCCCGTGCACCCCCTGTGGTACCGGCACAACAACCATTTGTTGACCCGGCCATCTTAAGCTTCAGCAAACCATCTACTGAGCAATTCAGCCAGGGCCCAAGACCAGGAGGGCCGCAGCTTCAACCCGCTCCGATCGACCGATTGAGCTCTCCAGCTTCTCAGAATATCCATCCTCCGCATCAGGTCCAGCGTGATCAATCTGCAGTCCTTACGGAACCGTTCAGCAACTTGGAGGTGAATGTAGATGGCAGAGTAAATGAGCCTCACAATGCGTCTCAGGGAAACGAGTTGCATGGGTCTGTTCCTGCAGGCAGTGATGAGTTTACAACTGCACAACGCTCTGCCAGCCAGGTCAACCTAAAGGGTACTCGTCGCGTTGGTCAGAACAAATCCCAGCGTTCAGGGTTAACGCCTGTTAATGAGCATGATGGCGCGGCGAATACAAACCCGAAGACCCGAGGGTGGCGTCAGACTGCCTTTGTAGAGCCTGCTAGTCCACAAAAATACAGAGAAAGAGAGCCTAACTCACGGCGTCGGAAGAAGAAGAACCGCGGCTCTTATGCGGAGGATCCCAATGGTTGGGCAACAGAAGATGCTACCGACATTCAAGAACTGGGTGATTTCGATTTTCAAAGTAATCTCTCCAAATTCGACAAAAGAAGAGTCTTTGAAGAGATTAGAAATGACGACACCACGGCAGATGAAGCACGATTGGTTAGTTTTAATAGAAGGGTCCCCAAGCCGGGCACAAACGGAGGGAAGAATTTGCATTGGACTGAGAATGTGCTTGATAGTCCTCCAGGTAGTGAAACCGGAGACACTGACCAGGAGCCAAGCGACGCGAAACTGAGCAGTGGAAACTACTCAGGACGCGAGCTCTCAAGAGGGTCAGCACGAGCCCAGAGCCGGAAGGGAAGTGGCATTCTAGGACAACCCCTGGTACCTCCCCAGATTAACACTGTTGGGCGTGGCCAACTCAGCGCTTCTCGTACTACCAGTCCTCGGCCTGGAAGTAAGGCTTCAGTTTCGGCATCGCCTATTAGCGGACCCGGCGTTCCTGGAGCTTCCTTGCGCCTCACTACAACGAATAGAAGTTGTCCGACTGTGAGCCCGCTACAAGCCCTCGAAGTCGAGCAAATTGCGGTCGCTGAACTTGGCCTGACTGAAGATATGATCACAGAAAACGCTGGGAGAAGCATTGCGGAAGCTGCCGTTGGCCTTTTGTCTAATGATGCCGCTGCGCCTACCATGCTTGTGTTGACCGGCAACCATCGTACTGGCGCAAGGGCCGTATCTGCTGCTCGTCACCTCCGTAATAGAGGACACCGCGTGACTGTCTGTATGCTTGGTATTGAACACGAAAATGAATTACTTGAGAGCTGCCGCAAGCAGATTGATGTTTTCAAGAAGATCGGTGGACGTGTGCACAGATGGGAAGATTTATCAACGCGGCTTTCAACCTCTGAATTCAGTCCTGATCTAGTCCTAGATGCTCTATTCGGTATTCACATAGCCTTTGATGATCTCCGCACCGACGATCAAGCTGTGGCCTTTGAGATGATCGCCTGGGCCAACCGAAGTAACCTCGAAGTTCTGTCCGTTGACGTTCCTTCGGGCTTCTCAGCTTCGAGCGGTAAGTCCCTCCTACATCGATAGGCACCTTTTAGTACCGTTACTAACACAAGCCAACTACAGGTGAGGTGACCGTAATGGAGGGAGGCCGGGTGTGCGTCAGTTCCAAATCAGTAGTCTGCCTCGGAGCACCCAAGACTGGAATCATAAATGCACTGCTAGCCGGGGAGGGTCTTACTTGGAGCCTTTCCGTAGCAGACATTGGGATTCCTCAGATTGTGTGGAGGAAATATGGGACACGTCGCCGGCACGGAATTGACTTTGGCAATCGCTGGGTGGTGCCTCTACGCTACCAACCATCCTCTGCTTGATATTGCATGCGTGGTGGCCTTTGCCCTTTACTTCACGACTGAACAGCTTAATTTATGGCGTTATACGGGTTTTACTAAAAGAAATAGCGGGATTGATTCAGGGTATACCCCTTTCTGCAGTGTCAACGAAATGCATCATATCATGCTAGTCATAGCCGGTTGGCCGCACTACGGCGAAATGATTTTCAGGAACGAGCGGGTTGTATCATATGTAGTTCTTCCAAGGCCAATGCACTGCCTAGCAAATGAAATACAGATCCATGGTTTCTTGATCCACTATCTAGCACCTGATGCCTATGTCAACCTGTACGGAGTATGTTAAATGGATCTATCCCTCATGTGAACCTAGCCCGATTTGGTTAGATCCGCATCTAGTCCCGGAGCAATACATCATGTCTTGGGGCGCGGCCAGCGGTCGCATTTTGCGAAGATTCACTCAGAATATCAACATAAAACTTCATCACCAAGATGGGGAAAGGTCAGTTTAGTGAATCAGCATTCTGGCTACTTTAAATTTCAATCTTAATGCTAACAGACCATTTGCCTGGTAGGGACGGACAAGCTTTACGTATGATACACCTCATTAAAGATTTGTTCTGCGCCGTCTAATAAACTGGTTACTGATCGCAAAGCTCAAAACAGATCACACATTCTGAGTGGGCATCGGGTGATTCGTACTCTGCGAGCGCCGGACAAGGGGGGGCGAAAGGAGGAGACAACGCACCCTTCAAACGCCTTCCTTTCAATTTCTGCTCTCTTTCACTGCAGCCATTCACCCACCCGGTTTGCACGCATTCCGGGACAATTTTCGACCTCACCAATATCCTCCCTTGGATCAAGAAACATGGAAAGAATCCGGTAGACGGTACACCGCTGAAAAACTCCGACCTGATTAAGCTCAACATCGCGAAGAATGAATCGGGTGATTACGTCGACCCAGTAACCTATAAAGTCTTGACGGATAACACACACATTGTCGCTTTGCGCAACACCGGGAATGTCTTCGCTTGGGACACCGTTGAGCGGTTGAATATCAAGGGGAAGCTGTGGCGCGACCTCGTCACGGACGAGGAATTTGGACGCAAGGACATCATTACACTACAGGATCCACAGAATATCGAGTCGCGGAATCTCAGCTCCTTTAATTATTTGAAGGAAGGCGAAAGTGTGCCTGGACAAAAAGAGGAAGAGTCCAATGTTAATGCCAGCGCATTGGGAAGTTCGGCGAAAATCTTGAAGGCAAAGGAGGCCGTGGCTAAAGCCCGTTCGGAGAGAGCGCAGCGAGCTGGCTCTGCTGCTGTTGCCAAGAAGGCTGATGGTAGTACGACTGCAAGTACTCAGTCCAAAACAGCCTCGTTCCAATCTGGGAAACCTACACCATACAATGCAGCCAAGCATACTACGGGTCTGGCTGCGGCATCCTTCACGAGTACTGGTTTAACTCCACATACCTCTGCCGAGCTCGCGCTCCTTTCAGATGAGGAATACATGCTAAAACGGGGGCGTATAAAGCAAAAGGGCTATGCTCGAATCTCAACTACATCCGGTGACATTAACTTGGAGCTACAGACGGAATACGCGCCAAAGGCCGTGTGGAACTTTATCAAATTGGCTAAAAAGGGATATTATAAAGATGTCACTTTCCATCGCAATATCAAGGGCTTCATGATCCAGGGCGGAGATCCCTCGGGTACTGGTCGAGGTGGTGAAAGTATCTGGGGTAAATACTTCAATGATGAATTCGAGGGACCTTTGAAACATGATTCCAGAGGGACTCTCAGCATGGCCAATAAAGGCAAGAATACGAATAGTAGTCAGTTGTAAGTTGCCAATTGTTTGCCTCTTTTTTGACCCCCACACTGTCAGAAATTTGATCGAGACGGCCTGTGCTAACTTTGCTCTACTAGCTTCATTGCGTACCGTGCTCTCCCACACTTGAACAACAAGCATACTATTTTCGGTCATGTAATCGACGATCCGACTCCTTCGTCCACCACCCTAAACAACTTGGAAACGCACCCGGTCAATGCATCAACTAATAGGCCTACTCCAGACATTCGCATCACAGATGTTACCATATTTGTGGACCCCTTTGAGGAGTTTTTGAATCAGAAAAAGGCGGAAGAGACGTCAGGGAAGAATACAACAGCCGATTTAACAGAAGAAGACGGGAAAACTCAGCAGGAAGATGACGACCAAGTTACTTGGACAGGCAAAAGAGTGCGCGGCCCAGGCTCTTCAGGAGCTGGCGGCGATGCTTCGAGCGGAGTCGGAAAGTATTTGAAGGCTGCGTTGGCTAATCAAGCCGCTCAAGAAGAGGATGAAATCGTGGAATTTGTAGACGAAGAGGCTGAGCCCGAGCCGATGCGGAAGAAGTTCAAAAGCAGGGGAGGGTTTGGGGATTTCAGTTCGTGGGATTGAAAGCCTCCCTATTGGTGCTATCTATCTCGTACTGTACGTACCTATAACTTAGGTCATGATATGTCTACACAGCACAATGTCCGGGGTTTGTCCCCGAAGGTTTCTATATGAGTGTATGAGTAGGTTCCAGGATGCTCAGATTATACAGAATTTTCGCTCGATACGGTAGGGTGTCTTATGCTCAGGCGTACACTTTTTGCGATATGGTCAATGCTTCTATGACTTACGGCCTGTAAATTCTTCGCCGTATAGGTTACAAGGTAAGTCGTCAGTTATATATATACTATACATCTGTACGCAAATCATCCGAATCGTACAATACGAGAAAACAATCAATAAATACGAACTAGGAAAAGCAAGGCACACTGGTTAGACGATATAACATACCATATCAGATCATATCGTATAGATTGGCATCTTATGATCCTTGACCCCTACTTAGTCCCAGGGGGAAAAAGCAAACGGGTTGCCTCACTACTGTAAGTGATGCGATGCTGCTTTGGGGGGGATCCACAGGTCCCATTCCGTCCTCAACTACTAGTACTAGTAAAATAGTCTGGGCGGTCTTCCGCCCTTCCGGCACTGGCGTTCAACTGCCTGCGTGATTAGTTAAAACTCTTCCCCGACCTGGGTTTAGCGCGAAGGACGGGAGTGGGAAAGTAACCTGAGTGCCAGGTGCTTTCCCAGCAATGATGAACTAACTACTACGAACTACTAATAATAAATGCCATCGATCCCACCTCTAACCAACCCGCGCTCGCCGTACTTCAACCCGGAATACGTCTTCAACACTTTTACATCCAGAAACCTTGGAGCTTTGATTTTTATCTGATTGTCTTCCTCGTGAGTGTTATTTAATTCCTACCCAAATCCCGCCCAGTGGCTTAGCACACTGTTGTTTCCATGTCGCTGCGCAGTGGGGTTGATCATGATGTGCCCCCATGGTGCCTGATTCAAGGTGACAAATCAGTTTTAGTTGGATAGTGTGACTTGTGATGATCCCTTCAAATCCATGCCTATTTCCTACTAGTCACTGTTTTTTCGCGATGTTTTTTGTATGTCTGGCAGAGAAGGGCCACTATATGTCATGGGCCTGTTGGTTTTCGACCACGCAGACGCCCAGACATTCGTCATCTGATACAACCGCTTCTTGGATATCACCTGAGTTTTGGAAATCAATCATTACCCTTCAACCTACTTAGGTTGGAAGCAAGTTCTAGTAAGCTCAGTCACTGACACTATCTTTATTTTTCTTGTTCAGTTCTTTCCCCTCGCTTCCGCCGCAATTCCTACACTACGTCAGGCCTTGCCAGATTTCGCCTTCCGCCGCCGCCGCCGCCCTCTCCGCTCTAACTTTGGTCTGGTTTAATACCACAGTCCCATACCTACAATCAAGCTGGCAGGGAATAAGCGGAGAAGTTTTTCGAGCCAGGGTGGGTTGCTGAACAGAATGTTCAGTGGCTCCTCGAGCCCACCCAAAGACAAATCAAACTCAGTTCCACATTCCGGTGCTGTCGATACACAATCTCTGAGTGTGCATCCCGAGGAAGGCGCTGTAACCCATACCAGCAAGTCTCTGCCGTCCGGTGGTTTCTTTACGAGAAGGACTAGCGAAGACCAGGGCCCTACCGGGGAGAAGAAGCGCCGGAGTAGTACAGTCACGAAAGCGGCGACGTTTTTCACCAACGCTAAGAATTCACTGAGTTTGAGTAGTAGTCCTCGTGAATCTTCGTCGTTCAATTACACGGTTCGATCTCCGCAAACGTTGCAGTCACTTGGGAGCATGGACCCGGCATTGAGTGTCCCACAAGGGTCATTGAACAATTCGGCTGGCGATTCGCTACCAACTCCTCGCTCATCGTTCAAAGTTGGTGTCACAGAAGACCGGAATCGAAAATGTCGCCGGACTATGGAAGATACCCATGCATATCTTTACAACTTTTTGGGGACCCCCGCACCATTAGCCCGGGCTGATGGCGAGAACGAGACTGATTCTTCCCTCGCTCCTGATGAAGCGTCTAGTGTTGTTGAAACTGACAATGGGTACTTCGCCATTTTCGATGGACATGCCGGCACATTCGCTGCTGAATGGTGTGGGAAGAAATTGCATCTGATTCTAGAGGATATAATGAAGAAGAACCCCAACACACCCGTTCCGGAACTTCTCGACCAAACATTTACCAGTGTTGATCAGCAGTTAGAGAAATTACCTGTGAAGAATAGTGGGTGTACTGCTGTCATTGCCCTTCTGCGATGGGAAGACCGGATCCCCAGTTCGCATTCGGCAACCGGCTCTTCCGCACTTGCTCCCGCAGCAGCCGCAGCCGCGAAGGGCGATTCCAATTCAGAGGCCGATGACACACCCACCCAAACAACTAGTACTGGTCCGTCCATTCTGCCCAAACTGCAAGAGAAAGCTATACGGCAACGTGTCTTGTATACGGCCAATGTGGGTGATGCTCGTATAATCCTGTGTCGCAACGGCAAGGCGCTCCGGTTGTCCTACGATCACAAAGGTAGCGACGAAAACGAAGGCAAAAGAATAGCAAACGCCGGGGGTTTGATACTTAATAACAGAGTAAACGGCGTTCTTGCAGTGACCAGAGCCCTAGGTGATGCCTATCTCAAGGATCTCGTCACCGGACATCCGTATACTACAGAGACCGTGGTTCAGCCGGACTCTGACGAATTTATCATATTGGCCTGCGACGGGGTAAGAAATGGCTTTTGTATATTCCAATGAGTGTTGCTAATGATCATGATTAGCTGTGGGATGTCTGTACTGATCAGGAAGCTGTGGATCTTGTTCGAAATGTCACAGACGCTCAGGAAGCATCTAAGATCCTGGTCGATTATGCTCTTGCACGGTTTAGTACCGATAACCTTTCTTGCATGGTTATCCGACTGGATACGGATCGTGTCAAGGAGGTCATCAACAAGACAGCTGACCCAATTGGTGTGGCTGGCGATCCATCCATGGCTGTTGAGCACGGCGTGAGCGAAGCAGACAAGATCATCGAGAGTGCAAGAAAGAGCATGGCCAATGCAGACATTGCAGATGATAGTGAAACGGTCGAGAAGGGCAAAGGTGCAAATCTGCAAAACATGGTCGACGGCGAACCCGGGCCAGAGATGTCAGTGGACGACCCTAATGATGCACCAGCCGTCAGTCACTTGAACAAGACTGGTGTGAATAACGGAAATCCCTAAGCGTCGGGTAGCAACACCTGCGCGACTGGCGTTGTGTCAGAAAGGGAGGGGGAGGAAAGATTTGAGCTACGTCCATATCTCGGTCCAGACAATGAATTTGCATCTTTGTTTGTTTGTTACCTTCTCTTTCCGTCCTTGTTCACTTCAACAACTTACTGGCGTCGATCGCAGTTCAGGGACTTGGGACCTCTGGTAGCCCACGGTCACCGGTATCATCTTCTTTTCCTACCCTTTTAGACCCAAACATGTGGGTTTTACCGATTCTTCTTTTTCTCTGGTTTTGCACTCTTCTATTTCTTCATCTACTCATAGAGGTATTCATCCTCTGCTTTTATGCCATTAGCCGAAGAAAGCGGTACTAACCCGGTTATACGTGTTCTACCTCCTCGGACAATGACTGCTACTCCTGTATTGGTACATAACGCTGTAAATCTGAACCCCAAATTTGAAATCAAGAGAAATTAATACGGGTCTTCGTAGATAGTCGGAACTACAGCTAATGTTCCACCATATATATTATAACTAGGCGGAGAAGTAGTAATAAATTGACAATTTGCTAAACGCCATTGCATCATCTAAAAATACAAATCTGTATATGCGAAGAACGAATACATCTTTCCAATGTAATGTAATATCCACACAAGTTTCCATCAGTATTCAATACACGCCTTCTTTAGCCCTTAGGCCTTCTGCTCCGGCTTCTTCTCCTTAAACGCCTCATCAGCAAGAACTTCCACACCGTAGTTAGGCTTCTGTCCTGGTATAACGTGACCGCGGGTCAGGTCGAGTTCACCGTGGCGGACACGTCCAGGCCAAGATTCGGCGAGACGAGCATCGTGAATATCAGTCCAGAGGATCTTAACGCCGTTGCTTTCCAGCCCGTTCGTGCTTTCAGGCTCCCGGACCTTGTATTCGACTTCGGATGTGCTCAAGGTCTTTTCCAACTCAGCCACACGCTCAGCCTGCTCCTCGGCCTTGGCTGTCTCCTTCGCACGAGCCTCCCTGCGGCGCCGTCTAGCAGTGCGAGTGAGGTATCCCCTTTTGCCATCAGCGAAGCCATTCGCGATCTCTTCCTCCTGGATGGCCAAAACGGCAGACACATCGGCAACACTAGTAGCCTTCTGGTCCATCAAAGCACGAGCGCGGTGTTTCTTCTCCATCAGCCATCCGACCTTGTCTGCATACTTCTCGTCGAACTTCTTGGCTCCTTCGGGGTCTTTGGGCCGCTTCTGATCCAGGAACTTTTCACTGATCGTGATCATCTCACGAGGCGGGGCGAATTGGCGCTGCACGGCAAATTCGCGGAGAAGATGGTAGGCACGGAGGCCAACCTTGGGTTCGTTGAAATGGACGGAGTAGTAAGGCACCCACATGTCCTTTCGGAGTGTAGCGGGGACGGTCTTTTTGCCGTGGTATACTAGCTGACGGAGGACATTGTTTTTCTAGGGAAATATGCATCTTAGCATATGCTCCTGTGGGATTACAAAACGGGTACTAGAATGGAAATGGTAGTCTTACCTCCAGATACCGCGTCAATGAGTAGACAACCTGGTTGGTGCGGATGTTATGATAGACGAAGATGTTCTTCCCGTGCGTAATGGCATTGATGGCCTTTCGTAACCGGACTCCCTCCTTCAACTGATGTGTCTTGAACGCATTCGAGTTCTGTTCCCGCGCTTTTCCCTGGATTACGCTATGGTTCTCGACTGGCGGGCGACGGACGACATTCCATGTCCCGATTTTGGTCGGGTCCAGGATCTTCTGGAACGGCTTAGTGACGGACTGCGAGGCCATTGCGGCCAGAAACGCACTGCTGCGTCTCTCTTATTGATCGAACTTGAGGTTAAGTTGAGTAGAGTGTTCCCCCCTCTAGTGCATAACGATTCGGGGAAAGGTGAGGTGAGGTTGATGGAGTGTCGGAAGCTGGAAAGTGAGAGCGCGCGGATCAATTTTTCGACGGGGAGTTAGACCAAACCCGACCAAACCAAATGGGCAAACCCGCCCGTAACCTCCGCAGAGCAATGGATGCTTGTGTTTAAGCTCCCATCATTCTTAAAGGAGCATTCGAGTTTAGCGCACATCTCATCCTTGTTATACTTTAATTACTGAATTTGCTTACATTCCAAGCTATAGTCTTTGGAACTGCATCTATAATGATTGCGCACATCAACTAAACGATCAAACTGCCGCAATGTCGCTGACTATTACCTCGGAAGGCATAGGCCATGATGATGCTGGTAATCGTCGCGAGAGATCTTGGCTGTTCCCATCGGTAATTTTATCCTGCAGTAGAATCTCCGCCAATTGGTCTGGGGGTAAGCTGATAGGCTTGTTTTCTAGAACCGCAAGCTTCGCCATCTACAAGGCATCTCGATTCGTAATCTTGTTGTCGACCCCCCGAGCAGGACTCGGGGGAAAACTATTGATGACGAAGACATCCCAAACTCGTTCCAATCGCCGTCGAAGATCCTTGCACAGGATGCGAGTCGCCCCTTGAACCACTCGCGCTCGTTTACAAATCTCAAATCCGTCAATGCAGCCGGTGATAAGTGTATTAGTCGCGAGCCGCCTCCCCGGCAACAGCCACAAAGACGAAACACCTTACCTTGGAGCGATCCCAATCCGCGTGCAAGACAAGTAAAATTGGAGGATATCACGAGGAGTCGAATGGCAGATACCTGGTTCTCCATGCATTGCGACAAGATCGAAGAACCAGTGTATGTGAGCGAGGTCGTGAAGGGTGCAACGAACCCGAGCTTCCGGTCCTTCGACCTGAACATGTGCGGGCCGTTGGTCTCGCGATCGGATAGCTTCACCCTGAAATTATGGGCGAAGACGACCGCTATGGAAGAGTACATGCTGTTGGTGGAATTGCAGTTACATCTACAATCCCTACAGTTTCTAGGAAAGTCGTTGGACAGCTTCCACCAACCGCTACCGTCGAATTCAGTTCTTTTCCATTTTGCGGACGGTGTTTATGGGAATCTGACGGATCTTCCACCGGTTTGGGTGCCTTTGCCTGCGAAAGCATTAAAAACTTCCGATAGGAATGCGCTGCCGACTTCGTCCTACGACGCACTGATGCGACTGGCAAACCTGGATGAGTGCATTCAAGACGCACTTATCACTAGGGAGAAGCTGGAGGCTCAGATAAGTTCAATTCTGGAGAAGAACCAGAAAGCTTTAGCCGTGACTAGCGAGGCTTCGCGAGCTCGGGATAAAGTTACCCTGACGAAACAGGCGGTTGTGTCTGAGAGGAAACAACTTCGCCTGACTAGGAAACGTAAGGAAGAACTGGTCGCCAGTTTACGCGCGAGGAGGGAGGCTATGGCGCGTGGGCGCCAGACGCAAGAAAGAGCACGTAGTCATCTCCCCGATGCGCAGGAGAAGCTGCACTCCAGCGCTAAACTATTGGAAAAAGAGACAGAAGACTCCAAGGGTCAAATCCGGCGCATCTCAGAGGATCTACTGGCCATCTATCCCATTGAGCCGATCCCCGACAAACCGCTCGCGTTTACAATAGCGGGCATTGCCTTGCCGAACTCGAACTTCACCGATATTCATCGGGACACTGTTGCGGCCGCACTGGGATATACTGCACATTTGGTTTATCTGCTGTCCTTCTATCTATCCGTGTCCATACCTTATCCGATAAATCCGTATCTCTCCAACTCGCAGATCCAGGACCCGGTTTCAGTCTCACTCCCACAACGAACATACCCACTGTACCCAGTCAATGTCCATTACCGGTTCGAATATGGGGTGTTTCTGCTGAACAAAAACATCGAGTTTCTCCTGAATAAGCAGGGCCTACGGGTGTTGGACATTCGACACACGCTCCCCAACTTGAAGTATCTGCTGTACTTGCTCACGGCAGGGACAGCGGAAATCCCCGCACGGAAGGCTGGGGGGATTCGAGGCCTGCTACCGGGCCGGTTGACCCCCAGTATGTCGAGACGCGGGAGCGAAGACAGCGTTGCATACAGCGAATCCAACTTACCCCGGAAAATGATGAGTTCGTTGGTGAAATCCAATGGGGACGTCGCGCTTGACAAGGGGAAGAAAAGTATCCCTGTCTTGAACACGACGTCAGCCTCCCAGGTGGCCTAAACCCGGTCCAGTCCCTCGTGGTGGTTTGGATCTGCGGAAAGGGGGCTTATCTTGCTGACCCCGTAGCGTCTCCGCTGTGATTATTTTTACGATCAGTAGAATTTTTTTTTTCTTTTTCTTCTTTATCTTGTTTAATTACGATGTGGGTGGAATTTATTTTGCATCTGTAGCCTTTTGTGATGGGTGATATCCAAGTCCAAGCATTTTCATCTGTATAGTGTCTTGTTGTCGATTTGCTGCATTTTTGAATAGAGTGAGACATACAATGGGACGAAAAGAACCAAGAAAAATAAAATAACGACTGGCGGGAATGCGAACCGACGGGGAATAGGCCATTAGTGTCGAGTCTAATGGGGATTCCTATTGATAACAGATATCACTGTTCAGGGAATTCATTGCAAATATAATTAAAATTGACGTTCGGCTACCCCGCATTTCCTTCCCCATTTATCGACTTTCCGTGGATACTGTGATTTCTTCCAAATTCCATTTCCAATTGCAAACTTGTCGGTCTGACTGACTCTTGTGATGGTTTGAAGGAAGACCACCCGTTCCCTTGTTGTGCGAATACCGAAGGAATTCCAATCCTGCCCATGGGAGAAAAGAAGGCGTGTCGTCGTGCCTGATAAATACCCGCTAACCCCACCGCTTTCTAACGGAGCGTTCGCTTTGCATCGGCTTTCTCCAACCCCCAACCTGACCATAATCCACTTTGTGCGCCGGCAAAGGGCGGCACGACTGGAGGATTGGAGAACATGATGGCAGCAAGCAATGCACAACCTGACACCGGTCTCTATACCCAAAACAGCCAGAATCAGAAATCCCCGTCGCCCCAGGCCCAGCATCGCCGCGGTTATCAGGCATGCGACCCTTGTCGGAAACGCAAGGTGAAGTGTGATCTTGGCAGTAAGCGCAGTCCTCACATCGCAATCATACGATGCCCCTAGTCCCTTAATTCAGTAGAGTGATGACCGCTGACAGGCGTCGTAGGTGTCGACAATCCCCGTCCTCCGCCCTGTGTACGATGTCGTCGCGAAAGCAAGCGCTGCGAGTTCTCCGCCACCCGGCGCAAGCGCAAACCCTCGGAAGTCGAGGAGACCGTAGATGGCGTACTCCGACGCGATAAGAGGATGATGATCGGGGATCCCGCATCCAATGATTCTCCTAGTGATGGATCGTCGTCCTATGCGCAACCTGAACCGGCGTCGTTTGAGAGTAATAGTGCCATTCCGCAGCAGAAGTGGTCGTCCGAGCAATCACCCACGGCCACCTCCCAGGTACCCCAGCCCACTACCAGCAGCCATCAGTTCACGTCAAATACCCCTTCATCTACCACACACTTCCCCGATGCACGGAATACTCGACTGGTATACCCCTTGGGGGACCGAACAACCAGTTATGGTCTTGACGGCGGGCAAACCATGATGAATCGTACCGCGGTTGAGCTGCTGTCGCCTGCGATCAGTAACAGCCACGATGCGTTACACCTGTTGTCCGAGGCTGCAGGCCGGACGGAAGATCTCAACCGTCAAAGTCTTGAAAATCGTTACGCAGCCCGGCAGTCTGTCTCGTCGTTCAACTCACCCATGTCACCCCTTACCCAGGCTGGCACACCCCGAAGCGCAGGAGGCTCTTTCTCGAGACCAGCTCGGTCTGGAATGCAGATGAATAACTATTTTCCAACGACTGGATCGAGCTCGGTAGATCATCAAGCCTCTGATGGTCGTGGCCAGCCAGGTCCTTCGGAAAGTCTTCCAGACCCAGGGTTTACGGATGCTGTCAAGGCCTGGTCACGATTGCGTTTCGTCCGTGCTGGTTGGCTTTCAGTCGAGGAAGCCATGGCTTATGTTGCATAGTATGTTTCTTTCTTTCTTTCATATCATCGCTCACTGACTTGGGTAGTTACTACAAAAATCTGGCTCATTTGAGCCCAATCGTCATTCCTGATTTCTCTCATCCTTCTACGCATCGTACTTTGCTCACCGACGAGCCCGTGCTAGCTGTTACGATTCTTACAACAGCATCACGACATATGAAACCTAAGGGAGACGGAGCATATACCCGTTCCTTTTACATCCATGACCGGCTCTGGTCGTATCTACGTGGGATGATTGAGCGTCTCTTTTGGGGTCAAGAAAAGTTCGGTGGGGATAGTATGGGAATCAGTAAACCACGCTCGTTCGACCTAGCGCCCACATCGGCGAAAGTGAATCTCAAGGGCAATCTGCGATCCCTAGGAACTATAGAAGCTCTATTGGTCCTGACAGATTGGCATCCACGGAATTTACATTTCCCTCCAGGTGACGACGAGAACACACTGCTGGACTTGGATGCCCAGACTCGGCCCGAAAAGGATTCAGAAATGGACGCCGACAATATCCTGAACCGTAACCATAATACCTCGGCAGAAGGCCGACTTGCTTTTCAGAAGTGGCTGGAACCTGCTTGGCGGTCCGATCGAATGTCCTGGATGTTACTTAGCACAGCACAAGCCTTAGCATTCGAGCTGGGTGTGTTCGATCAGAAAAACGACGCGAAGGCGGCGAGCGAATATCCAGCTGAGCACACGCGAAAAAGGCGGCTTCGTCGCCTTATCCTTGTGTACAACACGCAGAGCAGTGGCCGCATTGGTATTCCGTCGATGCTTCCTCTCCCGCAATACGCCAATGACATCCAACCGACAAATGTAGCCAATGTTAAAGGTGGCGATGCGAACATTGACAAAATGCACGATTGTTGGATCGGAATTACAAAGATTATGTATCAGAGTAACCAACTGCTGTTCGCCTCCAACGAACAAACATCAGAGTTGATCCGCAGTGGTCGATATCGAGATCAGATTGATAGATTCCAGCCATTTTTGCGGGAATGGCGTCAGAACATTGACACTCTTGATCGTAAGTTTCTATTGTCCAGTTCATGGGTCAACGCTGACAATCCCAGTTGCACCTCCAATGAGGATGCTCTTGATGATTGAGTATGAATATACTCGTACGTTACTCTTCTAACCTTTGCTGTGCTGAAGACTGACATCCCCCAGGATTGTATGTCAATTCCCTGGCTCTACAGGCTGTAGTTGATCGGTGGACGACCATGTCGAACGAAGCCGCCCAAAACGCAAGGCCAGGATCTGGGGCAACTTCAGCCAATAGCTGGTTCAACGTGCTCATGGAGTTGTACCGTGTCAATGAACAGTATATCCAAGAGGTTGTTGACGCGTCGCGCAGGATTCTGCAGACCGTACTGGAGGAGCTTATTCCTGGAGATCACCTCAAGCATGCACCCGTCAGGACCTACTTCCGAATCTTGTCTGGGATGATTTTCATTCTCAAGGTATGCCTTATCGTCTACAGGGTTTATGCCATATTGACTAACGAAAATAGACATTCACTCTTGGTGCGAGAGAAGATGACGTTCGTGTCTCCTTGGACCTCCAGGACCGAACCGTGGAAGCATTACGGACACATGTGGTAGACGATGTCCACCTGAGTCACGCCATTGCCCGACTGCTAGAGCTGCTCACGACTAGCATTCGCACCCGATTCTTGCGATTCGCGCCGATGGATCGTGGCAACGACGCCGAGCACGACCGCGCGTCTGCGCCAACCTCCCGACCCCAATCACCCCGTCTCCGCGAGAACCGCCGAGATGGCGCGAGTAATGGCTGGACACCAGGGCAAAACTCGACACAGAATTTGGGCTATGTTGACAGTAATGGTCACTCGACCGGCACTCCGATGACTTCGGTGCATGACCCACTGGCTGGAATCCCGGCACAGCCGATCAACTCGTCCAACATTAACGTTTCATTCATGCCCCCACCGCCATCCGTGTACCACAACTACTATGACCCGAATGCAACGCCCCCTGCAGGGGATCTGGACGGCTCGAACGTTCCATCGCAATCGATGCAGGACTCTGGCGGACTGCCGGACTGGTTTGCCCTGCCACTCGACCAATTCTTCAACAGCTCCACCCTAGTGGATCAAGGTCTAGGGGGCACAGGACCGATGGTGGGCGAATTCGACATGCTCGAAGTCCTCCTTAATGAACAGTACGACGGACACGCTGACAATCTCGAGTCCGCCGGCGGTGGCACCATTCCGTCTCAATTTTTGCAATCATCGTAAACAACATGAAATCACGGCAGATATCGACCCCCAGTCACATAGGAATTGCGATTATTCAATGGATTAAAGGAGATAAATACCCTAATGTACAAATGAACGTTACGATATCATCAATCGACATTGTCAATTACATATATCAAAAAATTCAATCCCTCCCCATAGTCACTTTCCCTTAACAAGTCCAAAGTCAAAACTAAGTAAAAAAAACAAAAAAACAAAACAATAGTAAACAATCTATTAAAGAAAACCTCTCACATAAACCACAACTCCCTACTCAGACCACCCACAAAAAAAAATTCTCCATGAATCCACCTATCAACCCCTAATAAACCATCACGAAACAAAACCCCACAAACCAAAAAAAATAAAATAAAATAAGAAAGAAAAGTACTACGTATCCCAATCTACCACTAAAGGGACATCCGAGTCAACCGTTTCCGCCACGTTTCACCCTTATCTGACAGCTCGGAGATCGGCCGGAGATTTACCGTTACATTTAATGTTAATCTGAGAGTGGGGACTGATTCGCGTTTGGTCGGCGACATGTGATTGATTTATGACAATGGTGGCCTTTTTTTTTTTTGTTTGTCACTAAGTATAGTAAGAGATTCAAGGTAATCTTTGGATTTATCTGTGTTGGGAGTTGGTTTGGGGGCTTGTGCTGTTTTTCTTATCCATGAGGGGTGGGTTTCGGATGTATGTCTGCGAGTGAGGGGGTTCAAGAATGTGATGGAGTTGTAGTGCTGTTGAAGGGTGTGTCTTTGTATGTCTTTGTTTCAGAAATATAGATTGAGTTATGTCATTGATTGTTGGACAGTTGCACTTGTAGGGCTGGGGTGGGAATAGAGTTTTGGTTGATTATATCTGAAACGGGGCCTGCTTGAGATTTAGTGCAATTGCATGGCGGTATCCCTGTTCCTGTCTATTAGTAATTTCGTATCCGTGGATGAGATAGAGTGTAACTATAAGAGGATGAATTGTGTTATGTAATTGATAGCTGCCCTCTCGTGTAACGATCGACATGGTCATATATACAGGAGGTCCAAGAAGACAGTCGCAATCATCCATCAATATGTGCCGCATTCCAAACCATCTCTCATAAATCAAGGTCACCATATACAAGAAGAAATAGATACATCGGTAGATCAAATCACTCATCGCCAACAAATCGAACCAGATCGCCCACTAGGGGTTTGGTTCATTAGAGTTAGGCCGTGCAGTAGAGCACGGAGCCCGCATTAGTTGGACGTTTAAGCCTGGGCAGCGAAGCCGAGTCTGGGCCCTTGGGAGTCGAAGACGACGTACTGGCTCTTCAGGAAGACATCACCCAGGATGGAGAGGCCGAGACCTGAGTTGCTCTGGATACCGCCAACGCAGGTGGAGCTGCCCTCCTGGAGAGGGGCGTAGTTGATATGCTTGCCGGGGATGACAGCGTTGTAGGAGCCGATCACGACGGTGAACTCGGGGAGCTCAGTTTCGCAAGGGAAGACGTAGCCTCCAGCGGATGCGTCGTTCTTGGCGCCCTGAACCTGCTTGTAGTAGGCGTCGACGATCTCGTCATCGAGCATGACGAGGGTGGTGCCGGTGTCTGGAGGGAGGTGTTAGTAGCTGTCCAGTCCTTATCGATTTGCGTTGGGATTGAGACTCACCAGCAATACCGGTGATGGGGGCCTGCTGGGCGTCGCCCTTTCCGACAGAGTAACCGTCAGCAGTGAACTGCCAGAAGCCCTGGGAGGAGTCCACATCGGCATAGGCGAGTTCACCAGTGAACTTCTGCTTGTCGATGAAGCCAAAGTCATAGGAGCCAGGAGCATGGTACTTCAGGGTCACAGCGAACAGGGGAGAGTCCAGCTGGCTCTTGACAGTGTCGAAGAATGTAGTCTGGGGCTTGGGCTTAACTGTAGTCTTTGTCAGCCAACACCAGTCATCGGCGTTGTGCACACAAAGGATGCCTTACCAGTGTTGATCGAGCTGAAAGCGAGACCCAGCAGGCCGTCGTTGTTCTTGTCCTCAACGAACTGCTCGCTGATCTTGCTGGCAGCCTCGACGGCCTGGCCCTGGGCAGTGACGCCACCAACGGTGACGGTATCCTGATAGACATCGCCGCTGGCACTGCTGCCGTCACCATAGCTGATGTCCCAGCTAGCACCCTCGAGCTTGGAGGAATTGCCGGAAGGCTTGTAGACATCGTGGCCGGTCTGCTCGGACTTGGGGAGCTCCTCGGAGAAGACCCAGCTGGATTATCATTAGTCGAGCATTTTTCAAAATTTGGAGAGCCGACTATCACTCACAGATCGGCAGAGCCAGTGTCGAAGTCGAGGTTCAGAGTCGTACCACCGATGTTGACAGGAGTCAAGTACTCAATGTCGTTGGGCTCGGGAGAAGTCACGACAGTACCGCTACCCGAGGCAACAGCGCTCTTGATGTGTGCAGGCACAGCCCCACCATACTTAGCAAGGGCCCTGCTGTAGATCGCGGGGAAGCTGGCGGTCTTAGGGCCGACGCGAGCAGTCTGTCTGGTGATCTGGTTGATGGTGAATCCCCGGCGAGCATGGGGGGAATGAGAGGGACCCGTGGGTAACGCAGAGGCGACCGTGGAGAGGCCGACTGCAACGGCAGCAACTTTGCTCAAGACAACCATGGTGATTGCTCTCTAGGCGAAAAGTCGAGACGACGGGAAAGGAGCGAAAGACTGGATGTGAAAGAATGACAAGCACAAGCCTAGACGAACTCAAGAATCTTGTTGAAGAGGATGAGAGAGTGATGGGCAAGTCAGGGCAGCTGGAGGGCGCTCCTTTATAGCTTTGTCTGCCCTGGTGGGCATCATGATGGTCGTGATGATAGTCAACGGACTCCGGTTCAGGGGAGCAGTCCACATCAGCAGCACTAGGTAGTGTTTCTCCTCTAGGTATGGAGCGACAAAGATCCTTGTCATCCAGTAAGCTTTCTTGGCCCAGTTACAAGCTCATCCACTACGGGGTAAGAATAGGTTGTAAAGGTGTTGGCGCCAAGATCCCAATGGACGAGTGTACCTGAATGGTGAGCTGACGAGATGAGAGGAACAAGCACTCTGCCCCATGTCTAGACCCGGATGCTACGGCGGAAATGGTCATTGCTTGTTTAGGACAAGACCTCTGGTCGGGTTCTGCTGATCTCCACCTCTGTATCGCGGATTAATTTGAGGTGGACGGATATCTCCGTCTGGTGGAAAGGAAGACATTCATCATCCATTCGATATCGGTCCGGCGATCGCCATTCACCCGGGCTGGCGTAGCATTGGAGGAGGGGGAAGGCGCAGGGGTACCCGGGTCGAGAAGGCCCAAGAGCAGTGAAGAAGACGATCAAGTCATCAATGCAATCAATCTATCTGGGAGCCTGTGAGGAGGGCCGGATGAAGGCCGAACGATGATTGAAGGAAAATGAAATTGAGAGGGAAGCAAAGGACCCACGCTGGACCTCGACTTGGGGTAAAAGTATTGCACTCGGCCCCTGATTGGCTCTGTCCCTGATACTTCCAGACTAGTACGAGTCCTGACTAGTCGCCATCACATGGGCGTGCCTTAGACACGAGGCCATCCAATTCCTCTCCTGGAGACGAACCGTCGGAGTCCTGAAGATCACCGTTTGTCCCTGAACGAACATCTGATATCGACCAAGTGTACTACTAGTATTCATGTCACTTCACACCGAGTTTTTTCTATAATCTGCACATGAATGGAATGTTCTACCGGGGTTTCCATGATCTCCCGAATTACCCAATTGAAAAACATAAACTGAGACGGCCAATGACCCTGTCATATCAGACGCACGGTGAGATTCTTGTCGCTGCATCAGCAGCCGCCCTCGGCCTTCCTCACTAAGCTCGAACGATGTTACTCTGCCTGCGGCCACTCGTCAATTCCCCACCATCCTTATCAGAAAATACTCAATTTCTCGATTGCTGAGGAAAGCAGAATGTCTCCATCAACCAAGACACTGATCTCTACAGTCCAACCAGGTTTCATCATTAAATGACGAGGGCCAACGCCGTGCTGAATACGGACAAATCACCGCGCCCGACCTGATTTTGGTCGCTCTCCACTTAGCATGCATGCTCCGTAGAAGACGGGGCAAGCGGATTGGGTGGACTGACAGGAAAGTCCCTAATGGTTAGGGCTGTCGATCACCGACGGTTTCGGTGATAAGCGGCTCAATAATCAATGAAATCAGTCCATGGCTCTCTGTTGGTACCTGCCTTATCGGGGGTGCCTATGGACAGGGTTTGAGTTTATCACTGGATAGTATCAACTATCCCAATCTGTCTATAACTCAATTGTTCCAAGTTCTTGTGGAAGCCGTGTCTGCCGCTCATTTGCACCGAATGGGCGGTATATTTACAGGGAAAACCGGCAAAGTATGCCCTAAGTGGCCCTCGAGTGGTATTATTTTACATATTCATGTTACTACATATTTTATATGGCCAGTCTTTCGTCTAGTGCGGCAAGGCTACTTAATGCACTTGGGAACCTCGGGCCATACCATCCATATACCATTTTTAGCTAGCTTGGCTAACTTAAGAAAGACACCGTCTCTTTTCGGCTCCCATCATCATAGTACCCTCAGATAACGACTCCTGCAGGGACCAAATACCAAGAACAATGGCGAGATAATGCACAACTCTAGTAGACAATGACGAGCGCACTAGTTCTTCCAACAGTTCAGGAGAAGAACTGTTACCATTATCTAATAGCGGACCGTTTATCTCGGGAGAAGTTAGTCAGATGCTTGTCTCACAATCTAATATATTCCGTCGGAGCTAGCAATCCTGCTCCACTTCTGTATTTCCCGAAAATCCTTACTTACTGATAGCCTGATGGACGGACCACCGACGGCAAGGTTCCAGATTGGAAGATTATTCACTCGAAGGTATTCTGGATTCGCTCCGCGATGGCACCAATTGCCTGTAATCGCTCGTCTAAGCCTTCTTGAATCGGTAGTCCAGCATTAACAGACGTCTTATTGCTAAATCTCCACTGCACGTCCATCTGATTTGTCTCGGAAGAGGGAATTAATCATATTCACTATCTGCGCGGTGGACGTCATGAATTCGGCCGGAATCTGATCCCATGTTTCTTCATTCAGCAGCCCGGTTTTGATAACCCTATTAATACAATTGACGAGGATTCTGTTGTCCAGGAGAAGGTGCTCGGTTATGGATCGCATGAATCCAACAACACAGTGTCTTGACGCGGTGTAGACGGGGCAGATTAGCTCGGCAACAGGCCAGCAAGCGAACATGACATTATCAGCAACTTTGGAAGATCGCTGTTCTGCTCCCAGCAGAAAGTGGGTGGTATAGATCACCCTGACTAGATTCACATGTACCAAGTTAACTTCAGGGCAGGATGGTAGCCCGTCCTCGCTCGTTGATTTGCTAGTGAGGAATGAATCGCTCTTTGATTTCCCTTGCGTTGGCGAGGGCTAGTCATACAATCAACAAGCAGCGCGAGCGGCATGCGAAGAAAGCAACTGTAGATGAACCAACTTCTAGTCGACCATATCTCTGCCATACAGTCGCAAAAGTTTGTCCAAGACTCTCATAGATGGTGACGTTCGCGAGGACAAATATGCCATTTAGCTATGCGGCTAGATCTTCCTTGGTAGGGGATTCGTCTACTACAGCGATCTGCCAAACTTGGTTTGCAAGTGACTTGCAGACGGCAAGGCCTATGCCAGAAGCTATGGAGGATAACATTAGATAGGTCGTCCCAAGTCTATTCACAACCTGGTATTCTGTCCAACTCACCACCACCTGTGACTAGCGCGACTTTCGCCAGACTTCTTTGGCATACCCAGAATTCTGCTTCTGACCAGATAGGTCATTGCTGCGTAATTGTGTAAATTGGTTATATGGTGTGAGAGACCAGACGTCAATTCCTCAAACCAGACTTCGCCTCTCAATAATAGCTGCCTCACATTACATTTGAGCTTGGAGACCTCAATATCTTATCCAATGCCAGGCGCCCCAGCCGAAGAAGATATAGAAGCCAACGTACACCAATCTAGCAACTGTAGAAAATGGAAGACACCACCAATGCATCTAATCCCTCAGATATATATACTTCTGAGCTTCGTAACCAGGACGTCATGTCAACTTATATTTACCATCCCTGGAACACGAAACTCTGTAACAAGCAAATCCTTATACAACCAAGTTGGCCAGAAAATCATGCAATCTTACCACAAGGAAGTACCAAATCCACAATCCCAAACCAGAAACATTCGAGCAAGCCTCCTCCAGTAGTCTTCAAGAATGTCAAACTAAAATCAAGAAAACGCCGCCCGTCCAAGGCATAGCTAAGCTTCTCGTAAACAAGCTTAAACTTAATACCTGTAAGGCCCCTCCTTGGCCGCCAAACTCAACTCCAAGATAACAAGGACCTCTCCTGTTAGATTAACTTTCGGTCAGGATAAAGGGATACAAAGAGGTGGCTCGGAACTTCGGATAGACACCAAAAAGTGCTCTATTGCCGAGCCAATTGTGTCGTTCTGAGACGCCAGTAACTGATTATGTGTAATGTCATCTACTAGTAGGAGAACGGAAGGAACCCTTTGTCAGCCCTACAAGTTGCTAGTAGCTGATGAAATGCGATTCGCGCATAACAGGCCACCTAGGATATAGATACGAATATATATATTGTCAATGCGGGTCCATAAGGCGTAGACTAGGCTATCTGTAGCTTTGGCTTGGGATATTTACTTCGCTATCGTAGCCTTTTCTGTTCATTCATGAAGATATATAGAACGATATACGAGTTAAGAGTGGATTGTGCATTGTAAACCGGGAAGTTGTTAAATGTATATTCACTACATGTACGGAGTACCAATCAGGGATATCTTAAAAGGCATCCGAAGAAACCGAAACTGAGAACTTGGACAGACAAACACTTAACGGCTTAGCATCCCGTTTCAGCCTACTACTCCCTAATTTAGAGGGGCAGCCTATAGTAACATACTCTCTTCCAACTTCACTCCACAAGTGCCTTAGCGCTTACTGTGATGGCCCAAGAACGCCTTGGCCTGGTTGGCTCCACGATCTATCACAACCTCAAAGCCCCCGCCACGACCAATCTCATTCGAAAAGCCCCGAAACCTCTGTTGGACGTTCTGGCGCAGGGTATGACGCTCGCTTGGGAAAAAAGCTCTTCTAAATCGTACGGCCATCACCGGCAGACAAACATCGCTCATGGTATTCAACACTCAAGATTCGAGTTTCACTACCTACTAGTATCCTCCTTCTTCAAGCCCGATGGAGTCCCAAATTAATAGCCTCCGTTGGTTGTGGCCCTGGGTCCTGGGGGCTGGATCAGCTGGACGCATCCTTCAAAAACCCTAGGGACAGTGGACTCAGTCAGACTGCATGGGTCTTCAAGCACCATCGAGGACCTAGAGCTAGATCTAGACACTAATGGAAGCCCGGCATATCCGCCCGGTATTGAGAGGAACTACCGTGATTCGCTACTTTGTATGAGCCGGACCTGACTAGTTAAGCGAGTCACCCTAAACCTTCCCTAATTCAGACAGTTTGTGATCCTCCCGCTTTTTTCATCAGATCACGTCAACTTCCAAGTAATATTCATACAACAAACTTAGGACAGATATTCTATACACTATGGTTTTATTAACTAGATTAATATATTTCAAAGAGAAAAGATATCTTCTTTATTTGTTTTTTTTTTTTAAAAAAAATAAAATAAAATAAAAAATACGATTCCAATATGTAATATTCTGCATATATCTATCTTGAACTGTAATTTAAGACTAAGTTGCCTGGATCTGGTATAATATAAAAAAGTGGGACTCAGGATCACAAATTGTATCATGTTGTCTGGATCAGGAAAGGTCAGATCGACTCGCTTAACTAGTCAGATCCGACTGAATCGACTTCTCTTTTGTATGCTGCTGATTTCTTTCTTGACCTTCATTCCGACAACTTCTGGCAAGTGTTGGTTTCTTCGATAGACAACCAGTCGTTCCTTCATTCCTTCATTCCTTTCTATTAGCTCTAGTCATTCCTTGAATCTTTCAGTTCTCAATATGCTCTTCAACAATCCCTCAACTACCCTTGTGGGTGCACTGGGTTGCATATCGCTTTTGTCCCAGCATGTGTATGCTGCGCATATTCCGTATCGTCACCGACACAACCAACATAGCCCTGGAGGCTCCCATGATTCTGCTCTGCCAGTTGGTGCCTGTGCAGCCGGCACTACATCTGTAACAACGACTGTGACTGTGACTGTAAACGTCGATGCTAGCCCAACAGTGCAGAACATCGTTACTCCCACGGTTATCATCTCTACCGATGCTCCGGCGGCTACGTCCAGCTCCAGCTCCACCTTTACCTCTGTTGTCGAGGTTCCCTCCGCGCCTGAGTCTGAGTCTGAGTTTGCATCTGTATCTACATCTGTTTCTGCCTCTGCCTCTACATTTACCTCTGTCGTCGAGGTTTCCTCTGCGTCCACGACTGCATCTGCATCTACCTCTGTCTCTACCTCTACCTCTTCGTCAGGTAGCAGCACTTCAAAGGCAAAGGTCATGATCCCGTACTATCTGTACCCATCAACCGGCGCATGGACACCCTTGGAAGAACTGTAAGTCGATCTCCCGCCAAGCCGATATCAGGGAAACTAACCAAACAGGATCCTTGCCAATCCCGATGTGCAGTTCACCATCATCATCAATCCCGATAATGGTCCTGGCTCAAGCACTGCCTCTGACACGAACTTCCTTACGGCAGTTCCCAGACTGGCATCCTACAGCAATGCACTCGTCCTCGGCTATGTGAGCACTCAGAAGGGAACTCGAGACATCTCGGAAGTCGAACAGGATATCCAGACCTACGCCTCATGGCCATCTGCCAGTGGAAAGTCCTCCTTCGCAGTGCACGGCATCTTCCTCGACGAAGCTGCCACGGATTACAGCGCCGATACCGTCACCTACTATACGAACCTGGCGTCGACCATCAGACAAAGTGACGGGCTTGGACCTAACAACTACGTACGTTGAACCCTTTGCACAATAGTAGATTAATTAACTCACTGACCGATATAGATTGTCACAAACCCCGGCGCTGTTCCCGATTCATCCTACCTTGATATCCCCGATTCGACTGTCATCTTCGAGTCGGCATACAGCGAGTTCCAGTCTGCATACTCCGCCAACGAATTCGAGAAGGTCAAGGGTCTGGATTTGAGCCGTTTCGCTACCATGGTTTATGGTATCCCGTCCGATACCGACCTTTCGACGCTGATTACGCAGCTGCGCAGTATCTCCAGCCATACCTACATGAGCAACCTTGACACATACCAGGCTTATGATTCTTTGTGGAGTACGGTGGTGTCGTTGTTGTCTGCTTAAGCCAGTCAAGGTGATGAGAAAAGGCGACCGGCTTTCTCCGGTCGCTTTCCAAGTCTTCATCCCCGGTCTGCGACACACCATCATCCAATGTTGAGTTAACGTACATTACGATTATGGTCATTAACGAAATCAAATAGTCTTCAAGGAACACATCGTTCCGTGGGGTTTAGATTTTGGTAACTTTTGCTACTAAATTAAGTAAAAAGTATAACGGAATACACGTAAAGTTTCCTAAGAAAAGAAGCGTGAAAAAACAAAAGATAATTAATATAAACCGCCCAGACCAAGGCCATTCCCCCAAAAACAAGTTTTGCCTAGACAAAACGCCATCCAACCAACTATAATATTTCATTCCAAACCGCGTATTCTTACCATCTTTAACGGAGGCGAAAATGACGGAGCAGCGGAGGATACCTATAAATAACCGGTGATAAATCAGCCACACTCTAATTCCGCTCCAGATAACAGGACAATTTTGATAATTGATGAATATAAATAATTCGGCCCACAAAATGAAACCCGTCGGTAATCTGGTTATGACCTGCTAACACCGTTGGCGGTTTGTCGGACCATTTTTATTTGCTTTTCAATTTCCCCATTTGTTCACTTCCCTCGATTTTTGTCTAGTATGTCTGTCCTCGGGAACATGCGGCTTGGTTCTTTCCAAGGGTAGGCTTCATCTTTCTTTTTGCTAGATTTCCTCCGGCCCTAATCTTTCATCTTCGAAAGTTAGGTCCTCTAGCATTTTATCCACTCCTTTCATGGTTTATCATTTGCTTTGGGTTCCCACCTCTTTGTTAAAGAATCGCGGCCTACTCTCCTGAAGGACAGAGACCACCAGCATATAACTAAGACTTCCATGGGTAAAGAATCTAAAATCTCCCGACCGAAGTGTCACAATTAAAAAACGCCTATGTATGCCGTATTAGGGTACAGTAAGGTTACTATAGCCAGCGGCCCTCAGACAAGACCAAGGACTACAGCAGAAGCATCCCATTCATTCTCTAGTTAGGTGCCGTTGGGTTTGGCCTTATTCAGATTATCGAAGACAAGCAACACGAGGTCGCTTCGAGCCTCATTCACTTGCCCTTATACCAGCAGCCGAGTCTAGTTGTGCAATAATGCGGCCATCATTATCCCTATTTCCACGACCCCTTCCCCCCCAATGAAAGTCTGCCTTGTCACACTCTGTCAATATAAAACCAAAGCTTCTTTGCTTCCTCTTCTGATACCTCCTCGGATTTCTTTCTGAATATAAAGTTGGAACAGTTCGCTGTGTCTTGCTTGCACTTTGTTAAAGTCAAATGGGGCGGTACCCAGCCGTCATCGTCTGAATGAAGCAACTCCTGTGTATATGCTTTCAGTCTGTGCCAATCTTTATACCGAGAAAGCTCAAGTCTGTGCCTTGATAAATCATCCCTTGTAATATGGTACGGACAAGGTCCGGAGAGGCCTATTTGGCGCCAATTTTCGGAGATCTGGACTAGAGAATCACGGAGTGGGATTATATCGTGCTTCCACATGTGTTCGGTCAAGGAGAGTAAGTGTCGTGCGACTGAGTCGACTTGAGTTAAAGCCAAGTATGATTCAAGGTGATTCTTAGCAAGTGCTGCTTCGTAACATTTCGACAGTAAAGCTTGATCTCTCTCTGTTTTCGCAAAAGCTTTCTCGTCCGAATCCATTTTTTCAAAGTTTGGCGGTAGGTCCGGCTTGACAATCCCAATTTCGTAGTTTTCAGGAGGGCTAATAAAGGGGGGCCATTGGACTTGCATGAACGCAGGCATAGTTGACACAAATTGCCAATCTATTATGCCAACGATTCTCGTAGGGTCCTCGTTACAAACAAATATATTGCCCAGATGAAGATCCCCATGCCACAGGGTTAGTCTAGAGAAGCGCTCAACCTTACTATAGCTCACTACCTTCGGTATAATCTTCATAGCGGTCTCCAAAATGTGAATATGTTCGAGGCGACTACCGAAATAGGGTCCACGAGGAACGAGAGTTGAGTGTTGTGCATGCGCTAGGCCTCGATTAGCCAACGCAAGACATAGGCCAGAAAGACTCGCCCCTATGCGGATGCAAACATTAGCCCGAGTCCAGTAGTTAATACAGAAGGTTCAGGTATGGCAAAAACGGGCCAGAGTACTCTTGGTTGCGAAACTGTGGAAACCACGACGCGTTATAGGCGGGACCAATACAACAATCGTCATTTATGGGGATCACTGGACTTCCGTGTTTAGCTGAATGGCGGAAATACAGATGTCCATAGCCAGGAAATTCTATCGAAGCCAACTGGCTCTCCAGCTGAACCAGGTTTTGAATCAGCTTGAACTGTTGCAGCTGGCCCATCTCACCCCATACTGATATCAACTGCCTACCGTTTACCTTCTCCAACACAATGTACTCCGACCCAACGGGATTCGAGAAATCAGAGTTCCACGCAAGGACGTTGGAAACTGGAATAGAGGTATGAGACCTTACTATCGAACCCCATCTGGATTAGTAGTGGAAACCCGAAAGAAGCCACAGAAAGAACCTACCGTATTCCAAGGAAGCCGCTTCAGATGCAGTACTATACTCCGCAGGCACAACAGTAGGACACGGTATCTTCGTAATAATTTCTTTTCCATTTTCAGCTGTCATCAACAATGCTTTGTTGAAGCCGCCCTCCAATTTATCAATTTTGGATATAGGTGAAGACACGAAGGGCAAAGACGAGACTACTGTGCAGAGAGCATCGAGATCAAATTTGGCATATCGTTTTGATATTTCGTGCTTCTCATTGACCAGAAATCGTCCGTTCGTGTATTCGAAAAGTTGCTCATACTGGATAGGCTCTCCTAAGGGCGGGTATCATTAGACAAAGGGGTTATTGCGATATTAGAGGCATACCACGACTAGTCAAAGAGATGTTCCTGGACATGGATTTTGAAGTTAGCGTGGCCTTTTTCAAAATACCGCTTCGTATTCTGTACATGGCTGTTATCCCACGCAAGACATTGAGAATTGGATGAAGATTGTACCGTTTTAGGCCGTGGTATGCCACTCACTAGACCTTACCTAAACTCGCCCCGAACTCGCTGATTCTTAGATCCGGGTATAGAAGGTAGAGTCTACCCGGGGTATTGAGTTTTAAAATCAAAATCTAATCTGAATGTAGAAAATCTATATAGATTAGATGAAATATGATTTCTCGAAAATTGGAGTGGAATCCAACTAACTTTGCATCGTCACTCTCGCGCTAGGAGTTATAATTAGAAACATAGCTGTTTATATAACCTCGATAGCTGTCATATTCAAATTAATTTCACACATCCTTATATATGATTGTAATAGTGGAGTTATGTTCTCAAGTGTACAGTATATGTACGCAACAGGGATATCGTAAAAAGGTGAAGAATTGAAACAGAGAGCCTGGACAGACAGTAGCAGGAGACCCGGGCGAGAAATAGCCGTGCACCGAACACCGACTATGCTCCGCAGACCAGAATATGTAGAGTTGTATAGCCTTAATTTATGCACAAGAACAACCTGCGAAATTTGTGCAATAGGACCCCGTATGAACAATATGATACTAGTACTCACCCCATCCCATAAAAAAAAACAGGGGCGAACGAAAACAACTAACGCCCCTCCCATCCTGGAACCCCAAAGCATATATGTGCAGTCCGAAATGGCCGTCTGTGACAATACAGACAGTGATCATAATTCTTGCGTGTCCAAACCCCATATCTCGTAGCGTTTGACAGTGTCCCAGCCCACGCGTCGCACCCGACGTCTCCATACACGACCATTCGCGAGCGTTGTGGGCAGACAAGGGTTGAAATCCGATAGTTCTATAGGGCTTTCACGCGACATTCCCTTCTTAGGTGGCGCTCCTGGGTTCAGATCATGTTCTCGCCTTCGTTTGCCTAGCAACGAAGGAGCCTGGCTTGTCCTCGGTGCTGGGCCTGTGGGCGGGGTGTGAGAAGCCGGGGCTGGAGTCAAGATACAAGAGGCGGCTGTTCCGTCGTCCTTCTGTGAAAACCCATTCTGGTAAGGCTCTCGACATCCATTGATCTCCTCGCCCATTAGGTCAGCTGGGGATTGTGATTGCGATTCAACGGTACGCTCAGGGGGAGGGACAGCGGGAATTGTATAGTAGTCCAAAAGCTCGAATGCTTTCCAGCCGAAACCGAAAAATCTCAGCTGACTGAATACCTGTGGATCCGCTAGCGATTCGGAGAACTTTTCGATGAGGATGTCGTCGTCGGCTTCCACGATATCTGCAAGAGATAGCGCGGATGTAAATACTTCGTCGGCTGAACGTGATGATAAGAGTCCCAAGCTCGCTTTCGGTGGCCGTGGAGTCTGCGGCGACGACGTAGCACCAGTCGGAACTAAAAGGCGTACAGCAACCAAGTTACGGAGGAATGGGAGTAATAGCCTAGTGTATCCATGCTGGAGAATTCTGTTGCAAAAGAAAGCTGCTCAAGTTGTGGGCTAGAGTGAACAATACGTGCAATTGTATTTGATGAGAGCGGCCAGTAGGAAGGAAGCAAGAGATGCCGTAGAGTTGCAGCGTGGTTTATAATTATATTATTGAGGTAGGCATCACGGATGCCGGCCTGCAATCCGGGAGAACAGGAAGGTGTAGTGTCGGGAGTATAGGCTGGAGCACTGCCTGGGTTGTGGTGATTATGGTCCACAGAGGGTGGCGTGGGGGCCGGGTATTCCAAGTGTCTGGGTGATCTCATATCGTTGGGATTGGGCGTTGCGTTGACGAAATACAATCTTTCCAATCCTGTGAAATTTCCCAGGAAGTCCGCATGCCTCCTATTGAAACGATCCTGTCTAATGCTCTTGATCCTGACAACATGAGGCGGAGCAATCGGCCAGGTACTGTCAACAAACGTATTCATGAAGTTGTAGTCGTCTGATTTGGTATCAGTAAGGATGGTGACATCTTCAACCATGGTCTGATCGAATGCAAGATTGAACTCTTCGGTATGAAGGGCATACAAGTTCTGAAGCCCTATCTTCTTGACTCGAAGAGGCTGCTTTGCCGATATGCATTTGCGGAAGTAGTCATGGACCATGACGCTGGGCTCTTGCTCTTCTCTCATTCGAGGTGACCAGTGCATATTGAGTTCTTGTAACTTCTTACACTTCCAAAGGAGAGTTGAAATGTCGTCTGGGTAGCAAAGAGGATCGATATCGGTGATTTTCAAGCGCCGTAGATGCGGCATTGCGGGTATGACGATCGTCGGTCGAGGGTGACGGCTCGAGGGAAATCGTATACTCAGCGATGTCAACTTAGGTTGTTGCGCCAGTCCGAGGTAGACGGTTTCCAGCATCTTGGTGTTGAGGTCCCAGCTGAAGCTTTCCAACTCATTCATCTTGTCGATGGCCGCCCGTACCACAATATTCAGCATCATGGAGGAATCTGTCACCCGACCAATGCGCGCATGTTCTTCCAGCTCTGACTCCCGCCAGTTTCCCCGGAGCGTCAGCGACCGAACTAGCGATGCGTAAGGACGGGTGATAATGGCGTTAAGACCCATTGAGAAGGGGCTTGCGCTTCCCATCCCTTCTGGCTGGTCCCCACGGTATCGGATCCTATCGTAGGACGTCAGGGTAATGCTCTTGTACAGCTGCGGGAGCGTCATGTAGTTGAGGACTCGGCATGTTCGACACAGGCGAGCAAGGTCGCCGGGGTCTTCCAACTGTAGGAATAAGGAGTTTTCTAAGTTAGCTTGATCGCTTGCGTATTTCGGAGATGAATCAAGTTAGACATACGTGGGAGATAATGAATGCGATCAGATTCAACGGTAGAACCATCAACGACGCTCCGCGCGGCCGGTCTGTCGTAACGCTGGCGTCAAACATATTCCGATTGACAGCCGCCATAGTGCGACGCCCAGAGGCGATGATGTCGCTGCATCGACTAGCGAGGGGTTTGGATTAGGAGGGCGAGTGCACTGCGTGGTACAGCGTAAGGCATCGATCGATGACGGCAATCGGCGGAGAGCGGAGAAATATGAGTGGAGAGCCTTATTTTTTCTCTTGGGACCACGCGAAGGTTTCGTGAAGCTAAGCCGCGCCGATCAGCTCAAAGACTAAGAGTCCACAAAGAGACCCTGATTACCTCCCGATAATGCTTCCCCTAGATCATAAGACCTCTGTTAGTTCTTGCCCAAATATCTTTAGGCCAATTTGGAGAACTTCACGGATTCGATTTGTTTCCCTCAAGGAGCTCCCGATATCTGTTTCTATCGGTGTGATGTCAGGACGTTTAGGCAGAGTCTCCACGTAAGCCAGTGACTAGTCACAACTTACTACTAGTACCTATTACCTAGTGGCCCGCATCAAATAACTTATACGAGAATCGCTGTAGCTTAAAAACGATACAACGCGGGTCAAGCAAATCAAGAAGTCAATCTGGTATTTAAACTTAGTGACAAAGTACCACCACCACCCCCCCCCCCCCCGGTCAAGCTAGTTTTAATCTCGCAAGTATTTCTACCGACTCTACGGAGGAAAAGCTGCGTCATTCCAATCAAATGAATTCACATTAGTATGTACAGCTTATATAATGGTAGTAACTACAGTTAACTATCTTGATACGTAAATCCCATGGGTATCTTTTGTGCACCAAACCCCGTTTTCGCCACTGCATTAGAACCTTGCTCAAACCTTCGGAACGCAGTGTGTGTGGACCATAGACCCTGCCCAGTCCCGCATATGAACCAAAGTCAAGTGATCCCTGTGCCAGCCCCGATAAAGTGAAAAGAGGAATATAAGAATGAAGATCAAGAAAAGTAGGGCTCCCGGTAGATACATCCAGCGATACTCCCGCTAAACCAAGAATATATCAAAGATTAAAGTAAAGACAAAGAAATTCGACGATAGAGATCATCATGAATCATCTAACTGGGACCGACAAATGCGCGGTCCGCCAAAGTGTGCCCCTAGAACATGAGCCTCGAATTCTCACCGAGTTCTAGAATTTTCAAGGGTGGCCTGACTGTCATTCAGTGAATTGGTCGGCTGAGGATGTTGTGGTGATTGCGGCTGCTCCGGCGCAGATTGATCTAGCTCTTGAGTTTGGCGATGCCTTTCAGCAACGGAAGGTCTTTGGGGGTCGATATATGTATCATGACAAGCGTTATCGGTCGACTGAGGCTGAGATTGAGCTTCATCAGGTCCCACAAGCGCTGCCGCTTCGGGGTCATAACGTAACTCATAATTGCCATAGCCAAATTCTCCTTCGTTAGGGGCTGCCCAAGGCGCGGCTGTGTGAGCCTGTGGTTGTATCACCCTTACTGGCAAGTCAGTGCGACTTGGCCGGGGCTGCTGACCTGGGGATGGTTCAAGAAGACTGGACTCAGTGAACCACTCGGGCGACCATGTGTGCTGGCCTCGACGCCTGGCGGGGATGACCGTAACCGGCAACGGGGTATCAGAACCTTGCCGTCCAGTGCCGGGCCTGGGTTTGCGATTGAGCGCGAATAAACGATTGATCGTGGGTCGCGACGAATCCTGCTCGCTGGTCTCCCTGTGGTACAACTCATCTCCATCTCTAATAAGGACATCCTGCTCCTCCGCTTGTGCTGAAGCAACTTCCCTAGGTAGAGACGCACGCCTGCGCCTGAAGGGGTTGAGTATCGTACGCCATCGGTCGTCCACGTTGATGATCTGGGGCGACTCTTCCCTGGCATGTTCCACTGAGCTGCGCTCACGAGCCGAATTTGATCGATGCTCCTCTACAGCGGTATCCAATTCCTTGGTAGCCACATCGCCATAGTCGTCAGGTTCGTTTTCTTCCTCCATATGCGGCATAGCAACCGGCGGTGTAGGGCTGGAGACAGGATGATAATGTACATTGTACACAGTACTGGCAGCGCTCGTAGTGTCCGCCCGGCTGACAGGTGTGACAGCAACGGGTGGTGGAGTAGGCCGGGCTGCTCCCCGGTGGCGGGGGTCATTGGCAATGGCAGGGTTTTGTGCATCCGCACGAGTCTGCCGGTTACGGCCCCCAGGATGACCAACTCGAGTGCGCAATGGGCGCTGAGCCAGCCCCATCATTCCTCCCCATCCCGAAGATGTGCCCGTGCCTCCTCCTCTATCGTTTCTATTGTTTTGTCGAGGCCAGTCGACCTCTTCAGAAGGAGTCACTTCAAGCATTTCATCACCATCGAAAATTTCCCTGCCGAGAATACCATCCTTCCTTTCATCTCGTTCTAATGCTTCAATGCGTTCTACCCACTCCCAAACCACAACGCTAGCAGCCGCCGATCCAACCCACCTGATGTATGTACCCCAGCCAGCGACTTCAGGTTTTGCGATGTCCAGAACGAAAAACACAACTGGTATTAGAACCGCACATAAGGATAAGAGGGCCACTAGGCAGATATTCCTCATCTTCGGGTGAAAGAACGCGAACCGATGTTTGGATAGCGAGTAGAAAATGACCCATGCCGCATAAAGCAAATTAAGCGCAAGCTCAAAAAGATAACTGAGCGCGGGTATTGCATCTTCATATAATCGAGGCCTAGTAGTGTTGCTCTGGACCAAGAATTTATCTAGAATACTGAAAATCGTGTCCAACACAATCAAGGCGAAACCAGCCCATTTAATCATAACCTTCTCTTTATGTCGAGGAAAGAGTCGAATCAGGGTTTGGACCTGGGCAAGCCAGAGGAAAGTGCTCGATATGACTCTGATAACGCGAATTTCCATGCCGTCGATGACCTCCGAGGCAAGCGCATCGGCATCAGAGTAGCCGTGTATATACTGATCCTCGGCCACCTTGAATGAATCGGCAGTCGCAATTGTCAACGATATAGCAACGAGCAGCGCAGCCACTTTCTGCAGCCATGGCCGGCCACCAACGCCCACCACCGAGGAATTACCGCTATAGGAGCCACTGATCATGCCATGACGACCTAGGAAGTTGGCCCCACCACCAGGACCACCAACATAAAATGTGCGTGGTGTTATAAGAAGAATAATGACGAGAAGGTAGCTAACTACAGTTGCGCAGCCGATAGCATATAATTGCGGAGTCACCGAAGCGTAAAAGGGGTCACGGGTATCGAGCATTGGAGATGGACCTCTCGATGCGGTCGCTGTACTCGTGCAGACTGGCTCGAAAACGGCATTTTCTGACAGAGCTATCGAATAGGAGAGATTGAGATAAATGTAACCTAGAAAAGGTCAAACAGTCATGTTAGCCAGATTTGATGAGACCCGATGCGCAGGCAACCAAATTCTTGCCCGGAAGTGACATCGTGTAGAACCACATCCTCACTTGCAGCATACCTTCACTGGGGAGTACAAATGGAGTACATCCAGGGTGGTAAGTCTTCGTAGAAGACGTTGTCGGTTGTGCCCATATCTGGCGAGGGGCTAGACGACCGTCATCCCCCATGGTCGAACGATCAACCCGAGCAGATAGACCACGCGGTTGTAGTCACTCATATATTCCACAGTACCATCCGAGTTATTCTCACCATTTCCAGCAGAGGAAGCATTCGAAATAGCTCTCAAACCTCCATTGGTCCAGCGTGTTCAACCGAGAAGTTGGTGACTATATGCCGAAAACCGGATCGGAAAGTGACAGAAAAGGCGCGACGGCAAGGATCAAAAGAGTCAGGTACACGGATCCAACCAAAGCTGTATATGCAGATAAATCGAACGAAGCGATACAAATTGTTGAAGCAGTAACCGGTTGGGATAGAAGCGAGCGAGTGTCGGAGTCGGATAGTGGTACATTTTCTATGCGAGTTAACTTCGTAACGCTGAACGCCATAAGGATCCGCCACTGCGGTCCAGATTCCAGTCATTGGCGTCACCGCCTAACAAAGACGTCGATGATCAGCCGATCACGTTCTGCCCACATTTTCAAGAACTTAGTTTCTTTGAACCTTTCAATCTTTCCTCAGTTGAATATACATTGCGTCGTCCATATTCTATATATACAGGTTGTCTGAGGGTTGTATATACACAAAAATTTCAGACTCTCGAATTTCAAGAGCTTGACACCACACCGAAGCGAACCAACCGCTGTATGCAAGTAAATTATTCAAAAACAATGCCAAGACCCCATCATGGACACAAAAAAAAAAAGTGAATCGTTATGAATCATTGGCTTCAAATCCAGCCTGAAGTCTTGTATAAAACAAAAAAATAACTTTAGTAGAACTGCGCTGGGTATTTAGCAAAGGGGATGAATGGGCACAGATGCAAATAGGTAATGTATCTCGACGGAGGCCGCCGTTTATACCCGAGTCAGAGCGTCTCGTCCACTGCTCACGAAAATTGCAATATCAAGATTATCTCACTTATCTTGACAAAGGACCGTATGTCATCTGCGGTGGAGCCAAATATGGTGATACAAGGGTTGCTCCTGTAGCCCTGGCTGCATTCGCACGCTCTTCCTCACGTTTCTTGATTTCTTTTTCATTCTGTATGAGAGTGCAGCATGTACAACAGGTCGCTCTAACGCAGTCTGATGCAATGTCTCCTCGGATACCATACGCTTTGCGGGTTCGTCTATGTTGAATTGTCGCCATGAGCCCTATGGAAACCGTTAGCACCCAGTGCCGAAACCGTGGGATAGTAATGCTCACATTGGCAACCACATAAGAAAGCCATCGCTGTACATGACCCATTACATGTCTCATGACCTAACATGTTTGTCGGGTCTTCTTTCCTTGACATCTGCGAAAGACGATACTGCGTCTTCCCATATAATACACAAGGGCACACGATCCCAAGGCAACAGGTCCAAACATCTGAACAATCGCACATGCCATGACTCCATGTTCCACCTATTATATGTTGATTAGGGTGCGATACCTGGCCTGGCCGATGATAGGCTGCAACTTCGTCTGCCAATGGCGTGTAGGATGTCCCTGAGGCCGTCGGTGGTCCGGGAAAGTAGGGTACTTGTGGAGACTGTAGAGGATTTGTGTCCGGTACAATAGCCATAGTTTGCAACCGGGTTACTTGCGCTGGGGTTTCTGGATATGTCTTGGCCGGAAGTGGTCCTGGGGAGTTTGGAGGCGGCACCGCATACGAGTAGTCCGGCACAACTGCATCGTGTTGCTGGACCGGCTGAGGCACCACGTCTGCAAAAGGGGCAGAGATGGCAGGATGCTCTTCAGAATTCGGGCCCCCGGGGTTACCAGGGGCCATCAATTCTTGCCGCACATACTGTGCCTTCTCATTCAATGGTGGTAGGCGTTGTGGTTGTCCTTGCTCTGCTGCAGCCTGTGCGGGTATAGGATCAGACTTGGATCCTGCTAATGATTGCGACGGCGGCGGTTCTTGCTGCTGTTGACCATTTCGTAATCCAGAAGCATGCATTTCCAGTGGTGTCTCAATGAAGGAATATCGCTGATTGTCTCCAACGGAGGTATCCAAGCGTAGCTGCCTGTGCATCTTGGCAAAATGCTTTCGGTTATGGGAGCCGTTGTGAAGTCCGAGAGCCTTAATATACAAAATCGGGTCACTTCATACAGGTCAAATTTGCAAAATGACCTTGCAAAAAGTTTCTGTGACGATTGAGATTGTTGCGGCTAATCACGGTCCCTTCGCACTCAAGCAGTCTTTCGAAAAGATCTACATCTACGTATGGGTGAAACATGTGCAAGTCCTGGATCCTTATCGCATTGGACGACATCCAAATTAGAGAGGTTGGGTCAGTTGAAAGTAAGAAAACGGTCAAAGAAAAATTAGGAAAAGTGATAAGAATCAAGGAGGCAGGCAGTAATTAAGTGTAACCTTTAGGTCTTGCTGCGGTGGAGAGAAAGCGCTCGCCATTGTGGTGCTGCGGGGAGACAAGTATCGGAATCGCCAGAAGCTCGAATAGAGCATGGGAGGGGCAGTCGTTGCGCCCGACCCCTGCTCGGATGTGCTTTCGTGCTGCATGCTCTCACGCCAGTAGGGATTATTGTTGGTCTGGCGGTAGTTCGGAACCTGCCGTTGGACTGTCACTGCTTCTCGTCACATCGCCGGCCCCGGCGCATCACGCTTCATGTTCCAATGATATTGAAGGAAAAGCATAACCACTACCTGGTACGCGCAATGTGACTGTTCCGCAGTGTCAACAAGCGTCTACGATATTTTCTCACCCCAGAACAAAGGAGAGGGCGAAAAATAACGTAAGAAGAGTGAGTCAGCTGAAAGAAAAGAAAAAGAGAGTAGTTAACACGAGTCTGCAACCCACATGTGCTTTTTAACTTCGATTCAAAAGGACTCTAATAGGAACTCTTCGCAACCATTGAACTTAAGCTTGATTATTTAGCAGAAAGCTATACCTAGTAACTACCAATCATCGAACGCGAAGGAAAGCTACACCGAACTTCAACGAAGGTCGTAAACAATAGCATCGTTCATGTGGATATATATACTGGAAAGCTTCCCCGCTGCGCACGATAATAGCACATGGCTGTATTCAAAACCGCATAGGCAAGACAGTTAAATTGAAGGCTGGCTTGGCTTATTCTCAGTACTATACTTGATTAGAGTTATAGTTGTCAAAAAAAGAAAAGAAAAAGAAAAGAAAAGGTGCTGAGATTGATTCAAATGGCTTCAACAGCTGTGCTAATCCTTTATCCACGTTATGTCGGAGGTGACCTGGTCGGTAAGCCTGTCCCCTGGTCTCTAAAAGTACCGATATCTGAATTCTGTATGTATTCATACCCTCCGAAGGAGCCCAGTTGGCTTCAATTCACTACATCCACTAACTACTTCTCGGATTTCTGTGTTCAAATTCCGCGTTATAACCAAGATGTAATCTACCTGCTTAGCACATGAATGCCGCTCTGATCATATAATAGTAAAATCAAGCACTGATAATCTTCATAGCTAGTCTATCTTAGAGCTATAGATGTGGCTGACGGACCGGAAATAACAAAGCAGTAGAGCATGAGCCACAACCGCCTCTGAGATGGTATGGACCAGCATATGGACCGGTTCATCGCAGAACTTATCTTCTAGTTAATTCTGAATAAGTTGCGCTATAATTAGTACCTACGTAACGAAGTACTATCTATTCTTACTCCACAGGCTGTACAAACCATGATGTGTGGGCATAACTTGTTACTTTCCCTTTCATGGTTCATGTTAAGTGTCTCAGAACTTGTCAGCTGCTTGGATGGTATCGCTTTTTAACGACTGAATAGAATGGTCTATCCAGTGTATATTATATGGAAGGTGCTATTGCATCTCTGTTAAATTGTAGCTCTGTAGCTATGAAAACAGTATAACAACAGCTGACTTGGTCATGCACTCTACCGACGGCTTTAGGAGTTTGCTGAAGGAAGCTTTAGATGAAAACTTCCTCTCTCGCTAGTAACATATTTATAAGATGCAATGCGAGGTCTGAAGTAGTAATTTCATTTTCCAGTTGTACAAACCCCGATACTCAGTCTCACAACAAACAAGTATGGAATTCAGATATATTGAATCCTAACCCGCATAACCTGTCTGCGTTAAAATAGTTCATGGGCTAGCCACGGTCCAAAGAGAACTTCATTTAGAGTCACTAGAGTTTAATAGATGTGTGTAATGCGCTGAATTCGCTTGGACTGCTGTGAAGCTCGGGCTGATTATAATTGGAAGCTCAATATGGCGGCTATTACTCAACCCCTGGCCGAGGTGGAGAACCGCTTCCAGAGGTGACTTCTTCATGTACATACTTGAGATAGAGCAGAGCCCATTGTCTATATCAAGCGCATGAGCCAGCCGATCATGGAGAATAGCTGGCGAGTCGTTCTGAACTCTGTAGACCAATGAGCGGAGTAACAAGAATTAGGAACATTTCGATACCGTAGGATCAATAATATGGTAGGGCGAGTACCTGAGATATATACTAGTACAGGGTAGACCAACGAGAAGTTCGTCAGTGGCGGAGGCTCAGCAATCCATGGCTCATAACGAAGATAAACCAAATGCACCACCTTTCTCAAAGCATGGTTGCGTTTAACTTAAGAGTTAGCCATGGTCAGCAGAGTTAGTTAGCCGATGTGAGGACTGAGTTGGGCTCAATAAAATGTTTTACTCAGTGCATGCAATGTGACTGTTCATTACTGTCAGCGGGCGCCTGCGGAATCGGCGGGGAACCTATCGCATAAACGTCCCAGTTTCCCAGCTTTGAAAATGAACTGGGTTGTAACTAGTATATATCCATTTGTCTATACGTTACGGAGAAAGTATAACCGCTGCAGTATTCTGATTCGCGTACCAAGACATACGTAGCCTATTCCTACCCAGTGTTGACTGATATATAGCTCCTTGAAAGCACTTGGTTTTCTTGCTCGCAACCTCACCTCCAATCGATGAAAGATATGGCTATTCAATGTATTGTAATTAGCGAGAATACTATTTTGATCTTGTTGAGAGCACTTGTTGGGAACAGGAAAGGGTATTATGTTTGTTGTTTGGTATAAGGCCAGTTCAATGATTAGCTAGAACATTAGGCCACTGGGTAATAATACCGCGAAGTCCAATTTCGAGGCACGTTAGCTGATACAAGGGGAAAGTATCCATCATACTGGTGTTCAATACCATTGCTCTATATACTTGGCTTTTATGTGGCCAATGGGCTAATATATGATATAAATCGATAGATCCATTCGTGCATGTATCTGTCTCACTCTGAATGAATGAAATCGTAGTGTTCCGCTAGCAGGATACGGTGTCAGATGATCAATCTTTTAAGAACCATGGTTGAAGTCTGTAGACCTCGGTTTGCTTTATGCCCCCTGAGTTAGAGATTCCTTCCACGATTTGTTCTGATCTCGCTGGTGTTTTGATAGACCAACATTCCGGTTGTTAATTCACCAGCAAAGTTGGAGATAGGGAACTACTTCCAAATGCGTTGATATCCCGAAGAATGACTCGAATCCAGTAAGTGAATGAATGATAGGATCACGTGGAAGGGCTTTGGTGGGATTCCTTTGAATTTTAGATTTGGTAATGGAAAACCCAATGACTGGAGAACCAAGACTTTGAGTTTTATTCTCGGAAAACGGTCCGTTAAAGACCAAGAAAGGCCGTGTCACTGAGGAAGCCGTCTGGGCGTTGGGTTCTGACAAATATGGTAGGGTTCCCCTTTCTTGCACATCACGGATGATCACCCATGGAGTCAGCCATGTCCTACCGAGGCGCGGGTAAACGGCATCGTATTGGTCAATTTCTAGATGTGGTGCTACTCGCCGGAAGCCCTGAAGGTACCCCCTTAGGTATCAGAACTTGGCATAGAGTTATGTTGGGAACTCAACCAAGTGGTCTGTCTGAAAGGAAAAGCGGGAGATACGGGGGACACTCCGGCTGCAAGGAGGAAGGAATCGACTAGGATGGTATGTCTAGTTCCATGGTATATAGATAAGACAGTGAACCCAAGAGTCTCAAGAAATGTTGATGCCTTATCATCCGTATGCCGGAAGGTACCATGGCCAAGCAAGTCGATCACGTTGCTCGATGATTGGCAGGTTGGGGCTGATCCGATCATGTGGATGTGGAGATGAAGCGGAATGGAAGGAATGAAGATGGAATTATAAGCCATTATCACCGTTACGTTATGGATAGTAATCGGGATACTTAGATTCTAAGGGGCGGTTTTATTGAATGACGAGATAAGTAATTTCATGAGTTTTGGGGGAGACCGCAAGTTTGAGTACCTGAGACTTAATTGCTACCTATACCGACCCTCGCACGCAAGTTGTCCAATGGAAGCTGCATGGGACTTTTGAGGGTCTTAATTATTTGCCCAAGGGCAAAATTCAATCGAACCCACCCCCTTTAAGTTATACAAGTCATCCTTAGAACTATTGTTGATTTGACGGGGTCTGCATTCCGAGATCTCCGATCCTCTGGAGCGACATTTGGTTCGTCGTCAAGATTTGATTTACCCTGTATCATATGCAAAGGGATGTACTTATATCATGTATGTAAATGAGATGTTTCATTCCAAAGGCTGGAAGGAAATTGAACACATAAAGATCATTGTCGAACATTGTGGTATCTTAACCATAATATTCTGCCGTGGCCGTTGACTCTATTAGCAAGACTATCTGAAGTAGCTAGACTAGTAGTCTAGTAGAACTATCGGGCTTGGATGAGAACCCGTACTAGTACAGTAATACCCCAGAGAAGTGGCGTATCCACAGAAGTTTCCAATAGCTTGGGTATCCTTACTGCATGGGACTGGATGAGAATCAGATTACCCGCAACTGTATGGAACAGATGACCACCACCCTTCTGTTTTGGGGGAATGTCCCCATTCTTCCTACTACTGCCATGACTAGTGATTGGTTCTTATCCATTTCCTCAGTCCGCAGTGGGAACAAGAGATGTCCCCGTCGGTGACTTCATGATCATTTTTCTTTTTATCTCCAGTTTCATATTCTTCTGCCATCCTTTCCAGATCCCCTATAGTTCAGTTTCTTATTTTCTCCTAATTCTCATTTACTTTTCCATCCTTTGTTTTCGCATTCGTGTGCAGTAGAAAACCCGATAGAATCCAGTCCAAAACCAAACCCCGTGGCCATTGTTTCTGCATTCCCCCCCTGTTGTTATCTTGACATCGCTGTAAACTTTCTTTTTCTTGTATCTTTTAAGAACGCTGCTATTCCCTTTTCTTCAATAAACTTGTTTTCTATTTTATTTTCCCTTTGTTTTTGCTTTTTCATTTGCTTTTTATCCCTGGGACCCACTAAGGCGGTGACGAAGATCCGCGTCATTTCTCGACCAACTGCTTTTCTTCTTTAGTGACTTTACCCTTGCAACTTAACTCTCTTTACCACTAAGAACACTTTCCCCGGTAACTGTTCCTTCTAGTGCTTTACCTCCTCCCTACTACTACTTTACCTCCTCGGGCGGCGTGCTTTACCCTCTTAGAACGACTTGTACTCCGTAGTGCTACTCGTTTTACCTGACCTTCCCACCCCTCCTCTCCACCTACCCCCAAAACCCAATCCTGATTAATTTATACTCAATTCCATACATCATTACCTCCAAACATACTACTCGAAACCTCCCCGATCCGATAACACTTGCATTATTCCCCCCATTATCGATGCCTATCATCTCCGGTGGCTGCGCTTAATTTCCAGCCTGTAAGGTGCCTTTCTCTCGGAACGTGGCTAAATGCTGCTTGATTTGCTCTGTCTTTCCAATAGTGACTCTATTGCCTAACTCGTTGACGCCAGATCCTCACCCCCTCTACCTAATCCTTTCGTCGTTGCGCCTGAGGTGAAAAAAAACGCACCAACCATAGCCTGCCCACTCTGGCCTCAATCCTCGATCTTCCTGTCGTCGTGCACGCCCGACCAATGTCCTCCCCATGTCAAGCCCTCCGTCTGTATCAGAAAATACCTGGTCTGGACCCCTGGTGACACCTGTTGCGTCTGCCCAAAATGATTGCTCTGACGGGCCTGAACGCCGTCATCACAAGCAGCCGCGCCACCACGCCCGGGATCAGCTCCTCCACCATGGCATCCAAGAAGCTCCTTCTCCTTCCCGTGCTGAATCCCCCACCGCTCATCAATGGGCCAAACCACCGGCCGGATTCGCTCTAAAAAGGGCCACAACCGTCCCCCACGAAAAGCTCGCCCGTCCTGACCTATTTCACAGCCCCCAGTTGTCGGAGAGAGATAGCATCTTTGCTACCCACTACCTCCCTTCTGATAACGAACTTAGTAATTCGCCGCAGCTTCCGCCCGAAGGAGACACAGATAATGAACTGTCCACGAGCTTGAATCTTGCCGGCGAAAATGCATCCGCTTCTCCTTCTCCAATTCCCTCTTCCAAGGTCCTCCCCCGTCACACTATCGCCAACCTCTCCCACATGGAAGTTGACGTCCACAGAAATCCTTCCTTCCCTCCGTCACTATTACCGTCTGCTATACCGACTCGTCGTTCCCCACTGTTTTCGGTCGGTCCTGATGTAGACCCGGATCGGCAGCACGAGACGGCTCAACGAAGCCCGCAGATCTCGGGCTGGGAGAGTTTGCAACCTCTGCGCAAGACGGCCTCGAATGGTACCGCTGTTGAGTCTCCGGAGGAGTCGCTCATCAGCCGCAGTTTGATCTCTTCCTCCCTCAATGATGCATCTTTTCTGCAGCGCCACTCAGTGGTCCCCTTAGACCGTCTGCCTGCAGAGACCCAGCACGAGAAAACGTCATTTCCAAAGCTCGACCAGCCTTCACGGCACGCTGCGCCTGAACTTGGAATTGGTCGCAGCTCGAGCCGTGGTCGTCGTGGCAGAGTAGATCACTCGATCGAGGCAAACCTGACTAACGTAGAGCCGACGTCTCATGTGCGCAGCCGTAAGTCAAGCCATTATCTGGGTCTATTTAAGGAGAATACTACTTCACCGGATCGCAAAAGAAGGGAGGAACGTGGAAGACGGCACGATGACTCCCTAGAGCCATTGGACAAGCATCAACCTGCTATCCACTCTGAACCTCGCCGCCTTCCGGAATTCTCTGACTCACAGCCTCAATTGCTGGTGTCCACGGATGATTCTAATCTTCGAAGCTCGAAAAGTTTATCTCACCTGTCAATGGCTGATGCTCCGGTGATCACCCCGATCCCGGAGGTCGAGACGTCGGAGCACACGGTGAGCGATGATGTTAGGAATCCTTATAAAACCCTGCCTCGCAGCTTACTTGAGGAGATCCGCAATTTCCATTTAACTCCAGGCGGTGCTCGCGGTACTTCGTTTTCCAAAAGCATCCCCACACAATTTGCAGAAGGCGGCAGGGATTACTTCTCGAAGGAGGTCCCCGGTCTCTCACCTTCGTCGGATACAGATCGAGAACGACGCCGTGGCTCTGCACAATATGAAGATGAAGACGATGAACAAATTTCGTCCGCTGTGTATTATCCCCATGAGCGCGTCACTGTTTCTGAAGAGGTTGCGCAGGTCCAGTCTTATCCGGATGGTCAACTTGGTGCGGAACCATTCGACCCATCGCCCACGAAGAGTAGTCACGTTCTAGTGCCCAAGAGACATAGCGTCTCTGATGAGCAAGAAATCAATCATGTGGATATATCTCTTCGATCTAAAAATGATAGTAGAATTCTGCACGGTGATCTGCAAGACAGACAAGCTCCACAATTAGAAGAGTTGATTGAAAAGCCCCCGAGCGCCACAACCGATCGCAGCAGTGAGTATTCAACTTGCGGATCGGAGTTTGGCTCGGCGGATGAAAGTGGCATGTCTACTCGCGACGAAGAGTCGAGTGTGACCGATGAGGCTGAAATGACACCGACTGCGACACCAACTCAACGTCAACGTATCCCCCGCCGTGAACGCAAGCACAGTGCAGCGGCCCCTTTGGGTGCGGTAGAATTGAAACCTTACCGGCATCAGGTGGGTGGCCATACGACCGTCTTCCGTTTCTCCAGGCGCGCTGTGTGTAAACAGCTCAATAACCGGGAGAATGAATTCTATGAGCGCATTGAACGCAGACACCCGGAGATGCTCATGTTCCTTCCAAGGTATATTGATACTCTGTTTATCTTGCCTTAGGCCTGTTATTGTTAATCCCTTTGTGGCACCTTGCTAATTAGTGGTTTTCTTCAGGTACATCGGTGTGTTGAATGTAACCTTCTCTAAAACCCCCAAGCGTTCCAAGTTAACGTCAGAGGGTAATACGGAGATTTCAAATGCGGAGCCTGCCACGGGTGAGACAAACGGTGCCCAGCAGACCAGTTCAATAACTGCCGACGGTTCTCGTATGTCTGAAACCGTGGATCAGCCACGGATTTTTAGTCAGAAACAAGTCACTGGAATCATTCCTAAGGTGATCCTTGAAAATAACCGGCACATTATCCCGGCTGACTTGTTTTCTCGCTCACAACGGCCAAAGACTGCGGATGGTATAACAATGAGTCGAGAGAGATGTGCTCATGGTGTTGCGGCGATCACTGGTGAACAAAGGTGGAATAATGGATCTCTGGACGACACTGGAACTTCTCCCCCAAAGCCCAAGATTAGCTGGGGTGCCACGACGGTCAACCGTAAGCTGCAGGAGCAGGTTCTCCGAGAGGTCTTCAGTCCTCCTGCCATTCACCATCACCGGCGTCATGCTCGAGGCCACACCGCATTACCAAGAATGTCCTCGGACAGTGTTACACGCAGGAGGGCTAACTTGTCGGAGGATCACACTGCTAGTAACCGTCGCAATGCATCCGTTCCCAATGAGCCACCACGGTCTGTTGCCATAGATATCACTAAACAAACAGGTGACGGCCCCGGCTTATCATCGTCAGCGTCTACCGCGTTAGACTCGAACCATAACCGCCTCGAACAAATTCGAACAGAAGAGTCCCAGCCACGCTCTAGCTCTGTCTCGCGGTCTCGCCGGGTAAGGCGCCGTCATTCAGGAAGTGGCTTACAAAGACGACGGAGCATGAGCCCGGGTAAGAAAGACGGCGAGCTCATGTTCTTCGAAGACGACGGGTATGGCGGTGATGGAGAGGACGAGATATTCTCTATGGAAGCGGATGCTCAAATGGTGCCGTCAGTTCCTCAGAGTGTGAAGCCACCCAACCTTGAAGCCTTGAAGGCCGATACAGCCGATGCATTACAAGCTGAGGATGGCTCTGTTGCCGATATGCTGCCGAAAGATCCCATCCTTGTTCAACCAAAAGAGGACAATCGCTTCCTCCTTCCTTCCAATCCCAAAGAGGCACAGACACGAAAGGATGAACGTGTGCAGTTTTTCTTGCTATTAGAAGACCTCACTGCTGGCATGAACAAGCCTTGCGTCCTCGATCTCAAAATGGGAACACGCCAGTACGGAATCGAAGCTAATGAGAAGAAAAAGAAATCTCAAAGGCGAAAGTGCCAGTCAACAACCTCTCAGCAGCTAGGTGTCCGACTCTGCGGCATGCAATCCTGGAATGTGAAGAAGCAGGAATATACATTCGAAGACAAGTACTTCGGTCGGGATCTAAAGTCAGGGCGTGAATTCCAGGACGCTCTCACCCGGTTCCTCTACGATGGTGTCAGCTATACCAGCGTGGCTAAGAAAATCCCTGTCATCCTTGAAAAACTGTCCAAATTGGAGAATATGATCCGAAAGCTGAAACGGTATCGGCTTTATGCTAGTAGTCTTTTGATCCTTTATGATGGCGAGCAGTCTTCCCCTGAGAAGATTCCACAGGAGGATGACAAGAGTGTTGACAGCAAGCGAATTCCATTGCAACGCCGTACCTCTGATGAGGGACATAATAACATGGACGTTCAGCTGAAGATCGTCGACTTTGCAAACTGTGTCACTGGAGAAGATGAGCTTTCTCCGGATGCGCCTTGCCCCCCACATCATCCGGATGATATCGACCGCGGTTATCTTCGTGGCCTACGGACCCTCAGAATGTACTTCCAGCGCATCCGAAAGGAGCTCACCCAGGATGAATATATTGAACGAGGAGAGGGCGAGGCCATTGCTCTAAGATCCCAGGTGTCTGGCCAAGAGGACTTGTCCGATCGCTACTGGGATGAAGGAGTGGTGGAAAGCGATCCGGGTGAAGTCAGCTATTAGTGTTGGTCTCGCATCCTACTGTTACTAACCCCCCTCCCCCGTTTTTTCTGTTACATATCCCATGCTTCATCTCTGGGGATTTCTTTTTTTCTTTTATATTCGTTTTGGTCCCTTCACCGTTTTCATCAGTCTGTTTCACCTTACCGAGTTTGGAGTTAGCGGCTTTGTATTCTCTTTCAAGCCAGTCGATCAAAGAATCATTTGAGAACAACGGGATACGGCGTCAAAATTGCATGGCAATGGACCAGGCGTTATCGTTCCATCTGTTTCTGTTCTTTTCCCTGCCCACGTCCAATGATGTCGACGACATTTTAACGACTCACCCCAGGGATGTGGTGGAGGAGTCTTTCGACAACCGATAATACGATACTGACGATTGATCATGGCACAATGCCCACCTCAGAGCCCTTGTCTATACATGCCTGGAGCATCATAGAAGGTCTTTCGTGCGAGAGCGATTCGATTCTGATGGCGTGTATGAAATTGTCCTTGTTTATTTATTTCTTTTTTGTCTAGGTTTTGTTTCTATTTCGGACATGTCTTGTTGATTATACCTCCCGGGAACTTGTCCGATTCCCTGGACCTTTTTCCATGTTGAGCTATTAGGGTGACGTTCCAGAAGTATGTTAATGTACATAAATGGTGGGAGGCTTTAGACAAGAACTTCATAATCATACGTGTTTAGTTTCGTGGCTAGGCCAAAGTAGACTCTGGCACAGTATGCAAGTCACTGGGCCGAGGGAATTGCCTAAAAGGGGGATATTGAATGCCTGCCCAGATAAGCACGATCACGTGCAGTCGGCGATAAGCGGTGTAATCGCCAGCAGAAGCATGACTCTTTCTCCTCATCCATCCCCCTACCTGATTTCCATAGGTCCACCTGTCTATCTTGTTTCTAGTGTGTGTGGGTGGGTAGTTTCTATCTCGAGTTTATTATGTATAACTCTTTTGGAAATTTGTTCTCATAAACATGCCCTTTCCTTAAACCTCCTGGTGACGTAGCGGAGCCGAACCTCGGAGCTCAGTCAACTGATCCCCCTCCTACTGCTTAATTGCTCACAGGAACAGTACATGGGACCCTAGCTTTGTTAGCTCGGATAGGCATATATATGATTCTTGGATCTTTGTTGCACGAAAATTGCCTTTTTGTCACTTCCTCTCCACGAGCCAGACTGACGACAAAATGTCTCCGTTTAATGGTCGCGACTCATCTATTGATAAACGAGACTTTGACACAAACCGTCCATTACTGGCTACCTATGACTCCGGTGGAGATACAGAGGGTAGAGATATACACTCGCGACCGGAATCTAGGATCTCTACACGCCGTTATAGTGACGGCGAAGACGGTCTCTTGAACGATGTTGTTGAAGAAATAGTCGAAAGGGATCGCCGCAGGCTGGCTAAGGAAGTGGTACGGATATGTAGCTTTGCCTTGGGGGTAGTAACCTGGTGAGCCCAGTGTCAAGATCTCGTTACATTCCGCCCCAACCGGTCTTGCTGACAAGACGATGCAGCTTAGGAGCTGGTAGCATCACTGCGTTCTCCTTGTACGGCCCCTTGTTTCTTACCCGTCTTCATTACACTCAGCTCCGAGTAAATGCTGTATCGATTGCTGCTGGTGTGTCGATGTATCTTCCCGTCTCAATCTTCGGATACCTTTGTGACCGGTATACCCCGTCGCCGCTGGCTTTGTTTTCCGGCACGGTTTTTGGAATAGGCTACCTTTTGGCTGCAATCGTGTATAAGAACGGTCCACCTCCAGATGCAGGTGGAAATGGGTACCCTTTCTGGGTGATGGTAGTAGCTTTCGTGTGCGTCGGGACCGCCACAAGCTGTATGTACTTGGCCGCAGTCACGACCTGTGCCAAAAACTTTGGCAGGGGCAAACACAAGGGCATTATGCTTGCCATCCCCATAGCTGCTTTTGGCCTTAGTGGCATGTGGCAGAGCCAAGTGGGTACTTACCTTTTGTATGAACGGTTAGAAGATGGCAGCCGTGGCGATGTAGATGTCTTCCGATACTTCATTTTCCTCTCCGCACTGCTCTTTGGTATTGGTGTCATTGGGACTTTTGGATTACGGATTGTGGACGAGGATGAGGAGAAATACATTGATGAAGCAGTTGAAGAACTTGAGAGGAGTGGCCTGTTGGAAGAGAGCGAATTCTTCCGGTCGAGAAGCGAGGTTAGAGCTGCCTACGGGACATTCTCACAGTCCGATAATGGAGACGACGAAGAACGAACGCTATCACTGACCCAAAGTGAGGAAGAGAGGGAAGCAGCAAGGCTCGAGAAAGAACGAGAGGAGGAGGAACGCAGGAAGAAAAACTGGCTATTGAACTGGGAAACAAAGGTGTTTCTTCAGGATCATACGATGTGGTGGCTTGCCTTGGGCTTCTTCTTGGTTACTGGACCGGGTGAAGCATACATCAACAACGTAAGTGGCACTCACATCGCCATCGTACATCGATTTGCTGACCTTTCTAGCTGGGTACTGTGGTCGGAGCACTGGGCCCAGAGTCAAGCTCTTCCAATGTTCCTTCACCTGCCGGCAAACCATCTACTCATGTCACAACTATTGCGCTCACTTCAACAATTGCCCGACTCCTCACAGGATCCCTGTCGGATTTCTTCGCACCCCCAGCAACCCATCTTTTCCCAACCGACGCAGAAGCTGGGCGTTCCAGCTCACCGTCCGGCTCGAAGCGAGTTACTTTATCCCGACTAACATTCCTCCTCCCATCCGCTCTTCTCCTCTCACTTGGGTATCTTCTCCTCGCATCCCCCTTTCCAGTCCAGCACCCGGAATTGTCCCACATAACCACAGGTCTTATCGGCTTCGGTTACGGGAGCGCATTCTCCCTCGTCCCCATCATCATCTCCGTCGTCTGGGGTGTTGAGAACTTCGGCACAAACTGGGGTATCGTTGCCATGTTCCCGGCAGCAGGCGCTGCCCTGTGGGGCCTCGTCTATTCCAGCTTTTACCAAGACGCCACGGATGGAGGCAATGGCTCGACGGACGGCCAGTGTCACGGCTGGAAATGTTTTGGATACTGGGCGTTGGGATGTACGCTGAGCGTATGGGTGGCCGTTGCTGCGTGGGGTGTCGCTTGGAGATCTTGGAAGCGCAGAGGCGTTTCCGTTTGAATTGCTTATATTCACTCTTATATAGTTCCATCAGGATGGAATACTGGATAGAGGCGTACATTGGATGGTTTATTCTGCATCGGCCATATTCAGGCAGGCAAGGCGAAATTGGCAACATAGGTTATGATATCTACTCTTGAATTCATTATGACTGGTTCATTTCATATTACCGTTATGCAACATATACATGATACCGTATGAGCGTACGGAAAGAAACATCCCACCTAACAGACAAGAAAGAAGCCCCAGCCTCGTCCTAGACACCATATACTCCAATACCTCATAATAAAGAAAATGAATAACCAATAAAAGATAGCAGGATGCCATATACAAGGTATCATCACCAAGATAACCGCACCTACTATATGAACCAGACTCAGATATCAGTCGCAGACGGATCAAGACCCATAAAGACCTTGTAAAGCCGTTTACTTGCCGCAGGCCCGATACGAGAATCTGTTAGAGCGCCGTTTCTGTCTGCAGATTTCTGTAGGGACATGTTAGTTTATTTCCACAGACATATTGTATTTAATTTGCTATGTTGCAAGTCAAGGGCAGGTAAGGTTATAGCCCATACCTTTACATCCTCCAACATGGCCGGACCATGCCTGCGCATTCCGCGAACTAGATCAACAGCACTTGGGTATTGAGTCGCAATGCCGTATGCCATGGACGCCGTGACACGGTTTACTTCCTGGAGCATTTTGATAAAGGTATCGGATTTGTTTTCGCCGGGTTTGACCTGACCTCCGTCCATGCAGAAGGCGGAGTCATTGCCTTCCATTCTTTCGCGGCGGTAGGGGACGGTCGAGACGTGTTCTGTGAAGTTTTTGATCCATTCGGCTGATTCAGCGGTTGCGTTGGTGTGGTGGATGAGACAGGAGTGTGTGACTTGGAGGGAGAGGAGCGCGTCTTCGATTGTGTCGTCGCAGACTGGGGATGTGGCTTCGGGTTTATTGGCTGTTGTTTTCTTGCGGCGGGAATTGGTGGTGGTGGTGGTTGGTTGGTCTTGGGGTTGGGATTCTGAGTATTGGCGGCGGACTTCGGCTTGATAGGCTCTGTTTCGGGCGTTTTGGGTCTTGCGCATCCAGGCTGTGAGACCTCGATTAGGTAGATTGGTGTGCTGGTGGGGTAGGCGGATTTGAGTCGGTGGACGTGGTGATCGAGGTCGTTCGTGCTAGATGAGGTGTCCATCACCATGTCTACGAATTCTTGCGCCGTTAAGAGAACAAGAACGTGTTCTTCTTCGCGGATATGAAACGGACATGGTTCCCAGTAGCCTAGGGCGTCGTTGTACCTGGCCGTGGCCTTCCGCCGCCACTTGACGACATTCGGGATCTCGCTGTCGAAAAACGTCTGCTCGACCTTGAGCCGTTTCATGAACTCGACCGTCTGATTGCCCACGCTCATTTCCTCGAATTCCCGTGCAAGATCGATGATCATCTCCGGCGTTGATTCCTTCTTGTCCACCTTCAGCTTATTTACCTCCGCAAGATCAGCCGCAAGTTGTTTCTCCCGCGCTTTCTCCTCCTTGGCCTTCTGCTTCTGCTCCTTCTCTAGCTGTTTCTCCCGCTCACGCTGCGCCTTATTTGCCTCCCGTTCCCGTGCCTTGGCTTCCTTATCTGCACTCGAAGGCTTCGTAGCCGTCGTCCTCCGTGGTGGTTTAGACTTCCGAGACTGAACCACTTCCTCCACCTCATCTACCTCCTCGTCCTTATCAACACGCCCCCTCCAATCCGACGATACTCCTCCACCAGACCCCAACTTCGACCGATCAAGACTCGCCAGCAAACTCGCCGTCCGACTCGATAACCCAGGCCGCTTATTCGTTGTGGTATCCACCCCAAGCAACTCATTCAAATCCGACATCCCGATCTCATCACTAAAGCCCTCGATCTCGTCGCGCGCATCTCCCCTCCCAACACCTCCATTCCCACCACCACCGAAATCATAATCATCATCATCATCATCAATCGTAATCGTATTCGCCCCGCGCCCTCCGCCCTCCCTCACCCGAGCCACACTGTCTGGCCCCGGAGCCGAAGACGTAAAAACAATCGGATCCTCCTCCCCACCCTCACAAGCCTGTGGCCCATCCGACGAAGGCAGAATATCATCCGAGAAAAGGAACAGCGGGTTCCTCGATGCCGGGATATGCGAGGGGCGCGCTGGTTTCGGCGAGGGCGGTTTGAGTGGACTGGGCTCTTCGCTTAGACGGAGTCGTTTCGGGGCGTTGGAGGAGTCGTTGTTATCGTCATTGTTGTAGGTGGGTTCGGGGAGGTCCCAGTCTGAGGAGAGGATTGGGAGGGTGAATGATCTTGGTGGGGGGATTGGGGATGAGGGGATGGAGGGGCGACGGGGTTGGTAGGACGGAGGTGGAAGTGGAGGCGTTGAGGAGATGAGGTTTATTACCTCTGGCATTATTTTGATCTCGGAGTTGTTTTTTTGGAGGTTGTTTTGGGGGGAGGCTTGTGTCCGTTGATAAGCAGATTGATATGCACGTGTCGCGTGCGGATCGCGAAGTCACGTGGTGATAACGGTGGGTTGTATATACTAATCACTTGTAGATTCATTGAATGCGAGAGGGTATTGTATTGGTTGGTGTCTATTGTACTGTACAAAGTAATGGAGGTTGGGGGTATTATCAGCAACAACACTCAAAACAACTTCAGGGCAAAAGCAGCAAGCAGCGAGAGCACGACTCCAGATAGGGCCAAAAGGACGACAATCTGCTGCAGCCCGGCGAACGGACGTCTCTCGCGCGCGAGCATGCCCGAGATCTCCTCCTCGAGTCGGTCGCCCATGGCCGTTAGGGAGAATTCTTGCTCCACCCTCTCTTTCGCCGCAACGGACATCCTGTCGAACTCCTTCTGGTCCATTCCGTAGAGCACCTTATCCATGACCGCTGTCCAGTCGGCATCCTTCTTGGCATCGCGGAGCCACCCCGTTTCGCCCTCGACGATCGTCTCCAACGGGCCGCCGGTATTCGACGCCAGGACGGGGATTCCAGCGCGCATGGCCTCAACAGGTACAATGCCAAAGTGCTCGTTGATAGGCGTATAAAGGAGCAATTTCGCGTGCTCGAGGAGCATATCCCGGAACGCAGAGGGCACGGACAACAAAAACAACACATCAATGGAATCAGGCACGGACAGGGCCGAAATAACCGTCTTAGATGTAGCAGTCTGCAATCCCAGACTAGTCGCAAGCTCATCCAGTTCCCGATGGTACTGCACATTCTCCTGGACCCGGTTATCATAACCACCTATAGCACCATCGTCAGCCCAACACCATACCCCGACCTCAAGAAAGAAAAGAACAGGGAAAAAAAAGGACATACCAGCAACAACCAACCTCGTCCCCTTCCTCTTCTCCGGCCCCAACCCATGATACGCACGGATAGCAAGCGCCATATCCTTCTTCCTCTCGAACCGATTAATACTCAAAAGGATCTTCTTCCCACCCCACAGCACCTGCCCATCCTTCACAACCACTGGCTCCTTCGAAGCCACGGGTTCCGTGTCAACACACGGATAGACAACACTAACATCGCCAAGCTTCTCACCCCCGAAAACCTCACTGACAACACCTCTCGTAAACCTCGAATTCGCAACAACCTTATCAGAAGCACTCATAGCCCACCCCTCGAACCAATCAAACGGGTACCGATAAAGCGTCTTAACAGCACTCAAGAGAGACCCTCCCTCCCCGCGAAACGCAAGCAACTGGTCCGGAAAATGACAGTAGAAGAGGATACGTTGTCGTTGTCGCGCAAACGTCTTTAGAAAGGGTACACAGGCGGGGACCTGGTCGACGATGAAGATATCATCTTGTAATTTCTCGCTAACCGTGCTTTTCTCATTCGTGTCGGAAGTATGGGCTATCTCTCCCAAGACGGAGATGGTGAGATGTAACTGTCTCAGGATCGCCATGAGGACATGGAATCGTCGGAATACATGTGCGGGGAATATCGTGTTGCCCCGCACTTTGACGTCGAGGGTGCCATCGCGCGCTTCTTCAAAACAGTGTGATTTGTCGCAGTGCGAGGTATAGATCGTTACTTTGTGGCCGCGGTTTTGCAGCGCAAGCGCCACGTCGATAATAAGACGCTCGGCGCCACCGATGCCCAGATCCGGGTGGATGATAATCACGTTGGAGCGTTTGAGGCCCGACATGGCGGTCTCGGAGAGGAATTGGGGGTTTTTTACGAGGTGGGATGGTGAGTGGGCATTTCTGTAATTGCTGTTGCGAGCTGGAGCTTTGGTCGAATATGCGACACGCGGCCATTGGCTACGTCATGTGATTTTATGGGGGTTATCTATCCTTATCTGATAAGGATCTCAAATAATCGATTCATGCCTGTGTTTGGCTGTTCCCCCGAATTCTTTGCTCCATGCCTGTACTCTTATGCTAGCTGCTTCAGGGACTTCATATAATTGTCCAGGGACCCTAAAAACGAGTTCGTCAATAAATATCAGTACTATCACACCCAACGGCCAATCATGTCAAATCATGGTGCAGACAAGCCTACGAAACTACGGTGAAATAGAAGTGAACTGTCCAAAACTGTCACATGACGGTCTTATATACACATCGCTCAGCGCCATTTGTTCAGCCTAAGATCCGGTATGTATAGACATGCAAGTATCAGGCTAACCCAATAAACCACACAGAAGCATATCATAAGGCAGGATTCGTAATGCAAAAAAGAGGGGGAAACGGGCATGGAGGGTAAACAGAGGAAGTAGTGCAAATCCACACATGAGAAGGAAAAAAAGGTATCGCGAATCGAACAAGGGGAATCGGCGTCGAATTCATAATACAGGGGAATGAACATCATATCTTAAGGGCCAAACAAAACAACAAATCTATGAGATAAGAAAAAAGATCCTGCAAGTTCAAGGATCAGAAGCAGTTCAGGGTGCTCTTCTTTTTCTTCTTGTTAAGCGCATTCATACGCTCTTCAAGCTGGGCTCTGGCGGCTTCAGCTTCACGGCGAGCATTTCTCTCCTCTTCCACAGCTTGGAGTGACAGGCGCTGAGAGTTGCGTTCTTTGCGAAGAGTGGTCAGCTCCTCCTCCAGCTGCCAGGCCTTCTTCTTCCAAGCCTCACAGTCAGACTTGACCTTGTTACTCTGGGCTTCAAGGTCTCCGAGAGCTTCTTCCAGAGTAGCAGTGAGCTGCTTCTCAGCGTAGAGATGCTTCTCTATGGTGCGAATACGAGCCTCCTGGTCCTCGACGACCTGGGTACTGGCCAATTCTTTGCTAGCGTGGCGAGAGCTTGGGGGAGAGATGCTACCAGAGGTTCCGTTGGTAGCGGAAGCAATGGTAGGGAGAGGCGGGAGGGGAATAGCAGGTGGTGGAGATGGGAGGGATGTTGCAGAGGAGCTCTTCCGCAAGTTAGAGGTGATAGAGCTGCTGCGGTCGTGGGAGGTAGAATCCTGGCCTGAGCTATTCTTGATTTGAAGCTGCAGATCCATTAGTGGTTGGACCTCATCGGTTATTGTGGGACGACTTACCTCAAGCTGTTCGATTCGTACTTTGTAAGTTTCGATATCCGTCTCGTAAGTAACAATCTTGGCCTTTGCATCCTCCAGAGCCTGGTCACGCTCCTGTTGGATAATAGAGAGACGGTTGTGGTGCTGATCGAAACTGTTGGTGATCTGCTCTTCGAGCTCCTCCACGAGACGAACACTCTTCTCCTTCTCGGCCGAAATCTCCTCAACAAGCGCTTCCTTCTTCTTGATCTGCTCCTCTCTCTGGTTGAGAGTATCTTCAAGTGTAGCAACCAAGACAGCAAGCTCGTTCACCTTTGCCTCTTTCTCAGTGTTGCTCTTAGTCAACTCGTCAACACGATCATTGTCATTGGCCTTGAGCTCCAGTTGCTTGCGAAGATCTTCATTCGTGCCCATCAACTCAGCATATTTATCAGAGAAATGCTGCTTCTGGGTCAGAATTTCCTGAATTTGGTCTGCCAGGTTGTCTGCGGTGACGTCGGAGTTCAGAAGGTTAGAAACCATCTTGAGCAACTTGACCAGTTCGTCTCGCGACTCCGTGATCTCGGATCTCAGAGCCTTCAGGGCGTTGTCATGCTCGGTGTCCTTCTCCGTGAGTTGCAGTTCATACTCGGCCTGTGCTGCAGCCTTAGCCCGTGCCTCTAACTCGACAAGCTCTGCTTTGTGTGATTCCTGCAAGAGTCTAAGTCCTTTTTGTAGGAATCGGCATGTGATCTGTGGGACTCGATTTCCTGCTCAAGTTCAGAAACACGGTTTTGGCGCGCGTCGATTTCATTTCCACTGGCGTCTTTCGAGGTGAGGAGTTCCCTCAGCTGTTCCTGAGCCGCGCCGTGGGACTTCTCTAGAGAGGAAATTGTGTCCACGTGAGCAGCAGCTGTAGATTTATGCTGCTCGATATCGCGCTTCAGTCCCTCAACAAGCTCCTGCTGCTGGGATCTCTCGTCCTCCAGAGCCTTTGCGGCCGCCTCCTTCTCGGCAGACGATGCTTCACCAGCAGCGGCTCTTTCGGCGCGCATTGAATCCAGAGTGGCTAGAGCACCGTTGAGCTCTGCAAGCGTGGTACTAAGCTGCTGCTCTGAAGATTGCAGAGATTCTACAGCGCTCTGGTGCTTGGTCTTCCATTGGGTCAATTCGCCCTCAAGAAGGCCGATCCTCTTGTCCTGCTCCTCAGCACCTGCATCATATGCTTTAGCAGCTTCCTCTTGAGTCTTGAGAAGAGCCTTCAACTCCTCAATTTCAGCAAGCAGATGCTTTTCTCTGGCCTCATGCGCTTCCTTCATCTCGTTGATGATGTTCTCCTGCTGGACAACTTGGTCGCGCAACTGGGAGACAAGACCCATATCCACTGATGAAGCGCTACCTTGCAGACTGGAACGTTCACGAGTGAGCCCAGATATGATGGTCGATTTTGTCTCCATTTCCTTCTTCACGCTTTGGTTTTCAGCTTCCAAGGCTTGAATACGTTCCATGCGATTGTGCAGTTCATGCATAGCTGAGTCCAAATGTACCTCGAAGTTTTGCATCGTATCAGGACGACTCTCAAATTCTTCCACTGCAATGTTCCGCAGGGCAGCTAGAGAGCGATGCGCTCGGTCGACATTTCCAATCAGGGTTTGGCTTGACTTCCTCCGAATGACAGGCTTATAGCCTGGTGTTGTGGGAGGAGAAACTCTTGGCTTCTGGAGTTCGGACTTGAGTGATTCGATGAGATGTAGGGTCTCAGCGTGTTCGGCTTGTAGCTCAGCATATTTTTGGGTCATAATACTGACACCTTCCTGATGCTCAGAGAGCAGTCTGCGCATGTGCTCGACCTCTTGTGCCTTGGCCTCGTCGATTTCAGACACTGTATCTACATGGTTTTCTGCTTCGGGTCCGGACTTGGCGTTAGATGATTCGTGCGAAGCAGCAGGCTCCCCGACCAAGGATAACTCCGATGAGAGTGATCGCGAGGAGGACTGTTGTATTCCAGTCTTCGAGTCGGGGGCCTTGACATCCTCTAAAAAAGACACGGGTCGCGAAGTAGGGGCTGGTGAAATGAGATGGCGGGTATCGGGTGAGGCATGCCGAGCTTCGTCCACAGCATCCTGCCGCAGGTCGGCCAATTCCTTCATAGCTTGCTCATACTTGGCTTCGAGCATCTCGTACTCGCTCACTGTAGACTCGTGCTGCGTACGCAAATCGAATAGCTCCTGAGTGACCGTCTCGAGCTTATCCGCAACGACCCTGGACTGAGTCGGGCTAGGGGTCCGATCCTGGACTTGTTCATTCTGGTCGACCTGGAGGCGATCGGCAGCATTCTCCAACACTTTAAGATCGTCGTTAGCCTCAGCAGCCGGCTCCGAATTGAGGGTGTCATCCTCAACCTCGGGGGCGGGCTCACCAGAGTCCTCGTCGGATTCCGGTATAGCAGTTTCAACGGCTTCGGTCAACACATCAAGGGACGCCGCCCGCCTTTGAGGATGGTAAGCACGCTTAACAGGCGTCTGCATCTCCGGTTCTTCGTGGTCCCTTGTTGTGCTGCCGTTCTGCTGGCTGTGATCAAGATCATATAGGAGGTTATCCAATTTGCCCAAGCTCCTTTGACGCTCGATGACATGCTCCAGGCGATCCACTTCTCGCTGCATAAGTTCCATATCTTGGTCGGCTTCCGCCAGGCGCTCTTCCAACGTCGTTATGTAATCTTCACAGTTAGCTTCACTATCGCGGGCGCGAGTCAGTTCTTTACGAAGCTCTGAGATGATGGCCGCTTGTTTCTCTTCACCGGAGGACTGCCCATCAAGCCTAGACTCCAGTTCATGGAGGTAAGTTTCTGTACCGGATTCTCGTTCGAGAAGCTTCTGGATGCGAGCTTGAAGTTGTGTATTTACAGTTTCGACGTAAGTGCATCTGGTCTCACGCTCCAGAAGCGTACTTTCGGTTGCCGATAGTGAGGATCGCGTATTGGAAAGGGATGACTCGAGACTCTGGATGGTCTTCTCATATTCCAGCACCACTTGCTCAACAGATTCCGCAAAAGAATGAGACCGTTTCAACCTTTCAATGGAGTTTTTGCCGATGTATGACGCGGCGTCATTCGGATCAGTATTCTCTTCTGTTTCCGAATCTCTAGCAAGCTCGGAGATCAATTTAGCATGTCGTTGGCTGAGCGCATTATAGCTTTCCTGAACATCGAGGAGCTGGTTCTGGAGGTCAGCCTCCCTCTCATTCTGACGCTCCGACCGGTCTTGGGGATCGACGCTGCGCCTTTCATTATCCTCAGCATTGCGGAGCTGCTGTCGCAAAAATGCCACTTCCGCTTTGAGTCGTTCAATCACGGCATGCTTGTCGCTCTCATCATGGACTTGTTGAATTCGAGGTTTACTTTGGATCGCTCTTGCTCTCTGCGCATACTGGACTGTGTTCAGCGTTTCACTGAGGTGGAACTCGGCTGGCGTCACACACGCAATCATGTAGGTGTACGCATTTCCACCCAGAGAGTCTTGCAGGAGCCGTGTAAGTTTTGAATCACGATAGGAGACGTGCGAGCCTGCTTGACGAGAGGACAACTGCGAGATGACCTTGCCCAAGGCAGCTAGACCAGCGTTGATAGAAATACCTTCTTTGGCGCGCTCTCCGGACGCTCCGGTATTCTTCAGCCGTTCGCTTCCAGCCAGATCAACAAAATGGAACTTGCTCTCCACGGTAACGGAGACATCAGAACCAGAGGGTAAATCGGCGGGCATGGACATCCGTTTGTCCTTGGTGGAGGTGACTCCGTTCGCGGATTTGCGCTGAACAAGGTTCAAACTGAACACCGCGTGCGATCGAGAAGACTTCGCGTTAACCGCAGTCGAGTCTGTCTGTCGAATGGTCGAGCCAAAGTTCAACGCGCCTAGGAGGTCATCGATCGAGTTGATGTTGACCTGGTGCAGACCGGTAGGAATGATGCGACCCTTCGTGTCTTCGCGAATGGTAACCGTGCTGCGCTCACCTGTGGGCGTTGAATCTGGGATAAGGAGATCTCTCAGGTGCTCATTATAAATCTACACATATCAGCCTCATTCTGATTCGCCATTGAGGTATATAACTGTACTTCAACATAAGTAGCTTTCATCTGCCAGTTTTTTTCAGTGTTTGCCTTGCTGAAACTAGAAGCTGAGCTAATCGAATATCGCGCGGGCGTCCGTAAGCCTGTCGAGCTGTTGCGGCTGTGCTTCGGGGGACCTTCCAATTGTTCGAAAAGATATTGGGCGGCGCGTGGGATGATTCCTGATTCCGTGAGTCAACTGCATACTCCAGCCGCGCTATACTGAAGCAGACTCACCCATTCCTTGACTCGAAGTCTGTTCATTGGGCCCCGATGTTCCCATCGTATAGGATTTACCCGCACCGGATTGGCCATAGGCCAGAATCGAGACATTGTATCCCTGTAGGAAAGAAGTGACGCTGTCGTTGAGGTAATCCCAGATACCAGCCTGATCTACCGTTTCGGGAAAGACCCGGTCAAACACAAACAATTTGCGACCCTGCGGAACATCCACGGCTAAGTTGGTTGGTGTGGTGACGTGGACCATGGAACGTTGGAAACGTTGCGGAATTAATTCATAATTTGGGTCGTCGGGCTTCAAAGGGGGTCGGACACGGACGGCTGCGAGGGTATTAGTGCTGTACCGGAGAAGATCGATAAGGCAGTCATGTTTCCGCGATCGCGACAAATTTCCGCGCAAGCAAAGCGCTCGGGACTCAAAATCCCAAAGCGGACGGGGAACATACCAACTTTGACAGCGTCTTACCATCCTCATCAGAGGCCCGGCTTCCTCCGCCTTGCTTAGAACTCATGCTCAACCGACTGGTGCTCCTGGGGGTACGCATGATGCCGCTGAGTCGCTGAGGCGCACCTGACGGCGAACCTGGCGGCGAGGCCGTCATGACCCTTTTATCTGGACACTTCGAGCGGGTTCACTTTTGGGCGAAAAGGTCGGGCGTGGTGGGATGCGAAAATTGCTCTATTGGTCAAGAATGGCAGAAGGAGGGTGTCATCAGCGGTGATTAATTGTAAGGGTATTTGTTGTCTAAGGCTTTTTTTTTCCTAGATTGTGTTTTCCAAGAAGTAGTCGCACGGTATGGCGGCCTGCGGCAATCGGCGACGTGAGTGGTCCCCTTATTTGCAGGGCAGACAAAGCATACAAAAAGATCGAAGACACCTAGTTGGGGATCCAGCAAATTAGACACAAGATAAAATCAAAAATCGAACACAAAAAAGCCAATGGTAGCGAGCAAATAGTCCAGCGCCTCGAAGTGCAGCGGAAACAAAGGAGGGAAAGAGCACCGACGACAAAATGACAACAACACCAGCAGAAAAAGAGAGATGGATGGAAAGGAAAAAGAGTGCCAATGACAGGTCTGGGGTAGAACTTACCAGGTCGTTAGTCGTTAGTCGTGGCAGCAGCTACGGTAGTAAGCATTAGTCGTAGGGTACCTGAATCCTAGACTGGTCGAAAGAGTACGGAGAGAGAGAACGTAAACTAAAATGGGTAGTTTAGAACTTAGTTCGTCGTGACTCCTGAAAAGGCCGGTCAAAGTTAATTGGTGGCCTCCCACAATTGAAGCGAACCAAAACTGGGGCGGTTGATCCAGTTGGCTAGAGTTGTTCACAGTGGAGGAGACTGTAGACGGTAGACGGTAGACTACGGCTAACAATATGTGAGAGTAGGGGGGGTAAAAGGAGGGGCGGTGCGTAATTAATTCAGGAACTCATTTCCTGAAGAGCACACCTTTTTTTTTTTAAAAATTAAAAAATAATAATAATAATAATATATGCAGGTTCATATTTGCCCCCCTCTATCTCGATTAGTTGCCTATGTGGAGTTTTCTTATAAGCCACCAGGAGAAGAGGCGGAAAATAAAAAAATAATAAAAATAAAAATACAAGTAATATAAAAATACCAAACCATAAACCATGGAGACAAGAGGCTCAGACCCAAGCGGCGGGCAAACTGGGCGTTGTCTCCTTTCGACTATCCAGGAGGTATTCCAGGTTGATCCTTGGGCATACACCTACTCCGTACATCTACTGAAGCCCAAAGCAATGATAATGATCCAAAAAAGAATGCATGAAACTGGCAACGCTGGCGAATACCGTTACGGAACACCAACCACGCCAGGGGGAGCCACCGCAACCAAGTCTAGGCCTAGATCGGCAACCATCTTGGTCCGTTCCTCAGGCCACCATTGCTACTGTACTTCGACGGAGGATTATTAGTGAACTATCGCCGGAGTATTGACTGACTATTTCCTCCGTACCATACAAGCACACCACCTCTAGGGAAATTATCCCTCTTGCATATGCGGATCGAAATATCAACCAGTTCACGACTGGGATCAACTGCGGTGGGTGTCAAAATCGGCGAACCTTCGACAACCAGTTTACCCCTGAGCAACTGTCCACTAGCAATGCATGACGGGTGTCCGCACCACTGGGTAGTCTTGGCTGGTTCCCATGGTTCGCTACCGGGCGGAACAATCCAGGAACCCCGACGAATTTTCCACGATAGAACCTGGTAATACCGTCATCTGGATCAATAGCATGGGTGTCAAAATATGGAGAAGCTGCATGTGTATCGCTATCTGAACCATAGATCTGATATGCAAGATCTTTTTCGTGAGCAAGCGGATTGTATGATCCATATCCATAGGCTACTGCTAGCCCTGCCTTGACCGCTTCGTGAACGACTACAAACTTGAAAACAGAAAAAGCAAAGAAACACCCCCAATAGATCAAGACATATTTAAAACTCGACCTAAGTACAGTCATTTCCTAGTCTCAGTCCTCGTAAACAAGTGCAAAGGACAAAAAGTACAACGCAAAACAAAGGCAGCTACCTACCCTGGATAAACTACTGGAGAAATAACCGCAACGGGGAACGGTTCAGGCCTGACAAGCTAACCTAAGGCTCCCGCGGAAGCAAGCGAAATTAAGACGGACCGGAGTCACGACGCCCAGACTTTCATCGCACGTGCGATGAGGAGGCCGGATGCAAAAGCTTGACGCTGAGTTGACACAGTCCGTTGCTTCAGCGGAGGTGCGGGTCCTCCTGTATCCAACTGTCAGTGGGTTGACATCGCGGTTCCAGCTCCAGTGTTTCTATACTAAGTACACAAAGACGGGACAACCGGCAGTGTCGGATGAACTCCTTCGAGGAACCGATGTCGAACGGCTTCAGGCCATGAGCAACTGAGGATAGCCGCCATTGCCTGTAGGACTTTTTTCGGCCAATCCGCCAGTTACCCTACGACATCCCACTAATCGAAATTTTGGTCATTAATGCTAATTAATAACTAACTCCGTGCGAGGGATTTTTCCTAGGATGCGAAAAAGCAAGACAACACAAGGCCCTAGCGCGAACCACTAATGAGAGTGTGGAACTTCAATTATGGGTGTTTCTCTTACGTCCACATGGCATGGCTGATATCCATAAGGAGCACTAGGGCTTAGCTCTCTAATTTGACGGTTGCATGATACTGTGTACATTCCGACCCATACTCTGCCCCTCATAAAGGCTCAATTAATTAATGTCAATAATTCAGGTTATACGAACAAACATATTAAAGCAATTAACCTCGTTGTCGAGCTAAACCATTAGCCAGTAAAATATCACTCGTTGATAGCAAATTGCCCCCAAGGATCCAGAAGCTTCCATCCCCAAAACTCCAAATCCTGATATGAAATTTGTAATAAAGACAGAGAAGGCAACAAGCCATTCAAGCCGAATACTCCAGAGTAAGTCCTGCAATCAAAACAATCCAAGTCAGACGGAGACCCCTTTGTGCCGAGGCCATAACTATGAACGATAACATTAGCAAGAACCTAGAGATTCTCAAAGCCGGCCCGGGGTCCACAACGGTTACTATAATAACCCGATGTTCCTCCTTAGGGTAACTGCGCTACGACTCCAGCGCATCACAATCTCCCGGTAGACAGTGCTATCAACGGTTATACATGTCGTACACCGCTACTGTCCAGACAGAGGACTCATGAGGGAACGCCTGACTCGAGCTACTCTAACCACCAATATTTTTCCTCGAGTCCAGCCAAGCCCGTCGTCAACACCAGTCGATCTTTTACTTGCTTGACGTAGGCCTCGGAGTAGTACGTCCAGTCTAGCGATGATAGTCCTGAGGTCCGTGCCATCTGCGCTAGCCACTCAATCTCGAAGCGGCCGAGGTTCCTGCGATCGTGAAAGACATCCCCTTTCTCCTTTCCTCTATTCACCCGTACATCGTAAGCCCAAGTGAGCCCTATGGTGTATGATAGCACGGGAGTCCCAATAAACGCAACTAAAGAAGACCCTCCATGCAGAGAGTTCGCAGCCGGCGGACCGGAAGAGCCTGTCTGCCAGAGAATAGTGGAGCAACATAGGTAAAATTAGCAGTAACCTTTCTGGGAATTGTAATTAGAGGGCGGGCAGACCAAGAGCCGGCCCCGGAGTTTCAGGATCGATGATCACATACTCCATTTGGGTACAGTCTAGGCCAGTTGGGGATATTCAGGTTTTCAACGGTTCGCCAACCCGTGCATATGTACGGAATACATAGTGCAGGGGCGTCGGTGATACAACCGCCACGGCTTATTGTGATATCATATTTGGCCACCTCGGATATCACGCGAAAGACGAACCTGAGCTCAATAATGAGATATGACCCAGCCCCTTGATCACCCTAGACTGATATTAATGACAGCTATCAAGCGGCGCAAGGGCCCGAAAGTCTACTCAGGGTCCAGGATAAACGCTGCCCTATGCAAGGACACTCCCAAAGGCCTTCAGTGAAAAGGAGTCCTGCAATCGATTGCGATATCGAAACTCTATGTAAGGACGGGAATCTATCGCGGACATTAACTGAGAGATGTAAGCGTTAGTTTGTTGCCACCGATACACTTTGTTCAACGTGATCTGGAAATCAATAGTGTCATCCCTATGTGCATTGTGGATATCTCTGGAAGGAACTCGATAGAAACGAACGTGAACATCGCAGGGCCATTGGAGCTAAGCCTAAATAGGCTCACATCTGGTTTGCAGGTTGCGAGGTGGCGTTTGCGCTCATGCAAGGAGGATGTCAATGTCGAGATAAAGTAGACATGTACGGAATTTCGGCTTGGGTCTATCTGAGCACTCCGAGCAGGCGAGCTCCTGAGCATAGCAGCTCGTGAAAGGGATAAGGTTTAGGATAGGTAAGAAAATCGGGACTCCGTCAATGTGTATTCCACTCTTTGCCCCAGTGGCAACGATTTCCAACAACGGCGTTCCAGTGTCCACCCTTCAGATCGGGGCTATCTTAACTTTAAATTTAGACTTTATGTGGAATGCAATCGAAAAGGACATTGTGTTCGCGTCAAGATGAAGTCGCCTGACTTCACTTTGACGCTCAAAGGACTTGACTTCTGATATGGCTATATGAAAGGCCTATTGTGTGGAACTAACTAGTATTGAAGACATACTGTATACTTCTTCGACATCACATTGATGTGGTAAGGGGTTGCCCTTAATACACGAACAAGTTGTATCCCCACCACCACACGGTAAATCCATAAAGCAGGCGTGAAAGATAACGAGCAACCAGATAAAGCATAGGATGTACATGGACTCTCCATCATTGAAGCGACAGAAGCTCTATCCCCATTCTCGATGAGGCCACTCTTTGGCTTCACCGTTTTGAGACTCGCTTGGAACCAAGAAACGACAGATCGAGTAAGTTGAAAGCAAACTAGGGCGGCAAGCCCCAAGCGGACCGGACAACAATAATAAGGAACTCTGTTCTGGTACAAGGGAAAGCTAAGGTTGTCGCATATGAACTAAGGTAAGATATAATGTAGTAAGAGTACTCTCACTCTTAAGTTGGAATGAGATACTTTGACCGGTATTGAATCCGGAGGGGGGCGAATTCCCTACATCTATTGAACTACCAGCTGGATATGAGTATCGGCCTACGAATAACTATCAGGTGATGTCTAGTTACTAGATAGGATGATCTGCTATACCTACATTTAGTCCTCTCTGGCTCTATTTGATGCCCGACTCGCAGGGGATTCGACATTACACAGATTCTTAGGTGAACGGATTAAAGAAGATATATGGCGCAGATTCGATGGTGTCTTTCATTTCTAGAACCCAGTGATAACCGCTAAACGTATTCGTTTATAAATCTAAGCGATCGAGAATACCACGTCATGCTAGTCATGGTGAAGTCATGAAGAATGGCTGTTTTCACAACTCTTCCCTCCCCTCGTGACGCTAACAAGTCTCATTCTTTACGATCATCGAGGGCTCGACTCGACTACTATAGGAGGAAAATTCATTTAAGATCGCCGGGAAACTCCTAGCTTATCAAACTCTTTCTTTACGATGTCTCTGCTCGGTCTCCCAAACGAACTACTACTTCTGATCATCGAGGACCTGGATAGTGAGAAGGATATTCTTTCTGTTCTATTGGCAAGCCCCCGGGTCTATGCTATCCAGCAAGCAGACCCTCTATACAAACACAACATTAGGTACTCCGGGAGTTCAGCACTGCGATGGTACTCGGCGAACGGGCGCAAATCAGCTGTGGAGGCACTGCTCCAAAAGGGTGCTAACATAGAGTGCAAAGACTATGCCAGTAACACACCATTGAGCGTTGCTGTTTGCAATGGACATGAGGATATAGCCAGGCTGCTGCTTGAGAAAGGTGCTGATATAAAATTTAAAGATAGCTATGGCAGTACGCCGTTGACAGCTGCTGCACACTCTGGATATGAGAGTATAGTCAAACTGCTGCTCGAGAAAGGTTCTGATATAGAATCTAGAGATGGCTATGACTGGACACCATTAGCAGTTGCTGTGTTCTCTGGATATGAGAATATAGTCAAACTGCTGCTCGAGAAAGGTTCAAATATAGAGTCTGAAGATAATCATGGCTGGACACCGCTAACAGTTGCTGTACTCTCCGAATATGAGAGCATAGTCAAACTGCTGCTCGAGAAAGGTTCTAATATAGAATCTGAAGATGGTCTTGGCTGGACACCACTGACATATGCTGCTATCCAGGGAAATGAGAATGTGATCAAGCTGTTACTCCACAACGGCGCTGACCCCGGGCGAGCGAGTCTCACGTTCGAGCAGGTCGCCAAATTAACACGCCTTTTGAAGTGAATCTATTCGAAATATCAAGATACCTGGATTCTATGCAAAGGTTGATGGTCCTAATGATAAAGCAATAAGCTATCTAATGCCCTACTCGATTGCAATGACTACATCTAGGCAGGAATTAGAGTCATCTCTAAGAACTTCTAGAAAGCTAGCCTCCCAACATGTATCCATTCACCAGCAGCTGACAAACATGGCAAGACACCCCAGCCAGAGATTGTATGCTTACTATCCAGGAACCCGTGGGCCCTATAAGCCATCGATCTATGGCTAACTTTAATCTCGTGCAACTACGTAACTACCATGGACTCTTTCAACATGAACAAGATAAAAGCGCACGCTGTCATGCTCCGATTCAATACCCTATGGTATACTCATGCTACATCATCGCCTTCGCTGTGAACACAGAAAAGAAAGCAAAAACACCGCAACTGAAAGAATGCACATCACCCCACATAAGCACTAGAAAAGATCATCAACCTCAAGTGGAAACCTCCCGTTTATTTCTTAGGAGCCTCCACGAAGCTAGGGAAACATTCCTGGAGCGTCTTGCTGTGCTTATTACCAGCATGCTCGGTCAGGGCCGGACCACGAGTAGTCTTGAGGAAAGTCTGTCTGCAAACGCTGCAGATGATATCCTTGGCAGCTTCGTTCTGTAATCTGTGAGCTTGACAACCAATCAACTACATTTGCCTTGTCCAGTAGATACACATACAGCTTTGAGCTGCGACTTCGCAGAACCCTTTGCGTCTTTGGCATTGCGCTCACGCTTAGAGGCGGCTTTGGCTCCCTGGTGACATAAGATCAGTCACTTCTCCCGAGAAAAAAAACGAGAAGACATATCGTGAGCGCCCTTACGTTACCCATGATGACTAGTGATAATTATAATTCTGTGGCTGTTGCAAGAAATGCGATTGCAGGGGAATTTTTTGTTTTTGGACGGATGAAATTGTGGGGGGCGGAGAAGTTTTTTTTTTTTTTTCTGCCTTTTTGCCTCTTCACGGTTGGCTGGATGAGGTCTAGACCGGAACCGTTGTTGTATCACTGTTCTCATACTATATCAATTCTGGGCGTATCGAATTCATCCACCACATTGTCTTTTTTGTTATTTGCTAGCTACGTATTCTTACACCATTCCAAGCTCTTATGTATCATATATTTATACTGCAGTTGCCACTTATCCCAGAGTACTATACAATAATCCCGGTACTATATCTGGTTCGTATATATAAATTTGTCTCTTCGTGGTACTCCGTATGTATCTCTATTGGATCCTAAAGAAAACTAACTACAGTACATTATCATGATACTATAATCGACACACATTAAATTCGAACCTTGTCCCAGATACCAGTTCCCGTTCCTAACTGTAAAATTCTAAGATAGACATATAGTTTTACTCCGTAGACTGCACAGAGTACTAAATTATAGAAAAGGGGCTCCTCCAAGACGGGACGGACCCATGGTTCGCAATGCAGTAGTTCATAAAACCCATCCAACTACTACTAGTAAATAATCAGTAATGGATAACGACAATTATATGATAAGACGTCTTCATATTCTCATAACTTCATAAACTATACATGTCCAGACCTTGCGTACTAACTACCTTTATCATCTACTCCGACATACCTATACCAAAATATATACAAAGGAACAAAAACGTCCACATACATACCCACAAAAAGAGAATCAAGAATCAAACTCCGGATTCACCCACCCCGGTATCTTCGCTTTGGATCTCAGGAACGCCCCGTAGCGTTGTAACACAGCGAACACGCTCGTTCCAGCAATAAGCACAATCAGGGCTTGTGCTGTGAATGTCCACGTCCAGCCGGAAGAGGTCTGCCAGTTGGCGATGAAGAACTGTATCTTGTCAGCGTCCTGTTTAATCGGCAGGTGGGTATGAGGTATGAGGTATGAGGTATGAGGTATGGGGGTTATGTACAGGGTTGATAAAAGCACTCAGGTTGAGGAATACGGCGTAGAAGATGACGACGCTGGTTGATTGGAGCGGGTAGCTGTCGATTATGTAGCTGCTTGTGACTGTGTTGCCGATTTGGATTCCCGATGAGACTGCAATGTACTATGGCATTAGTCGCTGAGTGGTGAAGAGGGGAGGGGGCGAGAAGTAAAGCGTGGTGACGACTTACATAGGAAGAATGCTACCTGTCCGATCATCCAGTGGTAGCTTTTGTCAATGCTGATGCCCCAGACTATTAACCCAACTTTCGTTAACCTTGTTAGATATACCGCTCTATCGATGGGTTCTTTGGGTGACGTAGACTCACCAGCAGTGATCAGGATGGCAGGATAGGCTAACCATAACCTCATCTCTGGGACTCGCACACCCTCGTTTTTCCTTGCTAATCGTTTAACAATATAATCACTGAGTCTCCCTGAGCAGCACACCTCCGACACTAGCGTCCCGATAAATAATCCCAGGAACAATAGGCCCTGGATCAGCGGCGAATACGTTGCGTACGCGGCTGGTACCATTGTTATCACGGATAGCACCCACCAATACCAAAGAAAAGAGTACCCGAGGACGGCGAGAACGACAACAGGGAATTGAAAGGTAAGGAAGAAGCGTAGAGTGGCATCCCAAGGTTTTGGATGGCGCAGGCCGGGGACGGGGCGGATGCTGAAGAAATTGAGGGCCTTCGTCCGAGGTATTGTATCTATCTCTGTATTCTGTATTGTCGCTTTGGATGTTGCTTCGCACTTCTCTTGGGGCTGCTCGATGTCTGTTGAGTATGGCGAGGGGTCTTTAGGCATGTGTTGGAGCATGCGGGTGCGTGGGTAGAGAGTCTCGGGCATGAAGAAGAGTTCGAGGAGGAGGAGGACGGCAAAGAGGATCGCATTGAACCAATTGATCCATGCTGCGCTCACGAGATTGAGGAACCCGCCGACTGAAGAACATAATGTTAGAATTGTAGAACTGATCTGGGCACTGCTAGCAGGGAGACTGGGAGGGCAGCGTACAGGTAGGGCCAAGAAGAAGTCCTGAGTCGAGGGCCAGAACCCATAGTCCCAGTTTCTGTCCGCGTTCATAATCAAAGAAGAGATCATTGACTGACTTCATTAGTAACTTGCTAAGATGCAAAATCAAGGGTCTAAGGCGTACATACCCACAGCCATGCCCACTGTTGATCCCGGGCTGACGCCGAACCCTTGAAAGAACCGAGCAGTCATATACCCTCCATAGGTGTCAGCCACTGCCGCACCAATAGTAGCTACCAAAGAGATGGTTGTTCCTATGATGAAGATGATTCGACGTCCGTAGATATCGCTCAATGAAGACCAGAATAGCGGACCCACGGACAAGCCTAGAGCGGGGATAGCCACGGTCCAGTTGACCTGTGAGTAGTTGATGTTGAACTGAGACTGGATCTCAGGGAACGAGGGGACGGTCGTGGTAGTGATGTAAGTGAAAAGGAAATATCTAGCTTGAGTTAGCACTATCTAGCATGGCTATTAAGGCAAAAACATCATACTTTAGCATGACTATTCCCAGAATGGAGTGCTTCTGTACCCTAGACCAATTTAAAGGGTCCAGGGGATCCGAGGTTGGCGGGGGATGGAGTCTCACGCCATCTCGCTCGACACTCTCAGAAGGAAATGGTGGACGTTTCTCGTCACCGTGAACTATGTCGGTATCCATGGGGCCGAGGGAGACGTCTTCCTTCTTTTCCTTCTCCATGGTTGTGAAGTCTAGCGCGATGAGTGGGAATTTGGGGCATGTTGAATCAGAGTATATATACAAATTCAGGCATAAAAAACAGTTATCAAGACCTGGTAGTTTAATGTGTAACATACGGTGCCTGCATAAGAACAAGGATCAGAGTACGTCAACATACAGGCCATCGAATCAGACCCTTGAGACATATCAGAAGCATGCCTTATCTCTTCGGCCATGAATTAGGGTTTAGGAAGACAATACGTTCCGAGGGAATGCTTAGTAGCATGCACTGTTACAACCAATGAACACCACACGCTGGCAGTCACCAATGTTTTCTTTATATTTTTTACTCCGACTCTTAAACCATCTATCGAGACATCCATAACAAGCAAAGTTGTTGTCTTCTTAAGTCGGGTAAACTTGCCAAAAAATAGTTAAGACCTGTTCAGGTGGGTCACCGTTCTGCCGGCCGCAGTGGTGCCCAACCCTACTTGATTCGTCTTAAGACAACTGGAAAAGTGATTGAGAATCCATTTCAGATCCAAATAAATTGATTTCAAAACAATTTAACCAGTTATTAATCGTAGCGGAGAATAGAAGGCTGATTACCAGCGAGATCCTCAGAGAAACGGTATTGACATACATGTAGATGGCCTTCGAGTCAATCAAGCATGTGAACGAATACGTGATATCATTGTCTCGTAGACTCTGCTGATTGTCCTGAGCTCATTTTCAATCTAGATGGGTCTTTCACCGGCGCTTTAAGCCTTTATTCCGCTGATTCTATGGGCAATGTCCATTCTCCTCAGACCATCATCTATATATACAGGCTGGATCTGCTAATGCGACAGTTTTTACTACCTCAGTATCATTATATACTAATTCACAACTCGTTAAACCAGATTCAACAGAGATGTATGCAATTGAATGAGCCGTTGTAGTACTGGCCTCTATCTCAAAACGATACCCCTACTAAAAAACAACCTAAGGAAAAGATTGAACAAGCCTGTGATACTATTAGATCTACAAGAAATCATACAGACAGACTATCTAGAGCTTCTAGATAGCCTAATAGTCATACTAGACATTCTAAATAGAAATTAATTAACCGGGATCATTTAGCCCTAGTAAGCCCTAATATCAGTACCCCCGGATTATACTGTACATTACGTGCGGAACGTATCAATATTCTCTGAAGTACACTAGGTATGAGCGGGGCATCGAGCCATAGCCAATTAATCCTATAATTATCCACAGTCTACAGCCAGGTCTCTGATAACGTCTCGGACGGAACGTGGGGTAGCGATAAGAAAAGTCTCGCCATGGTTTAAACTCCAAGTCAGGGTATACGATCCTTTCCTAATCAGGAACTTGTTTGGAGAAAATCGAATGTCTGCAGGCGAGTGGGACATTCCACCGACTCGTTCCTTGCTTCATAATTGATAAGGGATGAGTTACCACATAGAATGGTGACTCGGCACTTTTGGCCGTCCTTTATCATGATCTCGGTAATTGAATGACTTCATCGAATTTCTGAAACCAGTCTGGATTATGTGGGTCCGTCAAGGCTATGATCGAGATATTCGTGTTCGTTCCGATGTATTACGATGATAGGAATTTGTATACCTTTTTATGCCTTTGTATGAGGCTTTTCTTATTACTTCTGATCCACTTGTGTACTTTGTATTAACCAAATAGAGCCAAGAGTTTGAGCAGTCTGCAAGGTGTCTATGCAACAAGTAATATAGACTCACGACTCCTTTCACTTCAAATATAGAGACTATTTTGTGTGTGCAGTACTGGTAAACCGGTTTTCAAAATCCCTCTGACCAAACTCCGTAGAGATGTATCGTCAACGTTCTCCTTGCTATGGTGACACGCCTAATACTGAAGAAGAGCCAACTGAATATACCTCTCTCCTCCCAAAGCCAACGGACATCGACGATCCTGAAGATACAGATCGCTCTGACAGCTATGACTCTGACGAAGAGGGCTGGAGGCAGTACCTCACCGAACTCTGGATTCTGTTCAAGGGTTCCATTCCCGTCATACTGGCGTATACACTCCAGAACAGCTTGCAGACCGTGTCCGTTTTGATAGTCGGGCGCTCCTCACCCGAAAACCTGGCCACGACTGCATTTTCCTTGATGTTTGCTATGATCACAGCGTGGATGATCGCGTTGGGTGGCACAACAGCTCTCGATACGTTGGCCTCGTCCACGTTCACGGGTAGCTCAAACAAGCATGATCTCGGTATCCTGCTGCAGAGGGGGTTCTTCGTTCTGAGTCTGTTCTACATCCCCGTTGCTATTCTTTGGGCATGCTCGGAGCCCGTCTTCCTGCTTCTGGGCCAAGATCCGCAACTGTCTAGGGACAGTGCGAGATTCTTGACCTGCTTGATCCCAGGCGGTTTGGGGTATATCTATTTCGAAGTGATGAAGAAGTATCTGCAAGCTCAAGGTGAGACTCAACTCGCGCTGTCACCGCTAAACCCTATCACTAACTCTGCTGCTTCCCAGGCATCATGCGTCCAGGAACATATGTGCTAATGATTACATCGCCTTTTAATGCCCTTCTCAACTACCTATTCTGTTACACCTTTGAGATGGGCTTAGTCGGAGCACCATTTGCCACTGGCATTTCGTACTGGTTGTCGTTCCTCTTGTTAGTCCTCTATGCCCGGTTCATTGCCGGGTCCGAATGCTGGGGTGGATGGTCACGAGAGGCGTTCCAGAACCTGGGTACCTTTGCCCGTCTAGCCTTCCTAGGTATCATCCACGTCGGCACGGAGTGGTGGGCATTCGAGATTGTGGCCCTGGCAGCAGGCCGGCTGGGGACGATCGCATTGGCCGCGCAAAGCGTTATCATGACCGCAGATCAAGTACTCAACACGATCCCGTTTGGAGTGGGCGTCGCCACGTCGGCACGAGTGGGCAACCTCCTAGGTTCTCGGAACGCACCGGGAGCAGCCAAAGCAGCGAATACAGCCGCCTGGCTCAGCATTCTCCTCGGTGGGGTCGTACTGGTGGTGCTGATGGGGACGCGGCATGATTTTGCAAAGATCTTCAACTCAGACGAGCGAGTTGTGCGCCTAACCGCCGACGTCCTGCCGTACGTTGCACTATTCCAGATTGCAGATGGCTTGAACGGCAGTTGCGGGGGTAGTCTGCGCGGTATGGGTCGTCAGCATGTCGGAGCGATGGTCAATCTGGTTAGCTATTACTGTGGTGCGCTGCCGCTCGGCATTTGGCTGGCATTTCATGGCTGGGGCCTCAAGGGCCTCTGGGTGGGACAGTGTATTGCCTTGTATCTGGTGGGGGCGTTGGAGTGGATGATCGTGGCCCTGAGCAATTGGCGCAAGGAAGTGGATAAGGCGTTTTCGCGTATGGATGTGCATGAGCGATTGGAGGATGGAATGTAGAGTAGAGTGGTACTAGTAGTACGGCGATTCGGCCGTGGACGACGGTATGGAGATAGCAAGTATGGCAGAGTTGTTTGTGCTCATGTCACTGTGTCGAGCGGTTGGCCAAGAATCCCTGCTTCAATGAGTTAGCGCTGTACCCCAGACTAAAGAATGTCAATTTTTCCGAGGACAGACCAGACGTTCTAGAAGTTGAAGCTAGTGGTGGTGCGGGTGCATTGATAAGAAGCCGATCGGCCACTCATGCGGAGGATTTCCTTGTCGTGACGATAAGAACTGATAACCCAGTAACCTTGACTAAATTTAATCGCGCTTCCTGGGCTGACCTCATGTTCGTCTTGTCGTGGATTCTCTCCCCAACCTTTCCGTTTTGGGAAGCTGAATGGCAATCCGTGCATTCGGCTGCATGTTCAGATAGAGAGTAAATCCTCAGCCTGTCCCACTCCCCGTACCCTCCAAAGTAGGAAGTTGTAGGGAGTGGAGCAAACGCCAACTGTATCTCCTTGGTCCTATCCCAGACTTGAATCTCGAAGGTTTGTCGGGGTCTTTCCTCTGTCCCTTGACTGGTTCAGAGTAGGTTGGTCCATCCGAGACGCAGATGGTAGTTACCTGATCTCGAACATTGCACAAGAGAAGCAGTCAAAGCAAATTATGGATTGACCAGGGGCATAATCGGTCGGAAGTAGGCGAGGGGAAAGTCCTCTGAGGAAATGAAGTTTACAATTGCCGTGAAGGGTCACATAAATAGCAGTTTTGTTCCCTCCATCACACAAGAACATAGATCCCAGTCTTCCAATTAAATCCATATTGAATTTGACCTTCCCTCTTCGCAATCATATCAAGTATCAGTGCAAACATGCTCGTCACAACAGTGAGCCTTCTCGCTTTGTCTGCTGTGGCTTCTGCCCATAGCAAACACCAAACCCCCACGTCCGGTCCGCACCAGAAACTGTGGTATAACACCTTGCCAGGAGACGGCGGTACCCAGGTATGTGTGCAGCTGCTACCTATCCTTTGTATACATGCATACTGACGGTCTCAGGCCGACTCCGTCTTCTCAGGCATTTCGACCTTCGCTCGTTTGCCCTACTTCCCGTGTCTCTCCAGCGACGATGAGAAGTACGATATTGCCTTCATAGGTATGGCTAGAGCATCAACTTCTTCTGATTCCTCTCGGCCACAGCTAACGCAATACAGGAGCCCCCTTTGACACCGGCACCTCCTACAGACCCGGTGCCAGATTTGGTCCCAGCGGCATCCGACAAGGCTCCCGCCGTCTCAATCTCTAGTACGCCATTCCCACCGAGCTATTGCTTATAGTATTCAAAACTAACCAACAACCATCCAGCGGCGGCTACAATGTCCCCCTAGAAGCCAATCCCTTCGTCAGCGATCTCAAAGTCATAGACTGCGGCGACATCCCCGTCACCTCGTACGTCCCAGCATCCCACCTCCCTACCCTACCCCCCCCCCCCCCCCAGAAGTTAGAACTAACAAAAAGACCGCAGCTACGACAACGCCTGGGCAATCCAGCAAATCGAAGAAGGCCACAACAGCATCCTGATGCGCAAGCCCTTCACCGACGCAAACGAATACGGCCTCTCACGAGCAGGCAAGACCCTCCCCCGCGTCATCACCCTAGGAGGCGACCACACCATCACCCTGCCCCTGCTGCGCAGTATCAACAAGGCCTATGGCCCTGTCAGTGTCATTCACTTCGACAGCCATCTGTACGTCGCTCCAACACCATATTCCCCGCTATCATCGTATTCCAGGGCTGATCACTAATAATAACCCAACAGCGACTCCTGGAAACCCAAGGTCTTCGGCGGCTCCCCAAGCCAGGTCGCCTCCGTGAACCATGGAACATACTTCTACCACGCGGCGATGGAAGGCCTCCTCAAGAACGACACGAACATTCACGCCGGTATCCGGACTACCCTCTCCGGCCCCTCGGACTATGAGAATGACGGATACTGTGGGTTTGAAATCGTCGAGGCTAGAGATATAGACACCATCGGTATATACTTCCTCCCACCCCCTCTTCCTGCCCTAACCACTCACACCTAAGCACACAAAACCCCAAAGAACAAAACACAACTAACAAGACCCAGGCACGGACGGCATAATCAAACGAATCCGCGACCGCGTCGGTACCGAAAACCCCGTCTACCTGTCCATCGACATCGACACGCTCGATCCCGCCTGTAAGTCCCTTCACCAACATAGTCCTCCAGCAATATATGAACTATCCCCCCTTCTTTCTCTCTCTCTCATAAGGATAAAGCAAACTTCCCGAAATGCAAAATAAGGGCTAATAGGAAATGTTTTAAAAAAAAATTGCAGATGCCCCCGCTACCGGCACCCCCGAAACAGGCGGCTGGTCGACCCGCGAACTGCGCACCATCATCCGTGGTCTGGACGGGTTGAATCTCATCGGTGCTGATATCGTGGAGGTGGCGCCGGCTTATGATACTAATGCGGAGCTGTCGACTATGTATGTTTTCTTTCTTTCTTTCTTTCCTTCATATTCCGGGGGTTGTTCTTGGTTGGTTTGTGGAGTTTGCTAATGACTTGTGTGGGTAGGGCTGCCGCGGATGTGCTTTATGAGATTCTGACGATGATGGTAAAGAAGGGGCCGCTGACTGTTGATTCTGATGGGTCGGTTGAGTTGTAGGTCTGTTGTCTTTTTTCTCTTTTTTGTTTCTAGTGTATAGGTGATTATGAATTGAGGTGGGTGGGGGTTAGTTGGTTTACTGGGTTTCATCCCGATATGTCACGGACTGTCACGGACTGTCACTGTCTATTATACTAAAATGCAGATACTAAGAATTGAGCTGGATATCTCGAATTAGACCGTAACGCCCCTTTCCGTGCTGTGCCATGCATCCAAAGAATGAATAGATATATCAAAGTAAGAGAATCGTTCGATTGGTCATCATGTCCCAGGCCAGACGGCATGATCGGGTCGAATTGCAAATCAGAGAATCAACAGAAGAACGAGTAATTGGCGGACGCCATAACACCGCTGTTCCCCTCTTAAAGCGAGGAACTTGCTATCAAAATCTTTTTTTTCTAAAAAAAAAAGAGAGAGAACATAAAGGTATTTGAGATGTAGGCGTCATCACCTACACATGGCCGTATAGTTTCAACCGATACAGACATGTATCGTTTCCACCCCAGTTTGACTTGACCCGGAAAGCCACCTTGTCGACTCGGATGGCTGGAACATCAATGATAGCGTCTAACTCGAACTTCTGGATATGGTTCGAGGCGTGGAGATCATATGTCCATTGCCCCACACGATAGAACGAAGGCCCCAGGAGTTCGTCGTTCGAGTATGCACCCTCGGGTTCACCTTTATATGCTAACCGAAGGGTATCAATGATGTGGTCGTGGAGGGACGCCTGCTCAGACAACATCCCGGATTTGCGTAAGGGATTGGGGGAAGGAGACGAGTCGGAGTTCGATTCATCGACGATATGGAACTGAGCCCATAGCTCCATATCCCGAGGTGCAACTTCTGGCCGGATGCTTGCCCCCTTCGGTATGTGTTCTACAACCACCTCCTCTGGCACGATTTCACGCCCCAGCTGCAGTGCAAGCTGAGACATACCAGAGCGAGGCTTGCTACACCAACACTCCCCCACGTCCTGCCAGGGTGTCAAAGCTGCAAGGGGAGGCTCCGGCTGTCGCTGCGAGCCTCTAGACAAAAGTTGAGAGTGGAGTTTGTGCAGGAAGCCCACAGACCGCCCCGATGTGGGACTTGTGTTGTACGGGTCTACAAAAACACCCATACCTATAGATAGAAAATTGGTTTTCGGGGTCTCTTGTTGAGCTGGGATTGGCTGGACAATGGTGGTGGGAGCAGGCACATGTTCAACCTCAGTTTTAATGACATCCATCTCCTTAGACAGCGAGGAAACTTCCTCTCCAAGGCGAACCACTTGGTTAGAAAGACCGTGGACTGCTTGCAACGCAGTCGCATTCAAATCGCGGAAGGGGCCTCTGTACAATGGAAGATGCCAGCCGATACTGGAGGAAATGTTGGAAACTTGGTCGCCAAAAAAGCAGGCGGTGAGAATAGCTGCTGTTAGTACCACCAGAGTGATTACTTTGACAGGCAAGCCTTTCTGGAAACTAATTGCTGCATTCCCCACTGAGCGCACGTTGCTTTTGACACGTTCTCGTAACGGGGACGCGTTCTCATACGTGCTGTCATCAAATGAAGCCTCCCGGATAGGATTGCTGGGAATAATTGTCCTAGTGGGCGCTGAAGAAAGCTCAGGTTTGGATGCGATCCTGGGCGCTGGAGCGGGAGCGGGAGCACGAGGAGGCGTGGGCTCGCGCTCAGGCTCAGGCTCCCTTTCTGGCTCTGGCTCTGGCTCGGGCGAAGGCGTGGACCCGGGCGATAGCGCCACTTCGGACTCTGACAGCGGTTCAGGCTTAGGCTGAATGTCGACTGTCGCAGCCTCAGGAGAACGTGATTTAGATATAGAGAGCTGGGTAGTCGGTTCGTCAACTTCTTCAATAGGCTCGTGGGCAAACGCGAAGCCCGAAAATCGGCGGGGAGGAGCTGTAATGTTCTTTCCATGCGGTCCATCAAGATACCCATTCGGGCGTGTCCGTTGCAGGTCATCATCATGGATATCACGTTCTACGTTCCACGAGATAACTGATTCATTGTCGACAGAGGTTGCAAAATTGGGCGAGCTCAGCGAGATTGCATTCCGAGCAGGTGATCCATACCGCAGAAGTGGAGACGGATAAAGTTGGTCGGTAGTCAAGACAGGGTATTTGGGGTTCGTAAGAGATTCAGTAGCAGGACTGGATGCTGTGGACAGAGTGTGTGGAATAGGAGGAGTGGGAGTGGGAGTAGATTGCTCTCCATGGTCTTGGCCATTAGGAGACATAGTGGCTTCACGTAGCGAATCAAGCAGCTGCAGTTGATCTGGAGTTGGCTCACGTCGACTTCGCCGAACAGGGGATAAGCTTGCAGAAACAGATTGCCTTCGCGAGCGTGTGTTCATGTGAGGTCTGTCAAAGTCTCGATCTTGGGCGACCCTGCGGCCTTCATCGATATTGGTTGCCATCTCAACCAGATTCATCCTCGGCTTCGCCGCAAGCTCACGGGGAAGAATTGGTGTTGTTGATGAGCCATAGGCGAACGATTGCTTGGTCGGTATATCAGGCAAGGCAGGATTCCTCGCATCGGGACTTGACATGTTAGGGATGTACGAAGGAGTCCCGCGGTCAGAGGTCAGAGTCACAGCCCCGGCACGCCGAGTAGAAGAGCGCTTGGGAGGCATGTTGATGGTCTCCTATTGAAGACAAACGTCTATTTTCGTGAAAAATTAACGTAAAGTAAGTGCCCTGAAAGCAATGTTAGGCAAGATTGCATGGAATGAGAATGAGACATTCGACGCATAAGCTTCAAGGTACTTGAGACTCAAGAGAAAGTAAAGCATACACTTACAGTAAACCCTTCGAAAGTGAATGACAACGCTGTCGCACCCACACGTTTGGGGTATAGCAACACTGATTCAATTCTCAACGGCGGTTGTGGAACGACCAGTCGGAGAGTATAATATTACAGTCGACAGCTCAGTGAGTAGTTACCTAGCAAGTACTACACATCGATTAGAGGCGAGCTCTAAAATGTTGACTGAGTCGCCGCCGCCTTGGTGGAATCTTCGTAAAGTCGAAGTGAGGCGCACCACAACCGCGGCACAAGGAGCCCCCCACACAACGACCCCTAACTCCCTCAAGGTAAAGTCAATTAGAGGAACCAAAGAAACTGCCTAATTGAGATATCGAGGTAGTGAATGATACAGCTTCACTTGCATCCACGAGAAAGGAACACGGCGCGCGGATGCGACGCGGGCAGAGATTACTGATGCTCAACACCAGCGTGCAGTGTGCAGAGCGCACAGCAGTTCTAAGAAGATATAAAAGATCACAATCAATTCTTCAGTGCTTTGCGACCATATCAGCACGCGTTTTGGTGTATTTAACGCTAACTTGGCGGTGTCGATGCTGTCGCGAAGTCCAAGTAAGTATTTGGTATGTAAGTCTGTAGAATCCCTGATCCAGTAAAGCGTGACTTGTTCGCCCCACCCAAATTACGGAAGGTCAGTTCGACGTAATCGGGAATCCATGTATTGACCAGTTGGCGACTGAAAAATGAAGATACCATTTCATAACGCAGTTATTAAGGTCTAAGAAACCCAATGGTTGCGGCTTTTGCCTTGCTGTTTCGGTATCCTTTGCCATTTCTCTAAATTTACTCCCAATCATTTATATTCAAGGTTCAATGTGTTAAGAGACCATCACTTCAAAGACATTTTACAATGCTGTCGGTCCTGGACAGCTTTTATTTCGCTTCTAGAACACTGTTGACATATAATATACACATTCAAGATGCTCTTGAGACTTCGCAGGAAATATAATGGCAAGTGCCCGCATGTACATCCAAATACGTCCAAAAGCCAATGCCTCATAGAATCATTTCTAACACGTCCACGCGCCAACAATACCGTCCTGGCGACCTTCAACGAGAAATCCGTCCTTGAGACACACTCGGTCAACAGTCGCAGGAAGCGGTCCTTGTTCATCAACACCAACGCCGGCACCACAGTCCCAGTGGTTGCCGTCCGCCTTGTCGTAGACCTTGACCACGCTCTCTCCCGCAGCAGCCACGATTCGTTTCGCGTCGAACTTCATGCTGGTGACGGGTTTGTCGTAGGCGAATGCGTCGTAGATGGACCCCATTCGGAGATCCCAGATCTAAAACATGTCAGCAATGGCATCCTTAACCTCGCAGAGTCAGTGTGCAACATACCCGAATACTACGGTCCATACTTCCCGTCACGAGATGCACATCATCAAACTGCAAGCATGTAACGGGGCCTGTGTGGCCAACAAGACTACGGTGAACCTGGCCACTGCGCAGATCCCACAGACGGACCATGCTGTCCGCAGTACCGCAAGCCAGGGCGGCATCGAAACATTGAAGCGCCCCCACAAAGTCTGCAGATGCATCTGGTACGCGTCCGGACGGTCGCCATGTGCTGTCTCCATTCAATGTATCCGCTTGAGCTGCAGCCCAAAGAACATCCAACGTCTGCACACAACGTCCTTTGACGAGATCCCATTGGCGTAGAGTCTTATCAGCCGAGCCAGAGATCAAATTGTCGCCTCGGAAATGGAGCGCTGTCACCTCACCGACATGGGAATCTAGTGAAAATACGTGGCAATCCTCTAACGTTGTTGAATGGGATACTTGGGAAGCGTCGTCAGCAGCGTCTTCTTCGTCTTCTTGCTTGTTAATGCGGCTGCTTCGAGGTCTAGAGCGGGCGCGACTCAAATCCCAAAGCTTGACTGAGGCATCCATAGAACCCGTAGCCACGATGTTGTCCTCGATCTGAAGACATCGAACCGATGCGTTATGCCCCTCCAGGAACCCAGTACACCTTCCAACATTGAGATCCCAAACTCGCACGGTATCATCCAACGCTGCGGTAATCATTGTGCCAAAAGGATAGTCGAAATCAACGGCAGTCACCATATCAGTATGCGCTTCCATCTCCTTAATCAAGGATCCGGGATTGAAGTGCTCGTGTAAAACAGGCATAGACCGTTTTCCTGAGAGAATTAGCTATTAGTCTAATGGGAACGGCCCGAAGAGGCGTACTCTTTGATTTGTGCTTCAGGCTCTTCGGCGATGGAATCTTTTGATAGATTGATTCCGACATGAAAGATGCGTCCATGGCCGGATCCTCGGAGCCCATCGATTCATCGTTTGCGGATGATTTCGGAGTGCCCACAACAGCAGAAGCGTCCGGTGTTTCCTCTTCAATATCCTCAAGTTTATTTTCGAGTTCGGTCACTGTTACCCAAAGTCAGAATCAAACCGCGACAATGGAACCAAATCCAACCCACGTTCGTGTTCCAATTCCGCCTCCTCCATCTCTAGTCCAGCCAACCGGTCCAAAACAATCTTGCGCATATTGTGAAGGTTCGCGATCTTGTTGTCTATATCGTGTATCTCCGAGCTGCACATGTTTTTGCGCACACCCATCAGTTCCATGCGGCGACTTAACAGATCACGTTCCTTCTTCAGGTCCGCCGCGGCGGACGGAAGGGCCGCCCGGCTTTCGCCATCTTTCAACAATTTCTTCGATTTGGAAACGCGCCGTCGATGGGCCTTTCTATATTCAATATCGTCTTGGGAGGCCTGGAAGCCTTCAAACAGGGAGTAGGAGCTGCTGTCGTCGGGGATGTTCGCAAGGAGATCGTCGGGGAGAGAGGAGAGAGCTCGCGATTGGATTTCGGAAGTCGACAGCCTGGAGCGGACAAGATCCGTCGGCGTGGTTTGGGTCAAGGCGAATACCCTGCGCTGCGTATTGGGCCGCCGCAGCTCGCGCTGAATATCCGCCATCGCATTGTGGTAATGGGCGGGATTCCCGTCGGCCGTAGGGCCCATTAAATGCCCGGCTGTCGACGTTACTTTCCTCCCGAAGGCCTCGATATGTCTGGTCTGAGTACCGGAAGGCTCTATCAGCGGATCCTTGGGCGACTTGGGAGAACAGGCAGATATAGAGGTCCGTAGGGACTTACCGTCAGGCCGGTCCCTAGAAGACCGTCATGCTCGACAATATCTGACAGACCGGAAGGCGACTCATCGCGGCGGTGTTTGTCCATATCACCGAGCTGAGCAGTTATTGGGGGGAGTTAAATGCCCATGCGGAAGGTCTGGAGAGGGGGGTGTGAGGCAAAGCAGGGCAGGTCGAATCGAGTCGGCAGTGCACTTGCTCTATTTTTCGGCTCTCTGGAAAAGAGAACTTTGAGCTGGAGCTGCACGCGATAAATGAATTACCGCGTTGCCGGAACCTGAACTATGTACCGTAATATTACCGCGGACTAATCCCCGTAGCACATGACAGTCGTCGATAAGACAGTGTGAGTGTTTGCGAGCTTCAGTACGGAGTCGAAGATTGTAAAATGTGGGTTTGCAACTTCTTCAAAATTCTTTGTTTTTCCCAGTCCGCATCCATTCTTAATGCTTGGCTTTTATACGTTGTAGTAATACCGTCAGTACTGAAATCTAGACTTGAAACCCTCCTTGCAAATGAAAGTTACGTTACCACATGACGGCATCAGCCAGAGGAACATTTCAAGATGACCATCGGATCCAGATGGGATCCTTCGTAAACGCGATCCTTTCAGCTGATGCTCTGTGAATGCTTTCTGGGCATCTACTTATGTCTTGGGTTCTTGTTCCTTTTCTTTTCCCTGCGAAACGATGGATCGGCGGCTTAGCGCTTTTCCCTAAATCGACGCAAGTGCTGGGTTCAGGCTTCTGTACTCCGGTTTAGGAAGGGTCATGAAGGGTACTCCCTGCTATAAAAGCACCTCGTAAATGGCTCTTTGTATATTTTCTTCAATGATAGAGCCCCCAGTTACTACCTGTCCGACTCATGCTTAGCTGATCAGAACTCAATATAAGCCGTGTGAACCTCGAAGTATTCATCATACTTGGTATACTCCTCCCCAGCCCAACGACCCGAGAAGGAATATCTGTCTGCGCAATCGGGGCCCCGCAGGAGACACTCATCTTGTCGGAAACAAAACGAACGAGAAATTTAAACCACAACCAACTACGGAGTAGAGCACAAAATAAAAAAGAAGCCATGGACACAGCCATTGACCTTTCAGACGCCTCCAAGGCCCTGGATTTAGCCAACATTCGGTTCCAATTGATGTAAGTCGCAAGGCATTTATTTCTCACGGCTTACACTTTGCCCCGCAGTCGCACGGCTACCGTCTAGACCAGACAAAACGACCACAGAATTCCGAAATCCCTGTGACATCCCTGAGCTGATCATGTGTAATGCTACAGCCGTCTTGAAGACACCATCACCTTCCACCTGATTGAGCGTGTCCAATTCCCCCTCAACAGGCCTGTTTACGTCCCCGGCGGCGTCAAGATCCCCGGCGATGACATCCCTCTGATGGATTATCTGCTCCGCGAGCAGGAGCGTATCCAGTCGCGCGTGCGTCGCTACCAGTCCCCGGACGAATATCCGTTCTTCCCGGATGTCCTTGAAGAACCGATCCTAGCGCCGCTGGAGTATCCGAAGATTCTTCATGATAATGACGTGAACGTGAATGATATCATCAAACAGCGCTATACCGAGGATATCCTTCCCGCTGTCTGTCCGCGGTTTGGACGCGAGGATCGCGGCGAGACGCAGGAGAACTACGGGTCCGCTGCGACCGCCGACGTGAGCTGTCTGCAGGCGCTGTCTCGGCGCATTCACTTCGGCAAGTTCGTGGCCGAGTCGAAGTTCCAGAAGGAGCCGGAGCGATTCGTCAAGATGATCAAGGCGAATGATCGGGTTGGGATCGATGACGCTATTACCGACGCGAAGGTCGAGCGGAAAGTGCTGGAGAGACTGGCGCTGAAGGCAAAGACTTACGGAACAGATCCCGCATTCGCGACAGAGACCGGCTCCAAGATCAACGTGGAGGCCGTGGTTGCCATGTACAAGGTGAGAACTACTTCCCCTTCCTTTCTTGGCTAGTGACTTGCTAATCCCCGTCTAGGAATATGTCATTCCCTTGACTAAGGTCGTAGAGGTTGAATACCTTATGCAACGCCTGAAGGGAACCCAATGGGAATAAATGAATGATGGACGAAGATTTACGAAGATAGAACCAGCCATAAACGCATGAACATATTTAAAACCCCGAAAAAAGGAAACCATAGAGTTATTAATATATTTTCAAAAACTGGATATAGACACGCTATGGACAAAGCGCAGAGCAACTTTTTTCTAACATCATAAACCATGCCGTAACCATCAGACTCATACCGGAGGCTGCAAGAAGTCCTTCATCTCTTTGATCGCACCCTCGAGTTTATCCGCATCGAAAAGCATCAGACTTCCATTGGTCCTGATACCCGCCTCCTGGAACGCGCGCTTCGAATCCGAGTGTCCCTCATCGTGTTTATGTGTGTACTCGATAGACCCGAAGCACCGCGTGTGCTTCTCCAGAATCTCATCCTCAGGGTGGAAGTAAAACTTTTCAGCCTTACCAGCCGACTTCTTCTTTTTCTTCTGCGGCCGCGAGTCCTCCATGTCCAACTTCGACTCAACCTCTTCATAATTCTTGGACACAATCAGGTAATGCGAGAACTTGTAGGGCTCCTTGTCTTGAATAGCCCACGCAATCTCCTCCATCAGCATGGTGTACATCGCAGGAACCACTTCGGCGGGCATATTGATCAATCGCTCGGTAAGAATCAATCCGATCGGAGGAACGGGTGTTTGGGAAAGGAGCTGGGAAAGAGGGGCGAGGTCGGGATTCGACGATGCTTTACGCTGGAGGTAGGATATCAAATCTTTGATGACGGGTTTGTCCTATTCTGGATATTAGCGAGCGATTTTCTCTCTTGGGTGTTGCTCTCGCAAAGCGTACCTTGTGTTCCTGGAGGTTGAGCACGGTCAAGAAGGCATACGGATCCGACTCGTTACCGTCTACCTTCACTGTTGATCCCAGCAACGGTTGCGCGAGGATCATGTCCGACAAAGCGGACATGTCGAAGAGCTGGGCATCGGAGTCGAAGAGCTGGCGGAGGAGGACCTTAAGACCGTGGAAATCGATCGGCTGAGGGTCGAACCATTCGAAATCGACATTCACAATGTCCATGTCCTGCGACCATGATCGGCGTTAGAAAAAAAATTATGATGTATGCGAAGGTGGTGTTTTACCTCGTCGGACTCATCGCCGTCCACGCGGGGGTCAGTGCCGCCCATTTCGACATCGTTATCTTTGATCTCCTTGCGTTTACCCATTGTGATCAATATGGTGATTGCAGTGTGGGAATAAGGTCAATTCGTGGGGTATTGGTTCATTGGAATCCGTCGTTTTGGGCTTCATCGGCGGCCGATAAAAGTTGCTCCGCTCTCGCTAAACCTTTTCCGTACATTTTATCGCGGGGGTTAAACAAAGTATATCTCATGAGCAATAACAGGTCAATACCTAAGTCAATATAACCTCCAAGTGATACGGGGTACATGGCTCTGAACCACAAACGGCCTAAAACAAATTTCTCTAATATTTTCCTCTAACAGGTCCACATTCAATCGTGAACACATTCTATCATCATGATCACAATCGAAGATGCCACCCCAACACATCTATATATCCAAACCATCCACCACACGATCAAACATCACTTTCCACCTCCTCAACAGTAGGCACCTTGTCCAACACCACCCCATAGAACCCGGCAACGAGCTGAATACACTCCCAAACAACCTTTACATCCTCCATGCTGACCCCCAACCTCCTCGTCCCTCGAATGTGCCAATGCGTCTCATTCTTCAGATTCTGGCTCATGATGGCCGGCAACACGACCATCTGCGTATCAACATCGTCCAAGATCTCTCGATCCGACAAAAACAGTCCATACGTAATCTCCTTCGACAACCACCCGAAATCCTGATGCGCGCGGAAAAAGTCCAGCGTCCCGGCCGTGTTCCGCGCATACAGCTTCTCCAGCCACGCTACGCCGCGGTCATGGTTGGCCTGGTCGCATTGCCAGTTCTCCCGCGTGAAGGTGTAGTCTTTGTCTTCTTCACGTTCGTATTTGCTGATTGCTAGGATGGCCTCGATGGGCTTGCACACGCCCACTATGATGATGCTTTTGAAGAGGGCTTCGCGGAGGCGCCGGACCAGTGCTTGTCTAGCTGACGGGGTGCTGTAGGGAGCTTGGTTGATTAGGTGTAGGTAGAGCTGGTCGCAGCGCTCCGGGTCCGGGCTGGCTACTATTGTGGATATGGCGAGGATGTACCATTTTTCGGCCGGGAGGGAGGTCTGCGCAAAGCGGGTGGAGAGGTCCTGGAAGAGTTGGACGTAGCGGGGGTCTGGTTGCGGGGTGGGTGTTGCTGTTGATGCTGTTGACATCTTGCGGGGTTGGGGTTGGCGTGCTGGGTTGGGGAGATTGCGAGTAGGGTGGTAGAGGGGTGTGTGGTTACTGTAGGTACGTATTGCTGGTGATGTTGTAGAGATATTGTAGTATTGAAGTTGTGGTTTGGGCACCGAGATCGGACGTGGGTTGCTGAGGATCAATCGTGGTGGTGGTGCCCACCTAGTAGTACTACTACTAGTACTACTACTAGTAGTAGTATAGAGGTACACCTGTCTTGCATATCGACACATGATCTGTAGAGACTAATTGGCTAGAAGATTGTCAGTGCGAAATGACGGCGGAAACATGACAAAGCATAGAAACATACCGAATTATGGATTTTCTTACGATTTTCCATATCCGTCTAATCTCTCATAGATCCGGGAGTGTAAACCAAACACCAAAACAAACCCACACAGGCCCTACCCAGCCCCCCAATCGAGAAAAAGAAAACAACAAAAGCGCTTCTAGACCAATCCCACCTATGATTCAATCATGTCAAGTCCAAAGCGCAATTCCATATTAATTGGAGTACCCCCTTCCAGGTATTGTTGTAATGCGACCCACCTATGATCTCAGCGACCTCAGCCATGACATCACATCATGGCATACAAGATACTATAAAGAAAGTATCGTCTTGACCTCTATTCCCAACCTAATGCAATCAACTCTCTAATTTTAATTATTCTCGAGTACTCTACCACTGCCTCTTTCTTCCTCTTTTCAAATTTCCTACAATCAAACCTCAATTGATCAAAATGTCAGGCCAATCTAGCGTGGGCAACCGCAGCCTCTACGAAGCAGGCGACCAGCGCAACGTGCCTCAGTCCGTCCTGAACGAGCAGGACCGCTACAACGAGGGCCAGAAGCACAGCCATAAGAACTTGGATTCGAGTATGTCCTTCTCTGATTGCTCGCCATTGATGGGATGTTGTTGCTTGAACCGGTGCTGACTAGAATGCAGAGGACGAGCGCTCCATTGCCAACAAGCTCGCTGCTCGTGAGAGGCAGCCTGACCCCAGTCATCATCACAACTATGATGTTAACCCCGAGGCGGAGATTAGCAAGAAGGACTCTACTAAGCCGGTATGTTTCCCGCTTGTGATGATTGTCGATAGTTGTAGCTGACTTGCATGTGACCAGGCCAAGATCCATGGCAATGAGCCGTCGAAGGGAGCCAAGATTGACCAGGAGCTCAAGGAAGAAGACGAGCAGAGACTGAGGGAGAAGGGTATCAAGAAATAAATTTGCCCTGGAGGCTATGGTGTAATGACCAAAGGTTATGCTTTTTCGTCCACAAGCTGGTTTAATGTGGCATCTTTTGTAATTTTAGCATGTACCGGTTGACGAAATAATGGGAATTGATCAGCATCAACGTGGAATTTTGCGTCCATTTCTATATCCTCTGATATTATGCAACATTATGAATGGTATGTATATACATATTGTAATCGGCCATGTCGTCGTCTCGTAAACAGCGTGTTGCGTCCCTTTTGACTCACAAATAGGCGCTCACATCCATGCAAGTGTCGTGTCAAAAGGTAATCTATGCTAGCATCTGTGATAAGGATTGTCGAGCCGAACACTATGGCGGTAGCAGCTGCAGATGGGACCCAGATTAACTAGAGTGGTACTCACTGGAGCTAATTTAGCCTTCGTCAACAAACTTAGGGTCGTCATCGTGTGGTTCTGCAAAGACTGTGTTCCAGTAGCTCTCGACTTTCTCACACACACCCGTTTTGCCTTCCCACGTTCTGAATTCTATGTCGGGACTACAGCTAACCCATTTGATCTCTTCCCAGTAGGCTCTCTCGATGTCAATCCCAAACCGGCGTAGGACGTCTTCAGGGGCAGTCCATGCGCGCCCCTCTGTGCCATCGGGTCGAAGGGTAGGTGTAGTTTCCCAATTGTACCCAAAGACATTCTCTGCAGGATTGAACTTGGGGTAGTTGGCATGGATGAAAAATACGCGAGGCGGCTTGTCCACAGAGGGGTCCTGAACTCGCCATCTTCCTTGGCTCGTCAGCACATGGTCTCCAATAGGGTCCGATTGCGCCATTGCTGAGCCAGAAAGCCCTTCCGGTGTTTGATGGCCGAGCGCCTGAACTCTCTCGCTGACCGCGTAGAAAGGTTCACCCACGCAGTCGCAGCCTGCAGGAACGTTTCTTTGTCGCCCTCGCCTGGTGCACCCTGAGACAATAGTCGGAAGTAATGCGACGGTCCATAGTAGTTATAATAGGCAGCGAGTAGCAGTGTGAGATAGTGCGTCTTCTTGGAGACGAGGAAGATACCGGTCTCCGAGGATTGTCGCTCGGTCATCGGAGGCATGGGCTGCTGGGAGATGTTATAATATGCCGGAGAAACCGACGACGCCCAGAAATCGGGCCAAGTCACTAAGCCAGTGGACGTGAAAGGTTCATGGTTGAGCAATATCTCGGGTTTGTCCATTGGAAAGCAATCGGCATCCATCCAAACAATCTCCTCGAACGAAGAAAAGAGGACCGCAAAGACCTTTAGTTGGTAATGTTGGATGACATCCTTGCCTACAACATCGGAGAGGATTAGGCATCGCGCACCCATATCTGGGAGGACCTTGTCGCAGATTTTCTTTTCATACTCGCTTGCATCCTTCATGTACACCTCCACAGGCAAAGTTGACCCTGTGCGGCGTAGCATCCGCAAGGATGACAGAAATACGGGAAGATAGGAACCCCCGGCCGTCGTAACTATACCCCGAGTTCCGGGAGAGTGGGCCGGACGCAACTTCTGCGCCGTCCTGATATCATTGAGATAATTCGCATGTGCCTCTGTCAGCACGTCGAGATCATTCTCGCCAAACACAATCAAGTCGGGACGTGGGTCGACTGTTGTGGCATTGAAATGAACTGCGCTCACAGAAGCCTGGAGTGTGGGGGACGGGCAATTTGGTGCATGTGCATCTAAAATCGACCTTAGCACCTTCCAAAAGGCAATCTGACGTTCGGTGAGAGGAACTTCAAAGACAGTGCTAGGAATCGTCGAAGCCGGAGGCGGAGTCCAATATAGATAGAAAGTACAAATGAGAATTAATGCGGCCGTCGCTGAGAGGACCGTCCTCAGCCGGCCTGGCCGAAAGATTGACATTGCTATGTTTGACAGTCGGTTGAAATTGATGGCAGAGAATGCTGTTATAGTTCTAACTCGGGTGTCTACACAATGTGACCCAATGGGCGCGGTGCAAACACGATACGCCCCAACACTTAACGAGAGAACCTCGATCGCGGATTCCAGATAAGAGCAGTCTTAATTAAAGAGGAATGCCAGCATGACAGGCGATGCTGGCCGCAACGAGGTCGTTTATTCGACCGCCTCAACACAATTCAGGAGGTTCGTTCTGCGCGACCCCCAACGGAAGACGTCGATCCGATGTGGCCGAGGCAGTCTTTGTCGAACAATTAGCACTGAATTAGTGACAGGCAGGCGTCAGAGGGGTTCGACACTATTGCCGAAGCTTTGAGCGATGAAGGGCAGTAGGCTTGAATGTAGGTTGTTGCCTGAAATCACTGCAAAATCTCTCCACAGTTGAAATCTGATGTATAGACAATGAAATTCAGGAAAAAACAAAGACTTCCCCTGTGCGGAAGGCGGTGGCAGAAACAAGGTACATTCCGACGAGGCCCCAAAAAGGCCGACCATCTCACACTAACCCAGTTGATTATACTCCTTATTCCGAGAGCGCATAACTTAAGTTTTCTCAAGGCTCCACCCCTTCGCAGCTTCTTTCCGTAAAGGACCAGAGTTTCAATTGTCCTCTACGGCCGAGATGGTATCCTTGGGAACTCTGCGGCGCTTTCCAATCAGCGAACGCTCATAGGCCGAGGGACAAGCTTTGCCAATTTTAGAATGGATATCATAACATAATATGTGGATATCTCCAAGGGACCTAGGCTTTCCCTTGTCAATAGTGGATTATTGGATAAAGCCAAGAAGATCTGGGAGAGTCAAAGATCGAAGAAGAATATTCCGAAAGAAAATGAGACGGAACCATCTGAAGAACCGCTGATCCTCAAGAAAATACTTTCAGCCACAAAATTCAAAAGTACTATGGAGTACACAGAAACCCAAAACTCTGCAGGCAAACGGCTCTTAATTCCTCCCTGGTAACCAGCAAAGTTCCTTACTTTGAGGCTAGAGAGTGGGTCTTTGGCTGGTATTGCCGGCCGATCTGTGCAACGGGAACTGCTCTCAAGAATTGCTTCAACTTTGCAAATACAAGAAACTTTGCACGTGACGGCACATGATCCCGTTGATGATCTCGCATACTAGTAGTTGAACCGTCCCTAGGATTGCTATTCAGACCGACACGGATCTTTTGCTTTCCCCCACCACCCTTTATACTATCATCGTCTTCTGGCTCGGCTGCGTCACCATTTTGGTGTGTCAAGACTCAGGCCAAGCAGCACTGCAGGAGGTCCAGTCTAGCGAGTGGCAAACGCTGGGACTCGGTTCGCGTCGTCATAGAGTTGGGGCTTTTTAATTTGATACCTTTCCGTGACGAGGCTTCCCGAGTTAAACCAATCAGTATCACTTATCTCTTCCTGGTTAGTTGCCAAATTTTCGTTTCGGCTCTACGATCAACTAGGTGATATTAAAGGGCGGGCGAAGCCGCAGCGATCGTCACTTATCGTCCGTCTCTAATTCCGCGTGGCTAGCACACTCGGGCAAAGCCAGAAACACCCCAAGACACCGGTCGCTGGGATTTTGAGGCTAAACCGCTCATTACTATAATCCATTGGATTTATTTCTTCTTTCTTCACCTCCCCACTCGCTTACTCGACTTCTCTCGTCTTTACTTTCCGACCTTAGCGGTTGCTCGTCGATCGCTCTATCATCTATGGCACCCCGCAACGCGGGTCTCTCCGCCATTCCGCCTCTCCTGTCCCTGACCAGTTAAGCCATTTAAGACTATCGGTTCGATAGCGATAGCTGGTCGACCGGGTCTTAATATGGAGCCGGCTTCCAACGCGCAAACCCGAAAAGCTACCTCGGCCACGGATCAAGCCCCCCGAAAGAGACGCAAGCGCACCGTCGTTACCGGCGCAGCGGAGGATTGCTTTACCTGCGCCCGACAAGGGTTCTCCTGTGATCGGCGACGCCCTTATTGCTCTCAATGCCTTGACAATGGCCGAGAATGTTCGGGTTATAAGACTAAGCTGACCTGGGGTGTTGGCGTTGCTAGCGGGGTAAGCTTAGGGGGTTATCTCTTCCGGTGAGCGGGTCACAACCAGCTGCGACGCCGTCAACAGCACCTTGTCCGGAAGGCCCACACGAATCACCGTCTATACCCCCGTCGCCTTACAAGTCTACACCCTCTCACACAGTCACGACTTCATCCACGACTTCACCTGCGTCTCAGGATCCGCAGCGGCCTCCAATAGTAACCGAAGCCCACGGGAACATAATATGGACAACTGACGCGTCTAACACCCAACCATGGCCCACTGGAAGTCCACTCTCCGCGCACCATCACCCGTGGAGTAAGAATGGAACCCACGGAACAGATGTCTCACTGGGCATAGCGAACCTCGATGTACGCCCACACTTTCAGGAGAGGCCAGACCTATCTACGGGTTGTCATAACTTGATACGCACAACAAATGGATGGTCTAGTCAGGCACAAATGCTATCAACGATGCTACAGTGGCAACACCCGGGGAATGCCCCGGAGACTGAGGCAACAGAGGTAGTTGAGGAACAGCACGAGCGAGAAAGTACAGGCAGTCCTCCTCTACGCGTAGAAACTTGTCATTCGCCGTCGCTATCACAGCTGCTCCTAGCACGCTCTGTTGGGCGTACCCCACGACTCAGATATTTAATCAGCTATTACGCCGAAGTCATAGCGCCGATGATCGTTGCTTTCGACGGCCCAGCAAACCCATTCCGCACATATGTTCTACGCCTTGCACAGGAGAGCTTATCACTTCAGGAAGCCATCGCTACGTTATCTACATGTAACATACGGCAGAGGCATGAGCGGAGGATGAGGCCAACGGAGCGGTCCCTTCCAGCACGCTTATCATCGTTAGCCCATCGCGCCTTGACTGACGAGGCGTTCCGAGATGAATACGGAGTGTCAAGGCCTGAGGGTTTTGCTCAAGAGGAGCAATACCATCGGGGCATGGCTGTCAAAGCTTTGAATATGGAGTTGGCCGATCCCCGTGAAAGACTGTCGGATTCCGTCCTTGCAACACTGCTAGTTCTTTGCTTATTCCACATGTGTGATACTGGCGTCGCTCAATTCAAAACCCAGTTCGCTGGGGTGACGAAGTTATTGGCTATCCGAATGCGCAGCTCACCCCAAATGTCGGAGGAGTTGAAATGGTTCGTTCGTGTGTTCACCTGGTTTGATACGATGACGGCTACCACCAATGATCGCGAAACGCAACTTCGCGGTGCTTGTTTAGATATTGCGGCAGTTTCAGACGGCGAGTGGGGGCTAGAGAATCTTGCTGGTTGCGATCCCAGTCTGTTCAAATTCATTGCGCAGCTCGGTCGTTTGAATCTTTTGAGTCAAGACCAGGAAGTCAAAGCGCCGGGGCTTGCGGATGTGTTTGTACCCTCTTCGGCGCCTCCCCCATCGATGACATATTTCTACTCGCCTTCTACGTTGAGGTCGGACATACCTACAGTCAACCACACTTATTCGCATCCGCTACCCTGTCTACCACAATCGAGCGACCCTCCGAGGCGGCCGTCATCACCAGCGTTTTGGGCTGAGTGGTATTCATTACGGCAAAAGCTTGAATCATGGCGTCTCCCGCGCCAGGATAGTCAACACTTTGGTGCTGCCCCTGCGACTACCACAAATGCCTACATCTCGCCGCCTTCATCCCCGTCATCTCAGGCCGTTGTTGCCCCTCAGAACCGCGAGGATGTCTTTCATATCTCCGAATCATTCCGCCATTCCGCCATTCTCTATACTGAGCGACTTGCGTATCCAGATCTGCCATCCAATCACCATCGTATTCAATTACTCGTGCACCACGCGATGCATCATATCTCACTGGTCAAGTCGGACGTGTACCTATTATGGCCGCTTTTTATCACTGGCGCCGAGTGTGTGCTTGAAAGACATCGTACATTCATCAGAGAGCGTTGCAAGGACCTTTCCAAAGATTCTGGATTTCTCAATAACCTCTCATGTCTAGAGCTGCTCGAAAATATATGGACCGAAATCCCTACCGCGGCCGATGTTGGCGATAACATTGATCGTGCATCACGCGGCAGATACCCTGGCGCATCTGAAGACGTTGTGTCAGCCTTTGATGATAATTCGCCTTCCTATAGCGGAACATCGACGTCCGCGACCCCAGCATCGGTTGCGAGACCGCATGGATTCCGATGGCACCGGGTGATGCAGGCTAAACGGACCGAGGGGGAATATATGGTGGTGTGACAAGGTCACGAATGTACGTTCATGATACTAATACGCCAGTGGGCCTATTCGGTAATCTGGCTGATGTGCTTGATGATATACAACTGGATATATTACGAATATAGGTATAGCATTACGAAGTTCTACATGTATGTATGTACATAGCATGGCTATAGCAACGATGGTGGCAGCAATTGTGCCTACCTTGAAGAAGAAAAATCCCCCTCGTATAAGAAAAGTCACGTAGCAACCACATAACAACCTAACTGATCTCATTGCCAACCACAGCAACCCGATGAAATAGCAATTCACCAATAACACCCCGCAATTCCATGACTAGCTATAACCCAACGCCAGATCCACCGGTAACGAGTCTGGCGTCGCCAGCGTGTCAGGCGCTGATTTGCCGATCTCAACTCCACACGTCGGAGATTTATGTAGATGCACCGTGGTAACCGTAGAAAAAAAGATGGTGGAGGCATTTGGGCCGGGAAATCCATTATTGGGCGCATGTATGTACAAACCATAGTCATACATTCTGTGGAAGGATCAGGAGGGGTCGTGGTAAGTTGATAGGGTTGGTCGGTGACACCTTAGCTATCTGGCCACGTTAGTTAGCGTGGAGACAATCTAGTATCTTTATGCACGTTCAGTCCGAACAGGGAGTCCGAAGTACCGCTCCACCACACTGGACTACCTATAAGAGTTATTACTCCTGTGAGGGGTACAACCGTACCCACCGAGCCACAGATGTAGCTATGACGACGTACAGTAACTTTACTTCTTTGGTAGCCCATCGCTGTCTCTGTTGGCTAATCGAATACGAACTAAATGAGGTCGCGGAAGCCGGAAGGGCTGCATGCAGGTTGGAAAGAGTGTTCGGTTCGTTGGCGGTCTCGGTCCAGCCCCAGTTCAGGTACTATGATCGACTCTGAACCGGCGAATGGGAGTTGAGAGGGGTGTGTTTGTTCTACAGTAAGTCTGACACTATCTGCAAGGTTCGCCTGTATGTTGTTTCGGTACTGGGGTTAATAGGCACTTGCTAGGCTTGTATTGACGCCTAGGCACTGGGGTCCCATTGATGTCTAGTTTGCTGACTAGGGCTCAGGGTAAGGGCTGAAGTCACGCGCACAATAATGCTCGTTTCGACTACGCGATGGATTCTTCAGCTTATTGGAATGGGGGCGGGCGAACAGACCAGAGGATGAGACAGACTACGTATACATCCCCAGAAAGGAAGAACCTGGATGGGCTAATCAGGCGAGAGGTCCAGTGCTGTGGCTTTGTTTTGTGTGGAATTCTTCATCAGGGCTGAGTATGCAGGATTCAGGTCTCCTTTGTACAGAAGTGGGAATAAATTATGGTAATCTAGGCTGGAATATGAATGCCTATGGGGCTAGAATGTGGTACGTATCGTACGTAGTAAAATAGGTAACTATGTATGTACCAGTACATACCGTACGCACATGGGATCCTCACCCTTTGTTCGCTACATTTTTTGACCCTTCATGTGGCTTCCCTCTTTTATCTTAATAAGCCAGTGCAAAATATATCGGCCGGATGGTGTAGTTGGTTATCACGTATCGTTAACACCGATAAGGTCCTGGGATCGAGCCCCAGTCTGGTCATATCATTTTGCATTATATTTTTTTAGCCTCCGAGCTCTGGCCAACGTTACACGGTTGGAATTGACGAAAAAGGGTCAACTTGACTCAAAGGTGTGTTACATTGCCATTCCACTTCTTTTTTGCTTTGCCGCTCCGGCCATGTCTTCAGGGATTCGTAGAGAAAGTCCCCCCCTAACCTGAACGTCTTCCTTATGCGCCCACATGCCAAATTATCCCGTGTCCAAAACGACTAGAAACACTTGACCGCCGTATAGGATTCTAGATCGGTTTCTAGAGCAAGGGCAGGGTGAAAATTCTGCTGGTGGGCCTTGGCTGTGGAGAAGCCGCTTTGACTTTGATGCAGGCAAAAGTACCGGTCTCCCGTGTGAACCTCATATTCATTTCCCCTTTGGGGGGGGGTTGAATATTACAAGAGGTGTTCTCCCTTGATTTAGAGTCATGTCCAGTGTACTCCGTACGCCGTGCTACGTACTCCGGCGCAGACGGACTCGGAATGATGACCGTGTCGGCAGTCATTTAATATATTGTTCTAAATTAATCTTCAGGTGGCTGAGGGAGGGGGCTTCAATCACATCACTCATCACACCTCGGCCAGCCTATGCAATTGAACCGTTGACGCCGACCTTCACAGCGGCTATGACGAGACTAGTCCTCAAGCGATATTAGCATTGCCGGCGTCGCCATTTGGTCTTTATCTATCCAGGCCATATTTTAATTTACCAGTAGTATTGTACAATATTTCCCCCGTGTAACGACATTAATGATTCATCTCCTTGAACTTTGAAGCCATAGCGTCTGGTACGACGGAGAAAAAGTCTATCGCACAAAAAAAGCAAAATAAAATAGACCACAAAAAATTAGGAATGATATCGCTTCAATGCTTCATTCAGTTCGAATAAAAGATATGTCGAATCTGACGGGCTGACGGACTGGGGTTGTCCTTCGCTATCCTGCTTTTTGTTGAGACTAAGTATGTACAATTCACATAGGTACTGTAACCGTTTATACATATCGAGTACTTTGCCTGCGATAGTATGAACCAGATTTTTGGACAAGTTTCATTTGGATTCAGATATTTTTCTCTCTATTCTTTTCTTTTCTTTCTTTCTTTCTTTCTTTTTCTTTTTTTTCTTTTTTTTTTTTCACCCCACCCCTCTACGGACTCCTTCCGCCCTTAGATGTTCAAATTGCGGTCTGTCCACTGAAACCCGATCGCGTTGTGCACTTGCTGCCCAGCAGCGGTAAAGCCCAGCAACCGAATGTTGCCCAACAACCATTGTTTTGGTCGATGGACATGGTGGGTATAATTTATACGGTGGGTGTTTATGACAGAAAGGTCCCACTGAACTAAAATCCGTCTAGACGAGCTTGTTTATCTGGAACCAGAGATCAGGGAATGGAACCATGGGATACGGCGGGAAACATCCACGGAACAGATTATCTTAAAGCTGACCATGTAATAGTTATACACAGCATTGCGCTGAATGTTTTTATTTGCTCAGACCTCGACTGTATTATAATTATCAGTGTATGGAGTTGCAGAGCACCGTATTGAATGATTTATCCGCGGTTGTGGTCTTCAGACCTGTGCTATCACATTGCCACAGCCCTAGGCAGTCGTGCGATGACGACTTAGATTACAAACGAGGCGAGCAGTATTCCTGGATGAGTCTTCGTTCAGCTGACAAGCTTCTGAATCATCGTCTTACCACTCTGAATAGATACCTGTTATACTCTGAGCCATGCTGTGGCAACTTAGGCACTGACTCACACCCGCGCCCGTATACGCGCCCTCATCGCCAGATTCTAGGCTCCCACTCACCGTATGGATAGGAGATCAAGATGGTGTGAAGGGAGACTGAACCTACAGCGGCCCGTGAATGCCTTAGGTACGAATAGCCATAGTGTATGAGTCCGACTTGGTAGACTTGCGGTCGACCAATGGCACTGAAAGTGTGATGGAATAGTGATGCAGTGGATTACTCAAGAAGGGGGCTCACGAAGAAGGATGACTGGATATATATGGTCCATATCGCAATTTTGACTCCTGGCTTATCGGTCGGTACCAATAGCGACCCTGGATTCGGCTATTTTGTGCCCTATCCAGTCAACCCAGAGGGCACGACGAGGCGATGCCCAACTAATCAACACTCCAGATGACTCCTTCAGCGGCAGCGAATCTGAGAGTATATAACATATCATATGTAGCCGGGCGATATGATCAGCCTCGAGCTTTTTTTTTCCCTGATGAACTTAAATGTGCATAGCTTTCCCTATCTGTAAGAAGGTTTCTTCAAATGAATCTTCACATTGGCAACTATCGTCGGTGTCTTATTCTCAGCTGTGGGCTGTCGGGCCTGAAACCGACGGAGCTGAAAAGTACTCCATCGGTACCGTACGGTATTAAACCAAACCAGACGGGACCGAATGGAACCAAATTTAGCGTTGTGAAATTTTACAAGCGCCCCCCACCCTTACCCGCAGTGCCCCGTTCCCGTGGACTCAGTCAACATCCATTACAAAAAACGCTTGGGGTTCGCCTGCGCGCCCTCCTTTCGCCATTTTACTACATTTATCGCCCTTCATCAGGGTTCACTATCAACCTCCAGAAATTAACCCCCCCAACCAGCAGTCGCACTACCTCCTGGGTCGACTCCTGGAATTCACATAGATAGAATCAAGAGACCTTTCAGGAACCCGCTCGAATATTCTCGGCAATCGTTTGGGTTCGGTGTCTTTCGCCTCAAGGAACCGAATTCGCCTCGCACACAGATCAGTCGCTTAACCCGTCCGACGATTGACGACGTTCAAATGCACTCTCAGCACATAACATCCTGTCCCTCCTCTCCCCTACCAGCCGTGCCTCGGTGACGGTCCTCATTATCGATCTTCCGATTTCGTTGTCCTTTGCATCGGCGTCGATCGGGTTGTTCTGAACGATATCCTGTACAATATACCTGGGTTGTGCTTCTTATTTTTCATTTTATTTTATTTTTTATTTTTTTATTTTTTATTTTTTTATTTTTTTTTTATATTTTTTCCCAACATTTTTGATTTGGTCATTTGCTTGTCTCCTTGAGCAGCTTGGTTACTTGGGACTCTAAAAAGTTGTCGATTTCTATTCCTCGTCTTTACTACCAGCATCGCGAGCCAATTTTTATGCTCAACTTCCGATAATGTATCATTATTCCACTCCACCTCCTCCCGGGTGGTCATCCCATTATATGACTTCGCCTCCTACATCTCCTCATTACGCCTACTACGCTACTCAGGTCGCCAATCCCTACGGCTCCCCTCGACCATCATCGAAGCGCCATAGTCGCAAAGCCAGTTATGCCGGCACCAAGGAAGCACCAGGATGGCAATATGCCGGGTATGGTACGCCTTTCTACGACGCGATGCCTGAATATAGCACGCCACCGCGCAAGCACGATAATGTAAGTGCTTTTTTTGGTGGCTCTCCGTCCTACCATCGTCGCCGTAGCACCATGGGCAATGCCCCGGCGGACCCTTGGGATAACGCTAGTCCGCGCCCGTCGCACTCGACCCGGAAACGACCCATCTTTGTAGATGTGGTCGACGATGGATTCGATGACGCGCCACGATTCGCCTTCCGCGAGGAAGCTAGCCAACCCCGTCGATTCTCGTCTGCAACTCCACGCAAGCCAAAGCCACCCACTGATCAATATTGTTATTCTAATCAGGTTCCTGCGCATGATGACGACTCACCGAAGCGGTCCCGCGCGCGTCGCCAGTCCACCTCCACCAGGACCCCGTCCAAGCCCAAGCCCACGACATCATCTAAGCCGCCTCCGAAGGCTACGGAAGAGGATGCGGCCAAAGCTGGCATCCCCGCGGGCTATTCGATCAAGAACTGGGATCCCACCGAAACCCCTATCATTCTCCTGGGCAGTGTCTTCGATGCGAACTCCCTCGGCAAGTGGATCTACGACTGGACGGTCTTCCACCACGGTGCTTCGACTCCAATGGCCGACGTTGCGGGCGAGCTGTGGTTGTTGTTGATTAAGCTGGCGGGTAAGATCAGGAGGGCCGATGAGTGTGTGGATCGGATCAAGGAGCCTGAGCACCAAGAAGTGGTGGAGGACTTTCTGGAAAGCGGTGAGCGCCTGTGGGCGCGGTTTAAGAAATTGCTGAAAACCTGCGAACAGTTCATGTGGAAAGCGGCCAAGCGAGAAGGTGGTAAGAGTGTGTCTATGGGCCGCAATGCAGGCTGCGAATTTGTGGAGACGATATTTGGTCGCGACCGCGAACTGGAGAGCACGGAGAAGTTGATGAACAGCGTTCGTTTATGGAACATGCGGTTCGATGCCAACTGCGAGGAGATTCTTCGACGACCGGCCGCATAGTCCTCGCAACCCTTTGCGATATCTAAATGTCACCGGGCATCGGCCCACCAAAAAAAAGTACTCGTGATTGATTTTTGTTCTTTTCATCTTCCACCGCCGGGAATGAATAATCGGAACTGCAGGGCAACATCAGAGCTGCTGTTTGAGCTACCTCGGCATTTTACGTTTGATCTGTCGGATTGCATTTTAGCGCGTTTTGGTTTGGCCTACTGACTGGATTGCCCTTTGCTCTCAGTGACTCGTTCAAAGGACAGTACCGCTATCAGCGCGGATCACTCTGACAGCTTTTCTTTTCCTTTGTTTTTTTCCTTTGTCATTTCCTTCCTCTGGGCACACTTAATTCTTTACATTCTGCTTACAACTGGGACGGGGCTTTGCTTTCTTGTCTGGCGTATGCTAGCTCATCGGGAGTCATTTGCATTTTCTACTGCAAGTTGGAGCCCATGGCTTTCTTTGTCTTCGATGATACCATTTTGCGACTCGTTCTATCTCGGACACGGTTGGTTTGATTCTTTCGTTGCGTCTTGCACAGCGTATATAGACACCCACTACCATCGTACCGATAGACATTTCAATTTTACCACTTTTGACCTTGTCTTGTCTTCTCTTCGCAATCCCCTCCCTCCCCCACCCCAAACTCCCAAGAACTACCGAGTGCGATAATAACTAGCGCAAGCGCCAATCTGATGTCATCTGACATCCCACATCGACTATCTTTTTTTACCCCTCACTAAAGCGGAGCCTAAGGTTATCCACCGGGCGCCTCGGAAAATAGCAGACAGATGACGACTGAAACTAACTCGTAGCACGAGGCATCTGTTCCTGACTGGATAGGTTAGGCTATCGCCGGTGTTACTGTGATTGATGTATGTAACCGTTAATTTCAGCCGGTTGTATTTTCTGACTAAGTCGGAGTATGAGTATTGTTCATGATTTGACGCTATACATAGTAAGATTATCTAAGATCGTAAACCAATGCCCCAGTGGAGCAAGAATGCGATTGCCTTATGCGAGTGATATGGACTAAGATCTCGGGGTTTGGTAGGCTGGCCTGTACTTCTTGGAGTAGTATCGTGTTACTAGTATAGTTAGTGTAAATGCGAGTCGCGGTGGGCTATGGAATGTTAGGTGGAGTTTTAAAAAACGTTGCCGACCTGGAGGTCACTACATTCCTTACATTCTACTACTGGGCCGATTGTACGGAGTAGCTCGGGTCACAAGAACCCTAACTTGGGAGATATACATCAAAGCTTTTAAGATAGTGTTCCAGTTCCGAAGTATTATCTATAGTTTTATGTTAAAAGAAATTATAGCAGTGCTTCTATCGTTTTAACTGAACTTGGAAGGTCTGGATATTTCAAGGCACGCCTACTGGATATACTATAGTTAGTAGTTATTATTCAAGGTTATTGGTATCATCTCTGAGGATTATATAGGTGGATATATTCTTAACCAGTATTCACCAATTTGAAGTATTACGTTTACTGGATATTAAGCTATTCAAGAACAGAGCCAAGCACCTTTTGTATAGGAAATTGGAACCCTATACCAAATGGAACTGCCCACCAAGCCAGCTTCCAGCCCAGGGTCGCTGAAAGGTTAGAGGAGAGGTCAGCTAGAGCGAAGGTTAGCACAAGTGGGTCAATAGTACTGACGATCTGACGATCAATAGACTATCGAAATCCATTGTTTCTGGAAAGAAGCAAGGGGTTCCTTAAGCGATCTCAACAGCACTCTACAGAGTAGCTTCGCGGCGATGCATTAGAATAATAGGCTGTCAATGGTCACCTTAGGACCGAATACGTGGCCCATAGGCAGCCACCAACTCACTAGTTGGTTAGCCATCACAATGCACTTGCATTGACTCTTCTGGTGCTTAAATACCCCCCGTCTCCCAAGTACATCTCAATGGTGTCCAAAGATCAATCCAAGTCCGCACTCTTTAACACCGAGCACTTAGTAAGTATCCACCTCATAATTTTTCTTTCGCGCTGGAAACATGCTAATCTTTGGGTAAGCCATGCATCTTCCTCGCTTTCTTCCACTCGCTCTAGCCGTGGCCGGAACAGTCAGTGGACTCAGTGACATCGTCTGCCCGGAGGATGACATCAAAGCGACACACTGTGCTGGTGAACGTGACTGCTTCTACCCGTATTCCGAAGACTGCACAAAGTACATATATTGTGAGGTCAATAGCGACGGGGTGACGGGGACGCCGGCGTTGAAGGATTGCCCCCCTGATACTCTATGGAACAATAAAGAGAAATTTTGCGGCCCGCCAGATAAATCAACGTGTGGCGTTGAAGTGTAATGACCAAGAATAAGGTATGGGAAACCATCCCATTGTATCACAGGCCTATTAACTCTTTCCTTCAGCTGCTCTGATACTCAAGTGTCCCAGGGCTGGATAGGGTCTGGGGGGGGGGGGTATCCGGGTTACATGCTTTTATGCAAACCCAGCCAATTCTAAAATTCTATATAAAAGTTCCAATGTACCGAAGGGATTGCCTACTCCTTGGTTTACAAGAGTGAATAGTATAAGAATGCAATGAAGACCTGTGTGTAACAGGTTGACCCTGTTGATTAAATCTCCGTGCCTTTTGTCACTCCTGCTCCACTGATCAGTTATCACTGCCCTGGCCTATTTCGGTCCTTCTATTTAACTTTGTACACAGTTTGCGGCCCACCTAGGTGGACTTTAAGTCTTGGCTTTCAAGCCAGTTTGGTAGGCTGGGCTGAGCACGGGGCGTATCACTGTGTAAACTTGAAGGAGAGACTTACTATCCTCTGCGACGGTAAAAACTTCGAGTTCTTTATATTTCGACTCTTCTAGATAAGATTACATGCTTACCAGGCCGAATCATAGGTGTTAGGTCATAGTAGCTGTCAAAGAAATATCTACTAGTCAGGGCAAAGGACCTGTCAACTAGGTAAGGGTACGTAGGCCGAAAGGCAAGCAGTAGATACTATATAGACAGAAGGCTGATTCTTGCCTTTCTCTTATTGATTTCAAGCTATGTT